CTAACCTGAATCTCCCCCTGGCACTGATGGGTATAAGGTAACAACATATAATCCTGTGGTTAATACACCCAAAGCTAACGATAATTCAGAATCATAATTCTGAGAAGGGCTGGTTTTACTTCTGTAATAATAAGAGAAAAAATATAAAAATAAAAATTGTTGTATAATCAGAAATTATCATCATTTCTTTTATTCATGTTATTAGTGAAGATAAAATGCTCCGCTGGGGCGCAGCTTGATCAGACCGCAGAGGTCGAACCCTGAACAGTTGGGGCAAGTATGGACACAACATTCAAGCTTGATACAGCACTGAATTTGGATTGTAATTAAATATTTGACACAGCATAGGTTTCTGACACAGAATGAATGTGGTCTAAGAACTTAAAAAAAATTAATTTACCTATTCAAACCATATCATTATTATTTGCTTTTATATATAAATCAGAAATAACCAATTTAAAAAGGAAATTTAAAAGAAAAAAAAGGAAAAAAAAATCCCCCCCCCCCAAATTTTTTGAACCCCCTTATGATTCATCACCCCCAAACTCAATCCCTGCCTTCCCTTTGTAGTAATGTTACCTTGCACTACAATTTCAGAGAGATCCATACACTTGAACACAAGTTATTGTCTGGAAACTAGAAAAATGAGTGTTTTTTTGGCCCCTTTTTGGCCCCAAATTCCTAAACGTTTACGGCAATTATCCCCAAACTCAAACACAGCTTTCCCTTTGTGATATGGAACCTTGTAGTACAATTTCATAAAGATCCATACACTTACACACAAGTTATTGTCCTGAAACTAGAAAAATGCTTGTTTTTTTGCCCCTATATGGCCCCTAATTCCTAAAATTTTGAGGCAATTACCCCCAAAATCAATAACAGCCTTCCCTTTGTGGTATGGTACCTTGCAGAACAATTTCAGAGAGATCCATAAACTTCAACACAAGTTATTGTCTGGAAACTAGAAAAATGCTTATTTTTGGCCCCTTTTTCCTAAACGTTTTGGGCAATTACCCCCAAACTCAATTCCAGCTTTCCCTTTGTGATATGGAACCTTGTAGTACAATTTCATAAAGATCCATACACTTACACACAAGTTATTGTCATGAAACTAGAAAACTGCTTGTTTTTTGCCCCTTTTTGGCCCCTAATTCCTAAAATTTGGAGGCAATTACCCCTAAAATCAATCCCAACATTCCCTTTGTGATATGGAACCTTGTGGTACAATGTCAGAGAGATCCATACACTTACACACAAGTTATTGTCATGAAACTAGAAAAATGCTTGTTTTTTGCCCCTTTTTGGCCCCTAATTCCAAAAATTTGGAGGCAATTACCCCCAAAATCAATCCCAGCATTCCCTTTGTGATATGGAACCTTGTGGTACAATGTCAGAGAGATCCATACACTAACACACAAGTTATGTCTGGAAGTTACAAAAATGCTTATTTTTGGCCCCTTTTTGGCCCCTAATTCCTTAACTGTTGGTACCATAACCCCCTAAATCAATCCACACCTTCCTTTTGTGGTATTGAACCTTATGGTAAAATTTCATAGAGATCCATTCACTTAAACTTAAGTTAGAGTGCGAAAACCAATGTGTCTTCGGACGACGACGACGCCGTCATACCAATATACGACCGCAAATTTTTTTTGCGGTCGTATAAAAATGATTAGATTTCAATTCTATTGTTTACATAGATCATGCTAATTGATGTAGGAACGTAATCATGGTAATTGGCTTTAGATTTACATCACACATTTTTTTATTCTAAGCATGCATATTTCCATGAAAGATCTATAAGAACTGCATTGATAAATACTGCCTTTCAGTCGACTTTTGATGACTTACAATCTGTGATAAGTAAATACAAAATATGCAATCAACATAATATCAAATATTTCATTATAAATCTTAAATACACCTTAATATGAATAAAAGGATATGTGAGATAAACACATTATATCCCTAAAAAGATGGGGGGGGGGAGGGGAGTTTTACTTTGAAATCACTACTTACTCTGATTCAGATTCTGTTTTGTTGCTCTTTTTCTGTAAACGTTTGTTTCTTTTCTTAGCATCCATTCCACAAACCCAAACTTGTTATCTGCTGATAATTCAAAAGCAAATATTTAACATATGTTTAATATATAAGCATATCCTGAAACTTCACATTCATGTAGCTAAATAAATTTCAATATTTGAATGAAAAATCTTTTGGCTGTGAAAAGTTCTTCCAATATAATGTAAATATATAGTCATTATACATTATCATGATTATAACAATTACAGCTCTTCTATAAAAGCATGCAAAGCAAACCTTTGATCAACTTGCTTGCTATGTTTGTTTGGATGTTTGTAAACAAAAGGTAGGTAGTCTGTTTCAGTCTGTTTACTATATAATGGAATTTGATTGGACAATAAACATTAACTTCATTGCATGTCAATTTTTATTGCCCAATCAAATCCCAGTATATATAAAACAGACTGAAACTCAGCCTACCTATTGTTTGCAAACATCCAATCAAACATAGCAAGCAAGTTGATCAAAGGTTTGCTTTGCATGCTATTATCATGATTATAGAAGAGCTGTAACCAAAAAACGTTGTTTGAATTTTTTCCAGTCCCAAGAATAATGAAAATTATGAATAAATAATGAAAGGTCAAAGATGATTTGAAATTTTAAGTGATGTGTACTCCATAAGAATTCAAGTATCAGTGTAAAGAATGGAAGGTCCTTGACTTTTGTAATTTAAAAATGAAAAGACTGGTCCCAGACCTCAGACCTACACTAATTTGAACCCCTGAGAAATATATGCCCAGGGTTTAAGCTAGGATTTTGAGGGCTTTAGTCACTTTTGCGAGAGATGAAAATCAACATTATTTTGGGTAACAGCAATAGACCAAGTATGTATGTATATTACTAGCTATACATCTTTGTCAGACTTTGAAGGACTAAGGCATAAATTTACTAGGCAGTAATTGCATGACTTGGCTGATTTGTCACTTAAATATGAAGATTAGGATATAAGATCTGAAAATCTAGTTCAAAATTTACGTCAATAATTAGTTTCATGGGTCATTCCTGATCAACAAAATTTGGGTTCCTTTTTTTAAAACCAGTAATCACAGTATAAATGAACTTGTTGAACTTTGAAAAACTATTACACTGCATAATCATTATCCTTATGAAACGTTTAAATCAATATTTTGAATTAATTTCCATAAAGTTGGAACCAAGGATTTGTACAAATTCACATGGAACGAATCCAATAACTGTAAATTGTAAATTAATCGAGAATTGATCACGTTTACTTTCGATTTTCAAATGAAATGTAAACGGGAAGTGACAAGTAGATAATAAATTCAGAATGAATCCGGATTCATCTACGGATTGGTTCGTGTTTAAAAGGCAGGAAATTATCATTTTTTTATTTCAATTTGCTTAGTAAGAACTATATCCATATATCTGTCTTTCTCATTTATTTTGGCACTGAATTTATTTCGTATTTTACGTTTTAGTGTCTATAAATTCATAGGAATAATTTCACGCATGCGCAGTATATTGTAAAGGAAGCACCTGTTTGACTCCTCGATGATGATGGAAGTTTTTAACGTGAAAACATTTCTGAACGTTTTGAATAAAGTTCTATCTTTTTAATCGAAATTGAACATTTTATATCAAAGATGACTAAAATACGATCATTTGACAAAACTACGACAAACGAACTGCAAATTATGATCATTTTAGAAATATTGAAATTAAAAAGCGAACTGTCCAGGAGGAAACAATTTTGTTCAAATGACAAAACTACGACAAACGAACTGCAAATTGTGGTCGTTGGCCTTGAGAAATTTTGAAATTAAAATGAACATCAACTAATTTTACTGTGAAAAATAATTATTAAACCGGATTAGTGACCCATCCGATTGCGATAAGCTGATTAGCTGTTATCACAACTTTATAACACCTGTTGTTAATATTAATTAGCTGGGAGTCATAAACTTGTCAGAAACATGTAGACAGGTAGAATTATAGTATTTTCATGCGAAAATATTTTTACACTTCCAAATTTAAGTGACGAAATTGATTTGAAATACTTTCGTCATTTTGAAAACAGTTTAGTAAATTACGAAAGTGACGAGCGCTAGCAAAATCACTGTACATGTATATGCCATTACTGCTTTATATAGCATCAAACAATCTGTCAGACCTATAAGAATAGAGAATGGAAATGGGGAATGTGTCAAAGAGACAACCCCACATAAGAGCAGAAAACAGCCCAATAATTCGGTCTAACACTACACTACTACATGTACAGTGCTAGGGTCCAAAACTGTACTTCTGGGGCAAATAGTGCTGTGCAGTGGTGTCAAGAAAATTCCTTCAAATGGAAAAATATTCAAGGATATTGTTTCCACTGAAACATATATTACAGTATTTGTTCGTAATGGCTCACTAATGGAATAAATGGTATCAGGGTATAGAATATTTGTTCCAACAGGCAGAATGTTTATAAAAAAGTTTCCTGGGGAACATATGATCTGTTACTGTTAGGCGAAACAAATATGCGTCGACAAGCGAAGTAAAAAAGTTTCTGAATAAAGAATTCATACGTATATGCATTATATAAAGTAACCCTTACTACTATATACTATATAATCATTATTTCCCCATTTCGCTCGTTCGCCGGCTTTGCAAAATCAAATCCTTCATGGTAAAGTCAAGAAAAGTTCCGAGAACAGGAAACAGTTAAACTAAAACTAAAAACTAGATCGGTTGATCGGGAATGAATCGTTATTTCAATGAAAAACTGTACATAATTAACAGAAAGTTGATTTTTATAATAAATTACTTTTATTAATATCAAATTAAGTTAAACATTTGTTTTTCTCAAACAGACAAATCAATTTGGAATCATTTACAAAGCCGGAATTCCATTCGCAGCCTTTCGAGACTTGTCTTATCAATTCTTTTAAAAAGCAGACGACGCAGTCTTTAGAAAGATTCAAGTTCAAAAATGAAAATTTACCTACCTGGATATTATCTTCGTAGCTTGAGGAATAGACCTCTAGTAGAAATTGACGCTGAAGAAATCAGTTCCACTATCCAGGTGTTTTTTCTATTCTGTACAAATATGAATGATGTCTATAGCAACTTCAATAGTCTTAACTTTATCGTGGATACTGTTTTTTTTTACCAAATTTTGGGCCATATTTCTTACTTTCTGATACAGTAAATGGACACTCATCTAACTCTCTTTGCTTGATCTCCTTGAGTTGGGTACATTGTATCATCCTGATTTTACACCAATCATAAAATTATTTTTTTAAAGAATCTTTCAAATTTTTTTTTGAAAGTTCTGAAACAAGGAAAGTAAAATTGGTCTATGTGCCAAAAATGGAATATTTATTAAATACATGTAAGCTGTTAAAATGTAACAAGAAATTAACATATTGATTATATAATCAACTGTGTTTGGTGTTATAGAATATGGGGGATATTCATATATATCATTTTTTGCACAGTCCGTGAGTCACAGATGTAAAACTTTTCTTAAGGCAACTTTAAAAAAATAATTCTTTCTTTCTTAAGCCCTTCCTGCATCATTATGTAACTAATGGAATATACCATATTTTTTATAATCTTTTTTGTAGATTAAAGGTTTATTTTGTTTTCTTTCCAAATCTGTAAGAAAATTATTACCTAGAGTTATTTCCCTTATGAAAATAAAGGTATGAATTATTTTGGGATAGGATCAGATAATATAAGATATTTTTTTAATTTATAATCCCAAATAAAAGAATTGCTACCAAAATTTCAGAAACACTTAAAATTTGAGTATTCAATTCCAATCTCGGTTTTACTTTTCACTTTAGAATTCTAAAGGACGGCAGAATAAAAGATGTCATCAAAAATTCATCCTTTAATATAAGCTGAGATCAGACTTTCAGTTTTATTTTTATTTTTTCAGTCATTCCCAAGGTCCGTCAGACACGTGGCAATGTCCAGTTATAAATGGTTTGGTCCAGTTAAAGGTCATCAATTACTGGACCAAATTACCAATGTAGATGTAAGAATTTTGTAATACTCATAATGTAAAAGACTGCTAAAACACTGACTGGACCAGTATAATGCTTGAACAATTACTTGCTTTACTAAAAGACCACTGAGGTCCAAAAAACCTTCGGAACCTCTGTTTTTTTCGTTGCATTTATAGCTCAATTTATTTTAAGGTATGGGTTTTGCACATTGTTGAAGGAATTTTAAAAAACTCATCAAAGATATCAGGGTTATAATTTTGAGTGCCAGACACACTGTTCGTCTAAAACTCATCAGTGAAGCTTGTATCAAAACAGTTAAAAGGAAAAATAAAGTATGTTGTTGAAAAGCATTGAGGACCCAAAATTCCAAAAGGTTTTGCCATATACTCAAGGTAATTTGATAATTCCTAAGCCAAAAACTGAACTGTTTAAAAAATCTTTTGCTTATTCTGGATCAGTTTTATGGAACGGACAACCATATGAAATGTGTAAAGTGCAAAACACTTTTTCTTTTAAACAAATTATAAAACGATACTTGAGGCAGTCCCAATATTCAGTCTTGAAATGATTGCAACTATTACTTTTTTAGAATGTATGATTTTGATTTGTATATTATATCTATTTACTGCAATCTGTAACTGTTTTATATGTTCTAATGGTACATGTACATTGAACTATCATGAGATCGACTATACGATTGTGTTAATATGTTGTCATATGTTTGTTTTTTGTTTTTTTGTTGTTTTTTTTTCTCTTATTATTTTTTTACTTGTATTGTATATGAGGGCCTCAGGGAAGATTAGTAATTGTAACTAACTGTGTTTACCCTCTTTAAATAAAGAATTTATTATTATTATTATTATATATACAGTTGAAGTAATCTATTCCTGGGGTTTAAAATCATTAGTACTCAAACAATTCAGTTTTTTTGAACAGTTAATAAATATGACAACATAATGATAATTCATATCAACACAGGTTAAGGCCGTACCTGCAACTTTTTTGTACTTTGGTATTAGGTAGATAGTTGTCTTGTTGGCAACCATACCACATCTCTTTGTTTTTATTACTGGTATTGGAAATGTGAAGATATTTTAATAAGATAAAGTGGATTCATATATTTTTCATGGAACCGGGATTAATTGTATATTCATGTATACTGCAATTCTTGGTTTTAACTATTGAATTCTGCATACAAGCCTTATGGAAAACTTGTATTTTGTTGAACAATTATATCTGTTGTCAATCTTTGCTCACAAAATTCACAACAAATAGTACCCTACTGAGGGTAATAAATCCCCAATATTATAGAAGGCCTAAAAATGTTTTTCTTAAATTAAAGAGATAAAAAAATCACAAAAATAAAAACTAGAGGCTCTCAAGAGCCTGTGTCGCTCACCTGATTCTACTTTGGTTTTGGAAATCTTGTAAAAAAAGATTAAAATCATAACAGATACCCTAATAATGATTGAGGCCAAATTTGGTTTAACACTGGCCCCGTAATTTAGTCAAAAGCAGAAGACTTTTTTAAAGTTAACAGAAATTACCAATAAATTCATTGAAATTGTAGAAAATGACTTTATAAGGACAACGACAAATCAGCTACAAAGTAACAACACTTGGTCAGCACCTCAAAAGAAACATTCATACAATGTTTGGTTTCAATCCATTAAGTGGTTTTCAAGAAGAAAACATTTGTATATATTTCCCATAGGGTCCTATGTTAAACTAAGTCCCCCATTGGCAGCCATCTTGGTTGATGGATTTGCTACAAAGTAACAACACTTGGTCAGCACCTCATAAGGAACATTCCTACCATGTTTGGTTTCATTCCATTAAGTGGTTCTTCAAAAGAAGACTTTTGTATGTATTATTTCTCATACCTGGGTCCTTTGTTAAACTAAGTTCCCTGCTGGCAGCCATCATGGATGTTTGATTGGCTACAAAGTAACAACACATGGTCAGCACCTCATTAGCAACATTCATGCCATGTTTGGTTTCATTCCATTCAGTGGTTCTCTAAAAGAAAACATTTGTATGTATTTCCCATAGGGTCCTATGTTAAACTAAGTCCCCACTGGCGGCCATCTTTGATGATTGATCGCCTACAAAGTTACAACACTTGGTCAGCACCTCATAAAGAATATTCATGCCATGTTTTATTTCATTCCATTTAGTGGTTCTCTAAAAGAAGACATTTGTATGTATTTCCCATTGGGTCCTATGTTAAACTAAGTCCCTCTCTGGCGGCCATCTTGGATGATGGATCAACTTTAAAGTAACAACACTTGGTCAGCACCTCATAAGGAACATTCATGCCATGTTTGATTTTATTCCATTCAGTGGTTCTTTAAAAGAAGACATTTGTATGTATTGTCCATAGGGTCCTATATGTTAAACGAAGTTCCCGGCTGGCGACCATCTTGAATGATGGATCAGCTACATAGTAACAACCCTTGGTCAGCACCTCATAAGGAATATTCATGCAATGTTTGGTTTCATTCCATTCAGTGGTTCTCTAGAAGAAGACATTTGTATGTATTGTCCATAGGGTCCTATGTTAAATGAAGTCCCCAGCTGGCGGCCATCTTGGATGATAGATAGCCTACAAAGTTACAACACTTGGTCAGCACCTTATAAGGAACATTCATGCCATGTTTTATTTCATTCCATTCAGTGATTCTCTAAAAGAAGACATTTGTATGTATTTCCCATAGGGTCCTATGTTAAACTAAGTCCCCTACTGGCAGCCATCTTGAATGATGGATCAGCTTCAAAGTAACAACACTTGGTCAGCACCTCATAAGGAACATTCATGCTATGTTTGGTTTCATTCCATTCAGTGGTTCTCTAAAAGAAGACATTTGTATGTATTTCCCATAGAGTCCTATGTTAAATGAAGTCCCCCACTAGCGGCAATCTTGGATGATGGATCAGCTACAAAGTAACAACACTTGGTCAGCACCTCATAAGGAACATTCATGCCATGTTTGGTTTCATTCCATTTAGTGGTTCTCTAGAAGAAGTTCAAAATGTAAAAAGTTAAGGATGTCGACAACAGACGACGACGACAACGGATGACAGACGCCAAGTGGTGAGAATAGCTCACCTGGCCCAAAGGGGCCAGGTGAGCTAAAAATGGGACTAATCAACAATTATTCTAATTTGGCCTTTTTGTAAACAGTTATGTTGAGTTTAATTCAAAAATATTTATGTTTTAGCTGCTCTTTAAACAAAAGTGTCAAAATTTTCCAGGTTCATCAATATGAAGTTCTAAAGACAAGAAAGAGAAAAAATCTCAAAGCTTTTGAAGAAATGAGCAAGTCAAATAGAATGGTAAAGTCTTTGGAAAACAAAAAAATCAGACCAATTGAAGTACCTCTAGTCCAAGAGTTCATAAGAAATGCAATTGATGAAGAACAATGCGTTCCAGAAACAACAGAAAATGAAGAATTCAGCTTGACACAGACATTAAATAGTATTCCAGAAATGAGCAGTTCACAAAACTTTGGACAAGAACCCAGTATTCATGACAAAGATTCCAGTATTCATGACAAAGATTCCAGTATTCATGACAATGTGTTACAATCTGGAATGTTTGATTCTGCAAAACAAAAAACTACATCTTTTGATTTGCCCTCAGAATGTCCAAGAGTTCCAACAATACAATCACCGTATGCATCAGTCAGTACACAAACTATTATTTACCAGGAAGTGTATCCTACAAATGAGTCACATTTGCCAAAAGCATTCAAAGCAAAACTGAAAAAGAACCTTATGAACTCTCTTTTGAAAAGTCCATGTTATAATTCTGCTAGACTTACAGGTTTAAGTTATAGCCAACCATCAACTCCAAAGACACCAATGTTTAGATCAGTTTTGTGTGCAACACCTAGAATGCAGAAACGGAGAAATATAAGGTATATTTATTGTTTGAAAATGTGTATTCTATTATTAATTCTTATGGGTACACCATAAATTATTAGTGATATTGTAAACCATGCAGACACTGCAAAATGGTGTATTGTTGATCAAAGTTATTAATAATAGTTGATCTTGAATAGCAAAGGAAAAGATAGATGAAAATAAGTAGAAGAAAATAGCACTGAAACTTGAGTAAATTGATTAACTCCCACTTGCAATGCAACTAGAAAACTGACATGTCAGCATGGGCCCTGCTTGCAAATTTATGTGTGAGGAACAGAGAATGATACATACAAAGCAATTTATGATCATTGGATCAATGTTGTCAATCCCAAACAGAAAAAAAACTGTACATCTTACAATCATTCCAGTCTTCACATATAGTTGAACTATTGCTTATAGTATCTCAGAAAGAGGCTAAACCAGGAAAAACAAAACATTGACCAATGAACCATGAAGATGAGGTCATGGTCAGATGAACACTGCCAGACAGACATATACACCTTACAATCATTCCAAACACCAAATATAGTTGACATATGATTGCTTATAGTATCAAAGAAGTGATCCTAAATACAGAAACTTAACATTGACCCATCAACCATGAAAAGGAGGTCAAGGACAGGTGAACCCTGAATGGACATGTACACATTGCAAGGAACCCATATATACCAAATATAGTTATCCTATTACTCATATTAAGTGATAAATTCACAAAACAAAACAAAACAGTACATTTTTTTTAATCAGTTGCTGAACCATGAAAATGAGGTCAAGAACAATGGGCATATGACAGATGGAAACTATGTAACATAAGGCATCTGTATACAAGATATGTAGCATCCAGGTCGTCTTCCCTCTAAAATATGTAGCTTACCATAATATGAATAGTTTAAGCAGCTGCTAGATTGTAATCATATTCTGAGACTTTCATCACAGGCGAGACAAATACTCATTAAGATAACAAAGACAACAACTTGATAAAGACATGTGGTGGGTTAGACAATTTTGTTAAAAGATAAAAACCCTCCCCCTTTTTTATCTTGGTCATATATATATGTGCATGCCACAAACACTGAATTTAATTTCTTTTTTCAGTTCTCCATCATTAAGCCAGTATGTTCCCTTTACTCCTATTTTACACGAGGCTGTGAGGCTGCTAGACAGCATTCCAGAAAAATGTGAGGAAAATGTTGACCTGTTGAATATCATAGGTATGGGGCTTAAATGTGCATATAAATAAATTTCAAACTGGAAAAATTATAAAATATGAGGGATCCTCATCTGAACAGAAAAAAAATTACCTTAAAACAAGGAAGAGAAATAATAAGTATTTGATTTAAAGTGGCACTAGCTACGAGATATATAAAAAATCTAATATATGAATTTTTTTTTTGTTCAATCATTAATGAAAGTGAAATAGTGAAATAATTATTCGCTTTAAACCGCCAGTATGGTTCAATTTTGTCAAAATAAGCTAAGAAACATTGATGATGAATTTGCAAGTGAATAATTCGACCTTATTGAATCTGTATTCATGTGAACTTCAATTTAACCCCTTAGCTAGAGATGGATAACACGTGAATTGTATGTATAAAGTTATTTAAAGGAAAAGAATGTCAACATTGAAAGTGAAACAAAGGTAAATCATTTGATTGACTGATCCAATCCACAAAAAATCATTCTTTTACAGGTAAAAACGATGATAAACATATATTTTTAATCTATAATATGAAATTAAACAGACCTAGAAAAATCCAATAGCACGAATTTTGCTTAATCTATTTATATCTTTATTTATGTTTACATCGCTTATATGGTCATTGGAAGGCTTTGGAGGTCAACTCGATAGTTAATTAGATGGCGTCTAGACTAAACTACACACGAAACGAAGCTACGTGTTATCATGCCCATGTCCTGTTAACTGTTTATTTTAGACTTTTAATAGTTTGGATAAATGTTTTACATTGTTATAAATCAAATATGAGAATTTGAGTCAAATCGGTGAACATGAATTTGACAGCTAGTGCCCCTTTAAATAAAATCTCTGAACTTTGAACTTAGGAATAAATAAGAATCACTGTTTGCATCTAGTTTTAGTTTTTGTTTCCTTGTATCTCCTACTTTTTGTCTCATTCTAAAATTTAAAAAAAAAATGTTAAAACTATGATTTACATAAAAAATGTCATTTAAGTCAATATTTTTTTTTTTTTTACAAGTAACTATATTTCAAACAGAAAATAGATTTTAAAACATGATTACATCTTTTTTGTTAAGGCATACTATTACTATAACTACAAAATCGAAAAGATGCCTATCAAATAATAATTGCAGATGACGATACTAAACCAGTTGAAATGGTGGATAAAGAAATTGATATGTACAATGAAGTCAATGATGCCAATGTAGCTGATTATGTACTTAATATTGTAAATGACTACCCTATTCAAGAATATAGAGAAATATTTCAAAAGGTACAGCTGAGCATAATAGGTCTTTCTCTAATTTTTTCAATATTTTCACATTTCCCAACCGATTGTGAAACCATTGTTCTACTCACTAGTGAAATAACTGTTCTCGTTAAATGATTGGTCGAAATTTAATTATGACGTCAAATTTTCTTGGTTTCTTCTGAATTTCCTATTGTGATGTCATGAAAAAAGGCCATCATGTCTGATGACGTCACATATAAAGAACACAACTTTCTGTAAATCTTTGAAAAGGAAGGATAAAAATCATAAGAGAAACAGATTCCACCAATATAACTCGTGTATTACAACATTTCTCCACTCTCAACAGTTAGATTTTAATTATTTAAAAAGTTCGGCAAGCCTCGCGCTTTAAATATTAAAATGTCTCGAGTGGAGAAATATCATAACACACTTGTAGCAGTGGTGAAATCTATATTTCTCATCAAAACTTGAAGTAATTCAGTCCATAAGAGGTGTCACAAAAAAAGACAATATGTCACAAATTATACATCAGAATAGTTACCTCCCTTTGAATATGATTGTATAGGACATATTTAACATAATTTTTTAGCCACAAACTATTAAAACCGAATTGAACTGTGATGAATAAATGATTTATAAAGATTCAACGACTTCATCAAAAAGTATGTTTATCCCATACATTACACTTTCAAATTGACTCTATTCTGAAATACAATAGCATGTGCATTAAGTAAACATCAAATTAATAGAGAGATCATGAGGTATGAGACAAGTATAAGCCTTGATTGAAAATATATACTCTTAAGAATACTGGGTACATATTGTTTTGTTTTTCAAAAGTTGTAAATCCAACTCGTCCTCATACCATATTGCCCAATGTTGCCACATTGATATGGAGATGTTTCCTTCCTTCTCCTTCTAGAATGGATTTACAATTCTGAGAATAACCTAGGTTTATTCAATTCTTAATGCTATATTTCTTCTTTGAAGGAATGATGACTCAAAGGCTACAAAAGTCATACTCTGTGGTAAGTAATACATTTATGCTGAAATCTAATTTCTAGGTACCCAAAGTAGAGTTCAAAAAAAGAAAATGCCAGAGAGCAAAACCAGTCTTTTTTGAGGAATCTGAGGCATTTAAAGAACAAAAACGTCAAAGAGACCGGGAAAGAAGGAAGAAAAGAAAGCAGATGTTTGAAAATAAGTCACCTCTTGGAACTCGAAGGGTAAAGATCTTCATCAGTTTGCTGAAATACATAATGAAAAATCGTCATCTTACGGGAAAAAAAAGAAAACTTGTTCTATAAACACACTGTTGTGGTGATTAAAAACATTAACTGATATTATTAAATATATCAAAAATACCTTGTTTAAAATTCTAAGGTATGGTCCCATGTTCCCTAAAATCATATTATTGATGAATCATATAAATGTGATAAATCTGTATGGATTGTAAAGACCAATGCAGTTATTTAACAAGAAGTTGCATGCATTATCATGATAGGCAGGCATATACCCCAACTTGTAATTCATTGTATCATCATACAGGAAGTAGGTTTTGTCAGATCAAAAATCACATACACATTATCAAGCAACTAAAGGTTAGTTTGTATGGGAGAAATGTGTAAAAAATATTTAGTTCATTCTGAAAAATTCAAAAGTATTGGCAAACATGAAGTAGGTGTCTGACAGTTCTGAAAAGTGTTCACACCCTACAACTCATTGCTGTCAAGCTGTCGACCAAATAGGAAGTTATTCAGTGTAGAACTACCTGATGAAAGTGTGGGGAAATCATTTGTTGAGTAAACAGACAGATAATTTGAATGCATATAGCACCCAGTCTAGGAATGCTAATAAGGGTATATCATCAATATAACAGACATTTTTTAATTCTTAAGAAAACAATATGTGTCCATAGGACATCATGCCCCAATAACATTTCCACGTTCATTGAAATGTGAAATCTTGGTAAGAACACTAATTTAGCTTATATAGTTTTAAAAGTTAACATCATTAGGAACTCCTGAATTTATACTAAGATATGATATACAGTTCTTATTTTTTTTCATTTGTTGGAATAAAGTGAAGGGTTAGTTTATATTATTTATAAATGTGAAAATTCGGAAAAGCAGCAAAAAAATGAATGTTTTTTGTTGATGAAATTTTTCTCCAGCAAATTTATAAGTGACTGGGTTGGCAAGGACTTTATCCAGTGATGCTTAAATGTCCATTTTATAGAATTAAAGCAACTTTGCAATACAAACAAAATGAATTGCTGTAATACTGTCTGTTTCTATAATATATTGATAATAAAATGCTCCTCTGGGCACAGCTTGATACGACCGCAGAGGTTGACCCTGAACAGTTGGGGCAAGTATGGTCACAACATTCAAGCTTGATACAGCTCTGAATTTGGATTGTGATTAAATATTTGACACAGCATAGGTTTCTGACACAGAATGAATGTGGTCTAAGAACTTAAAATTTTTTAATTTACCTATTATGGTCCAATATCCAAAATCTAAATACATACACGGTTAGATTCAGCATATCAAAGAACCCCAAAAATTCAATTTTTGTTAGAATCAAACTAAGTTTAATTTTGGACCCTTTGGACCTTAATGTAGACCAATATGAAAACGGGACCAAATATTAAGAATCTAAATACACGGTTAGATTCAGCATATCAAAGAACCCCAATATTTCATTTTTTGATGAAATCAAACCATATCATTATTATTTGCTTTTATATATAAATCAAAAATAACAAACTCAAAATGGAAAATTTTAAGAAAAAAAAAAGGAAAAAAGGAAAAATAAATCCCCCCCCAATTTTTTGAACCCCCTTATGATTCATCACCCCAAACTCAATCCCAGCCTTCCCTTTGTGATATGGTACTTTGCAGTACAATTTCAGAGAGATCCATACACTTGAACACAAGTTATTGTCTGGAAACTGTAAAAATGCTTGTTTTTTGGCCCCAAATTCCTAAACGTTTAGGGCAATTACCCCCAAACTCAAACCCAGCTTTCCCTTTGTGATATGGAACCTTGTAGTACAATTTCATAAAGATCCATACACTTACACACAAGTTATCGTCCTGAAACAAGAAAAATGCTTGTTTTTTGCCCCTTTTTGCCCCTAATTCCTAAAATTTTGAGGCAATTACCCCCAAAATCAATCCCAGCCTTCCCTATGTGGTATGGTACCTTGCAGTACAATTTTGGAGAGATCCATACACTTTTTAACACAAGTTATTGTCTGGAAACTAGAAACATGCTTATTTTTGGACCCTTTTTGGCCCCTTATTCCTAAACGTTTTGGGCAATTACCCCCAAACTAAATTCCAGCTTTCCCTTTGTGATATGGAACCTTGAAGTACAATTTCAGAAAGATCCATACACTTACACACAAGTTATTGTCATGAAACTAGAAAAATGCTTGTTTTTTGCCCTTTTTTGGTCCCTAATTCCTAAAATTTTGAGGCAATTACCCCCAAAATCAATCCCAGCATTCCCTTTGTGATATGGAACGACGTCATACCAATATACGACCGCAAAATTTTTTTGCAGTCATATAAAAACTCACTGCACTCCTCACAATTTGGATATCAAGGGAAATATAAATATAATGGACCTGAGCAAAAAACTTTACCAAGTTGTTCAAGCATGAAATTAAATTTTTGGCAACCCATTCAAAATTTAGCTTAGTGGGTTCATATGAAACTTAGAGCTTGACAATATGAGAACTATAAAGTAAAGACAGTGGCATGCATATATCCTGCAAACTAAAAGATATTACTTCAACCCTCTGTCTGATACACTAGAATAATTATCTTTTCAATCATGTCACAAAACAGTATGATACAAGGGGTCATCAATTTTTCGAATCAGTCACATAGCCATAACTCATTTCATTAATTCAATTAATTAGTATTTACTCATTCAGATTATAAATATACTCCTTGTATCAATTTTTATAGATTATATAAAAAAGAAGATGTGGTATGATTGCCAATGAGACAACTCTCCACAAGAGATCAAATGACACAGAAATTAACAACTATAGGTCACCGTACGACCTTCAACAATGAGCAAAGCCCATACCGCACAGTCAGCTATAAAAGGCCCGAAATGACAATGTAAAACAATTCAAACGAGTCATGCAAATAATTATTGAGGCCACAAAATCTTACATGTGGATTATCATCTCTCTCCCTACCCATTTTTCTTCTTCGATTTCACATTTTATTTTGTATTTTCAAATGTATTTATTAAACATTCTTGCCAATTTACTGTGGATTCATTATTATTCATGGTTAATTTACTAGGATTGTCAGTTTTCCTACCGAAGGTCGGTGGTTCTCTCCAAGCTCTCTGGCTTCCTCCAATAAAAAACTGACTGCCACGAAATAGCACAATAGTGTTGAAAGTGGCGTTAAACACCAATCAATCAATCAATCATTATTCATGGGGTACCAATTTTTCTGAATTTTGTTGGTAAAGATAAACCAAAGACTTAACTGTTCAATGAAGCATATATTTTCTATAGGCTTGCATGCAAACTTTGGCTGAACCAGATGCATGAAGTAAAATATCCATGAAAATACATTTTTTCCTCAATCCATGAAAATTGGTACCCTAAAAAATAAATGAATCCACAGTAAATGAAAATTATCAATATATTTTCACCAAAATATGTTGAAAGAGGATTAAAATCTTAAACTTCCATTTTATGTGGCCTAAATAAGAATATATTTCATTATCACATATTTTTTTTACAGAGTAATCGCAAGCTGAGACCTCCACCAAAGGTATAGGCAGCAGAAAGATGGATACAAAGGACTAAAGATTAGAGCAGGAGGTGGCACTTCCAGTGATAATGTCGTTCCTCTGGTTTAAAGTTCAGAGACATTGATTTATTTCGGTATCAAAGAGACTTAATCAAGTACAGTTTAAAACCAAGAGTGATCCAAATACTTGTGATGTAGAGAGATTTGTAACTAGAGCTTGTATAATAAATTTTGCAGAACTTTAATGATTGCTTCGTTTCGATTATTACTATAAAATACAGTTTTTTTTATTCATTACTTCTACCAGTTTAAGTATTAGGAGACTGATAGTTTTGGCTATATTTTTGGTTTTTACATCCTTTATATCTGTAAAACAATTATTACAAAAATGTAATTCCAGAGGAAAAGATCATTACTTATGTTCCACACTTTCTTTCAAGTGAAGGTAATTGCAGCCATGTTTGTAGATTACAATGTATTTGGATAAATTAAAATAATTTTAAAAGTTGGCCAACTGATGATGACATTGTAGTCCATATTTTCCTGGTGGATTCAAATGAGTTTTTTCATGCATTTTCCATTCAGATGCTTTGTAAAAAATATTCTGCAATAATGTCCCCTTGACTAGATGTCAAGCAGGTAATTGGTATGATTTTTTCGTAGAAATTATCTTAAGATAATTTATGACAATATTGTCTTTCACATATAACAAGAGTGCACATGCTGAAATGTCTCACCTGCTTTACTGACCATTGGTTTTGTTGAAAATCTGAACCATGAAAATGAGGTCAAGGTCAGATGTTACCTGCTAGACAGCCATGTACACCTTACAATCATTCCATACACCAAACATAGTTGACCTATTTATTATCGTACTTGAAAAGCACACCAAAACAACAAAATTAACATTGACCAATGTACGATGAAAACAAGGTCAAGGTCAGATGAAACTTGCCAGACTGACATGTACCCTTTACAATCATTCTTCACACCACATATAGTTGACCTACTGCTTATAGTATCTGAGAAACGGACCTTGATCACTGAAATGAGGTCGAGGTTAGGTGAATCCTGTCTGAGGGACATGTAGACGTTGCAAGGAATCCATAAACCAAATATAGTTATCCTAATACCCTTAGACCTATAATCCTCATCAACTAATAGTGCGGGAAATACGGTTCTCATAAGTGAGAAATTCACATGACCAAAAAAAACTTTTTTTTCAAGCAGTCACTAAACAATGATGATGAGGTCAAAGACAATAGACATATGAGACGGAAACTTCGTCACAAAAGGTATCTGTAAACAAGGTATGAAACATCCAGTTCTTCTACCTTCTGTAATATAAAGATTTATACAAATAGTTTACACTGCCACTGCCGCCAGATAGTAATCACTCCCTGTCTCGCATCTAACCTCCTTTATGAAGTTATGAAAAATAATTAAGTCTTTAAATTATTAATAGCACTTTTTCTGAATGTTCCCGAGGAAGGTAATTTCGAACACCAAATTTATTAAGTGTTTTATTTTGTTGTATAGTACATCTAATGATTTTGGTTCATCTACTCCAAAAAAAAATCCCCTCATTATTTAGATAGTCATCAACTACTGTTTACAGAAATCAGTCTTATAATAGCTATCATAATATTTTATTAATGTACTGTATATCTATATATAATTCTTACCACTCTGGGAAGAATTCTTATCAACAAAAAAAAACATCATAATGAAATAGACAACCATTTGCAACATACTTCTCACAAAATACCCACAAACAGTACTATTAAATATCATTACGCACCATTTATCATATGAATTTATTTGCCCTTTCACCACTAGTTAATGTCGCCTAAAAACTAAGTTGACATTGAATTTCTTTTCAGTTCTTAGACAGATTACCTTCATCAATCCTTAGAATACTGAACAAGAGGTGACACACTGAAATGTCTCAACTGTTGCAAAAATCAAAAAATATTTTAAATGGCAATCAACTCTAAAACTAATGTCAAATGAAAAATCTGTAAGATGCACATGTTTATGATTGAATTCATATTAAAAAAAATGACAACCTTCCAGGTATTATTTCTGGCATACTGACCTAATCCAAAAAAAGACAGGCAATTATTCATCAAAACCTATCCATATATTAATTATTGTTGACCTTTTATCATGTTCATGCAATATTTGTAAAAATGTCAACGTGGGGTTAACTTTTGCATTTTGATAAATTATCAGAATATATCTCTTTCTGTACTTAACCCCCCCCCCCCAAAAAAATAAATAAAACACAAATAACAAATTTAATAGACTTCTACATTATGTGGTTGTATTGTGATCCTTATAAAATAATGTGAATGGGCAGGGCTTACTTTCAACAGTATTTTCCATAGAGTTTTCACTGTGAGAACCATTATAATTATGTGTATTAATCTGCAAATTCAAGAAATGAAATTAAATCAAAATAGGCTGAGCAAGAATGCTATATTTAGATTTAAGAATGTGGTAATCCCTGGCCTATCATTACTATGCATAAAACACTTGAATGTTTCAAGAAGTAACATGAAAACTTAAACACATATATAAGCCAGTGAAGCATTATCGGGTATTCCAAAATGAAATGTAGAAGGGGGTGGGGGTCAAGTGTGTGAAACCTTTTTTTTTGAACCACACTACTACTTTATTATTAAGTGCCTTCTGACTTCTCTTCATACAATTTATTCTTGAGTAGCCCTTAAATCCTTACAACCCATATAAGAATTGATATAATGTTCTCGTGATGTTAAGGTATCATCATGCCTATTTCATGTACAGGTAGGTCTAAACAAAATGTACTTATTATAAACTAAATTCATTCAAAGTAAAGCAAAACTGAGTGATGAAAATTTATAACCCAAATAAAAGAAATATGCACCAATTTTATAGTACAAATGTACCAATAAAATATTTTATGATGGTTTTACAAAGAAACTTCAGTTTACAAAAAATTAACATAAGTAAAACTATCTTAATGATGACATCAACAAAAACACAATACAAGGTCCCTAATTTTCAACTTATACAGTATTCAATGCAAAAAGTTAACGAAAATTATTTCAGATAGAAATGTAAAGCAACAATGGTATACCATAACATCCATCTTCGATGAATAATTTTAAACTATGATGCATTAAAAATCAACTTATTCATACAATAAATCACCAAAATTAATGCTGTATAGATTTCATGAACAAACGAAAGCACTGTAGATGTCTATTATCTCAGAAAGATATCAACTGTGATTTAAGTTCTTAGCTGAATTCATCTTTTCAAGTCTTCTTTGTAAAGCAATTTGTTTCTTTTTCTCTATTTCGTCCTTGAGAGAATATTTAACTGGACTAAAATTTTGAATACTTGCAGTTTTGGAATTATTGGTATTAATACTTGTTTTGTTTATATCAGAGGTCTTATGAGTATATTTTTTGTCATCAATTGTTTTTGTAATTTTATAACCAGAACTCCTTTCAGGATTTTTCTTGTCATCTATATTGTCAAACTTCAACTTCTTCCTCTTTACAGCATCTTGTTTTCTAAGTTCAATATCTTCCGGAGAACATTTAAAAGGACTTGCATCACACTGACTTTCATTATCTAATTGAGTGTTGGTTCCCTGTTGTAATTTTAACTGTTTACGTCTTAGCGCTTCTAGTCTCTTCTTTTCAATATCATCTGGTGAACATTTTAGATGACTTTTATCTATGACAGATTTTGTTGGTGTTTTTGAAACATGCTTAGCGGAACTTTCGTGATCATCTGTACTTGTTTCTGACTGAACATTTTTTGCTGATTTCTGTTGCAATCGTCTTAATGCCTCCTCTTTTTTGTTTTTTATCTCTTCCTGTGAACATGTTAATGGACTTGTGTCACTGCACTGTCTTTCTGGTTTAGATTTTGAAACTGCAAACAAAATAAACAGTCTACACAAAAATGTCAAAAAGTCTTTGCAGCAAAGATTTAGTTCTTAAGAACCTGAATCACTTACAAGGATGTATTTTTCCAAAATAGCAAATTTATGCTTTTCATCAAAACCAAAGTAATAACAAAATTAACATTCCTGTCGTTGCAATTGGTTTTTGAATAGATCTTAAAAAATGGATAAATAGACCCCATTTTTGCTTCCTTGAGATCATAAAAGCCTTTCATCAAGACACAATTTACAAATCTTGGCAAATATTATTTTAAGAACATTTCTGTATAGTTTGTTTTCATTTCCATTTATCTGTTCTTGATGGGCAAATAACTTAGTTTTGACATATTTGTGTGAGGAATGCATTGATATGAAAGAAAAACAATATCACTGAAGGGTATTGTACATTTCAACAATGCAATGGCCATGGTAAAATATTTAGTTATCCATTTACTAAAAAATTGCCGATATTTTTTTTTCTTCAAAATCTTTAACAAGAGTGCACACGCTGAAATGTCTCGCCTTCTTTACTAATCATTGATATTATGTTGATAGTCCTAAATACAAAGCTATATTACAACTGTCACATAAACTTAACATTAACCAAGTTAACTAAACATTGACCAATGAACCATGAAAATGAGGTCAAGGTCAGATGAACCATGCTAGGCAGGCATGTACAGCTAACAATTCTTCCATACAACAAATATAGTTGACCTATTACTTATAGTTTAAGAAAAACAGACCAAAACACAAAAACTTAACACTGAGCAATGAACCTTGAAAATGAGGTCAAGGTCAAATAAAACCTGCTTGACTGACATATAGATCATAAAATATTTCCATACACCAAATATAGTTTAACTATAACTCAAGGTCAGATGACACCTGCCAGCTAGACATGTACACCTTACAATCATTCCATACACCAAATATAGTAGACCTATTGCATACAGTATAAGAAAAACAGATCAAAACACAAAAACTTAACTATAACCACTGAACCATGAAAATGAGGTCAAGGTCAGATGACACCTGCCAGTTGGACATGTACACCTTACAGTCCTTCCATACACCGAATATACTAGACCTATTGCTTATAGTATCTGAGATATGGACTTGACCACCAAAACTTAACCTTGTTCACTTATCCATGAAATGAGGTCGAGGTCAAGTGAAAACTGTCTGACGGGCATGAGGACCTTGCAAGGTACGCACATACCAAATATAGTTATCCTATTACTTATAATAAGAGAGAATTTAACATTACAAAAAATCTTAACTTTTTTTTCAAGTAGTCACTGAACCATGAAAATGAGGTCAAGGACATTGGACATGTGACTGACGGAAAATTCATAACATGAGGCATCTATATACAAAGTATGAAGCATCCAGATCTTCCACCTTCTAAAATATAAAGCTTTTAAGAAGTTAGCTAACGCCGCCGCCGGATCACTATCCCTATGTCGAGCTTTCTGCGACAAAAGTTGCAGGCTCGACAAAAATGGTTCAAATTGATTTTTATCAAGTGCTATATCGTAATTCTTATTAACATGAGTTGTTATTTCATGATGTCTAAAGTATTTGTTTTGTTTGTTCTGAATTTTCTCAACTTTTATACTGATATATCAGGAAATCTTGTTTTAATACAAATTCAGTGAAATATCAGGCCTAATTGTCCATGTCCTCTTGGCATATTAAACTTTATCACTATTGAAGATTTGCTCGTAAAAAAAGGCTTCTTCTTCTATAACTTACACCTGCTTTAAGGTTATAATAAACTATGAAACAGTAACCAAGATTCATTCAGTTGAGAAATATGCATTCTCATCTGTTGACATAGCAATAAACCAAGAAATTACAAATAATGATGTTTCAACAGAATTTTTTTTAATCAGATGCTCTCTTAAGACAGATTTTCAATTATGTAATCTTACCTGACACAGAACCTGTATTCTCATATTTGTTAGTTGTGTGTTTGTTTATTTGGTTCCCACAGGATGTTTTTTCAACCACCTGTGCCTGTGGAGTATTGCATCCAGAAATATCAAACTTAAGTTGTCTCCGTTTTAATGCTGCCCGTCTTTTCTTTTCAATATCCTCTGGTGAGCATTTAAATGGACTTTGAGAAAGTTGTGAATTATTTGGTGTCTGAGGAGTGCATTTGACTGAAAGGGTTGTTTTGCTACCGACTTCATTTTTCGTGTCAGAATTCCGTTGTTTGCAATTAACGGCTTCCAGTTTTTTCTCTTTAATGTTTTCCTGAGAACATCTAAATGGACTTTCAAGTGGTAGTGAACTGGCTGAAGTAAGAGGCATGCTTTCAATTGAACTTAACTTTGTAGAAAGAGGTTGAGTATTACAAGATGAACAATTTACTATTGCAGATTTTTGTTGTTTACGTTTAATAGCCTCAAGTCTTTTCTTTTCAATGTCCTCTGGTGAACATTTAAATGGACTTTTCATTGGCTGTGAACAGGCTGAAGTAGGAGGTGTGCCTTTGATAGGACTGAAGTCTGAGAGAGAATGGACATTACCAGACGACCCAACTTTATCTCCTATGTCAGTTTTTTGTTGTTTGCGTTTAATAGCCACCAGTCGTTTCGATTCAATATCCTCTGGTGAACATTTTAATGGACTTTTGAGAGGCTGACAATTATTTCCAATTATTGTGTGATGCAAATTTGCAGTTGGCTTAATAATTAAATTTGACTGACTTTTATAGTCTTTTCCTGCTTGAGGAAAAGTCTGTTGCTTATTTTCTGTAGTTTCTTTCTTATCTCCCTTTTCATCTATGCGGTGATGTGAATCAACAGAACTGTTGACCCTGTTTGATAGTAATGAGACTCTGGCATTTGTTGAACTGCAAGACTGGGTAGCTAAAATTGAATATAAATCTAGATATTTTATGCAAAACCTGGTTATCTTCTTTAAAATTCTATTCCTTTTCCTGAATACTAAAAGTTTCATGATAATTGTGGCAAACAAAACAAAAACTACATATGATTAATCCATAAACAAACTGTGAATTCATTATTAGTAATTTACCAGTTTTTGTTGAGTTTTAATTTTCTTGAATTTGTAGATATAAGTGAACCACAAATTTAAGTATTCAACAATTTATAATTGTGTGAATTTGTCATAAACACAAAATCAAATATCCAGGAAAATACAACCACATATCTATCTGTTCTGTCAGACATGTCAGATGTGCCATTTTATCCCATTTTTCTTTGATTACCAGTAAGTTAATAATAACAAAAGCAAAAGCTTTTGCATCAAATTTATATAATAAACAAGATCATAATTTTAAAAATGTGTACCAAACCTTATCCTGATATGTAAAAAATGCGGTAAATATTTTTTTTAAATTGATCAGTGACCCTTGAAGCATTTCTGGTATGGATATGAATAAGAAAATAGTATAATAACATTAATGGTTCCACATTTATTGCACCAGATGCGCATTTCAACAATTAATATCTCTTCAGTGATGCTCAAGGCCAAGGTTTTTTAATGTGGAACTTTTTAAAAATATATTTTCCTACAAAAACTTACATTCTACATCTTCTAACAAAGCTAAAAGTTGTGGTTCAGACAATTCATCATCATCCGACAAGAACAAATCTTCACTGGCATTTTCCATTGCATCAGCTAAAAAAAAGTTTAAAGTATTAATTTGTGAAAGTTTATAACAGCATAACAAATCTTAACAATATGATAAAGAATGAAGTCTTGATATATTCAGAAATTAGTATATTTATTATTTTTTTAACTAACAAAATAAAAAAACCGTAATTGTACATTAAAGGTGTAAACTTTCATGGAATAAACCTATTATAAATTAATTGATGGCCGGTTTATATTAAGCTGCAAATATTACACATCTATTTAGGTCAATATCCTATTAATGTGTCAGATTGTAAGATACTATGATTTATAAGACTGATATGCTGTGTCAGATTTAAAGATACCATGGTTTATGACAGACTGATATGCTGAGTCGATTCGAAAGTGTTAGCTCACAAGTTAACAGTCTGTAAGAAGACATGTCATCATACTTGGATAACTTAATTCCAACTATGAGTCAACTAGTCTTTGCTCTTACACCTAAATTAAAATGAAATCCTGACAAAACAGTCAACTAAATCCATGAACACTCAATTCTGATCACTTCAGAAGTTATTTATGTCATTCTGCAGATCGATCGCAATGCTTCTATATCCTTTAAATTACATTTTTCCATTTAATATTTAGTTGGAACCTCTCCTTCAGTTATCACAATTTCTACTGAAAAGCAAGAGAATGTTTACCTGATGCAGAAGATACAGTCATTGTTTTGCTCCTTGGTGTTCTTGAATTGAACGAATTCGATTTTGCTGGTTCTACCCTATGTTCTTTTTTCACAATCACATTACTTTCGTCCTTTGTTTCAACTTTGACCTTGACAGCACCAGTTAGGCCTTTTGATGTTGTATTCACACTTTTGGAAAAGTTACCTGCAATCGAGTCCTGATTATTTTTAGGCTCTTGTTTGACCAATGTACAGTTCTTTGTTTCTTCTATTCCACTTGTTTCCACATTGTTTTTCTGGTTTGGTTTAGTAGAATTCAAACATTTCGGTTCAAATTTCTTTGAATTACATTTTGAAATTTGACTAGATAAATTAGATAAATTAGCACCAATGTTTGTTTGTCTTCTTACCTCTGAAGGTTTTAAATTTGAACACATTGAAATTTGAGCACTTGAATTTGCATGATTTTTGTCATAGTTTATTTTAGCTTGACTAGCTGACATTTTAAAATTAGGAACCTTCTGCTTATTTATAACAGAAGTCCCAGCTCCTGACTTTGACTGAGGAACATCATGAAAAAAACTTAAAGCATCATCAACATGACCAGTTTTGTTACTTCCTGTACAAACTGGTATCTGACTGTCTAAAATTTCATCTGGTTCCACAAGCTGACACAGTATATCATCTGAAAGACTTGTATCAAATGCTCCACTAGTTCTGCGGGAACTAGGAGACTGCAAACACGCAGTTTTCTTTAAATGTGTAAGACTTGCATCCTTTACCTTTCCATGAATTTCTGTGCTTGTAACTGTTTTGACAATGTTCCTATTGGACAAGCTAGCAACAGATGGAATAGGCTTTGAAGTGGTAACAAAACTAGATCTAGTTGAGAAGGATGTACATGTTGAAATTTTATATGCACTTTGTGTTGAAGTCAATGAGCACTGACTTGAGACAGTTGACTTTACTGAAGGCACTACACCATGATCAGAGTTGCTCAATCTATAAGACTGTGTTGAAGTAGGACACTGATTCACAATACCAGGTTTGGCCATGGTAAAACTGGGTTTAGAATTATAGAATGTGTAAGATTTTGTAGATGCAGTAACATTTTCTTTACAACCACTGATCACAATAGGTTTTATTGTACAAACATTATTAGAAACTTGAACAGTGGCCTTGCATGGCTTCGATAAAACATTACTAACTTGATGAGCATTGTTATATAAACTACTTCCTTTTGTTGAAATAACAGAATAGGGTTTTGAAGAAACTGTTGAAAATTGCTTTGACAAAAATGTATTATTTTGTTTTGATGTTAAGACACAAGCTGTCGTATCAACAGGTCTACCAGCTTTACTCTGCACAGCATAGTTGTAATTTTTCTCCTGGGATTTTTGATATTCATATCTGTCATTGAAACTCTTGTGTTTTTTAAAGGGTGAAGCTTTAGCAGTAACCCTTGTTAATCTTGCTGTTGAGAGGCCAGGTTTAACAGTTGAAAGACTTGGTTGAATAGACTTCTGATTTTCAACATATTTCCCTAATTTTACAGGTGGTTCATCACTTTTACGAGTTTCCATTTTTCTTTTCTGACATTTCGGTTCTACCTGTACTTGGGTTGCTTTAATGATAAAAGAATCATCCTCAAAGAGATCATCATCACTCCAACTGTCGATATCGTTCACGTTTCCAGATGTTTCATCAAATAAGTCCTTTGACTCATCTCCAACTGAAAGTGACCTGAAATGATAACATTAAAAGACTGATTACTACCACTTGTCTGCTTTACAGATCATAAATGAATTTATCTTGGAAAGTCTTTAAGATAAAGGTTTTATTACATATATCACAAAAACTTCACATTATTTTTAATGAATGATGAGGTCAAGGTAAGATGAAACCTGTCTATTAGACATGTAGTCCTTACAATCATTTCATACACCAAATATTGTTGACCTTATGATTAAAGTATCTAAGAAGTGAACCTAGTCAAAAAATGCAAACTTGACCAACAGCAATAAAAATGAGCTAAGGTCAGATAAACAATGCCATTTGCACATGTACACCTAATAACAATTTCAGACACCTAATATACGGTCTAAGGTCAAAAGTGTTTACCTATCCCAAAGTTATCCCTACAAGGTATGGGTAGGCAACAGCAAACAAAGAATTTATTAAGGGTGACCTCAGTAGAATTTTTATTATAACTGTGTTTTCATATGAAATAATAGGGGAATTTCCAAAACACTTTTGACCGACTAGTTGACCAGCCATTGCTTATATTGTCAGAAAAACTGACCTAACCACAAAACTTAAAATTCTAATATGATGATCTATATATCGTCAACCAGTACAATCACAGTACAGGGCATTTTCAGGCTCCTAATACACCTCAGAATGTAATAAAGTTAGATTAAAGTACCTTTTCAGGTGAAAAATGTGAGGTTTTTTTTATTTATTATTGACTAATATAATATTATTAAATGGGGTAAAATGGAACAGCCAACAGTACTTTCACGGTTGACAAATTAACCGTATTTGTTCTGTTATAATCGAAACAATTCATGGCAGCCGTGGATTTGTTTTCATTTAACCATGGGTTGGGCATTTATATTTGTATTTAAATAATAATACCTCTCACTATCCCTCGGGATGAAATAATTGAATATAAATGCCTGTTAAATTTCACTGTGTACAATTTTTGCCACTGTTTGCTGTTGTCAAAAGGTTATGACATGTATGATAAACCAATTCAATTATTATGAAACAGAAACATTTATTAAATATGCCCATTCTTGTGACATAAAATACTGATTTTATATATAATGTCACTTCACCTTAAGGGTGAAAAGAGTTAACATATCAATTTCCTGTATGCCCAATAATGTACAAAGTGTTTAAACGGTGATATATCTTGGAATAGGCAGGGGAAGTTACTCTGGTCAAATTTTTGTGTTTCTTTTAGCTGCCAGGAACAAAACAAAAATTAAGCACAGAGGAAAAAAACCCAATATACCGTTATTATGGCGGTGCTGCCCCTTCAATCATTTCAAAGAGCAAAAAAAAAAAATTCCCTATGTTAAAGACTAACAAACTTACCTTTTCCTACGGTCCTTCTTTTCGTTGCCTTCAATGTCTGTTAAAATAAATTATTATGATTAGGTGACATACATTAAAATCTTGTAGAATCATATTGACAGAATATATAGGATTCAGGAGTATAATTGGAACGGCCCAAACAAATTATGTTTGAAGACTTTCACATTCGTGCATTTTTCTGTATAATACCTATATTCTTATGTCACAGTTAGAGTCCATTATTTAATGATGTCATTTACACCGATTCACATCATTCATGTAATTCATTCATGAAAAAAAAATACAAAATGGGAGTATGATTGGAACAGTCCAAACAAATTATGATGTTGCCAATCAGCTTATGTACAATTATATATTTTTGAATTTAACAACAGATGTTTTAGTACTTAAAGACTTGAAGAACGTCAAATTTGTCAGTACAATATTAAAAGTTTTATTTAGAACAGCTTTTTCATGGTTTCAAGTTGTTTGAAACAATTTCTTGATTGTTCTACATGTTCAATGCAGAATATTTTCAAGTAAGATGTATCTGCCCAAAAGCAATGAATTTTTGATGCCTTTTAAATTTGGCTGCAATGATAATAGTATTTTTGGAATGGAACTTAAGGTGTCAAGTCACTAATGAAACTGACAATATTCATATGGATTGTAGATTTCAACTACAGACATATTATTCCAATGATTCTAGCAATAAATATGAAATATTTACTCATTTAAATAAACATGATAAAACTTGTAGACTGGCCATTTTTTTTCAAAATACAGTAAAATCAGAAATTTTTTCAAGTTTTTTTTATGGGAAAATTGCTAACAGATAGGTTTTGCAAAAATAAAAAACTCAAATTTGAATTTTTTTTAGCATTATATGGAGACAGCATTCCTGAGATCCCAATTTAATTAAATTTTCATTTTTTACCAATTTCAATAATCGCAATAATAAATGGACGCAATATTTCTCTCTCTCTCTTTTTTGAGAGAAAAAGTCACTCTTTCTTCCTGGTGTTGTGTGAATTACTGTGATGTTTGGAACTCTGATTATGAATCATAGGTTATACAATAAATACAGAATATACAGAGAGAAATCTTAAGGTGAATCACCAGTAAACACTGTGAAAAATTATCACCAAGATTTTTAACTGAATCCCCTGTGTGTACTTTACAAATCACCTGTTGTTTAGGGTTATCCCCCTTACATACCTTCACATTTTTCCAAAACATGCTGCAACTTTTCTACCAGAGCTTCAGGTGCACCATCATTTCCTTTCTTAGATTTGATAGATTTTGACTTGGTTTTATTTTTCTTTCTTCTTTCTCTGGATACAAAGATAAAATCATATGTGCATTTATAAGTATCAAAATTAGTTCAGATAAACACTTGCACCAAGTAAGAGAAGTAGCTCTTTCAAGGTTTATTTTTAGGGGGAAAAATGACAGTTTCAGGGAACCATTTCACATGAATAAGGGAATCTGTAAGGTTAGTAATAAAACTTTCCAAAATAATAAAGGGTAAAAGTTAATATTTTATCCAAGATTACAAAGTTAACTTTTTTTACCAGTTGTCTTTTGTCTATATACAATCACTTCATTTGTTATGCCAGTATTGATTGATTGATTAATTGGTGTTTAATGCCAATTTCAGTACTATTGTGCTATTTCGTGTTCAGTTTTTATTGGTTTCAAAATACTGTGAATTCATTATTATTCGTTGGGTACCAATTTTCTTGGGTTTCATGGGTACAGGTGAACCACAAATTTAAATGTTCAACGAATAGCAATTGTTCTATAGGCTTTATATGCAGAGATTGGCAAAACCACGAAATCAAATATCCACGTAAATGCAAGTTTTCCACGATCCACGAAAATTGATACCCACGAAAATAAATGAATCCACAGTAGATATAAATGAAAATATAAAATTGATAAACATTTTCAGACAAAAGTTTAGCCAAATAAAGCCCTTATCTCACAGTTCTTTTTTAGTTCAAAATTACATTTGTTATGCAGGTATAATTCAATTTTGACGCAATGAGTAGCTGGTACATTCAGATGTCATGAACAACCTGCTTTCAGTTCAAAGTTACATGTCAAATAAAATAATCAACAAATACACATACAAATGAAACAATTCATTGTCTTTCAATGCAGGGTTTATTAAAATCCAATTAGGAATTCCCCTAATTTTTTTTTGAAAAAACAAATATGGTATTTTGTGAAATATATGGCAAAAATTAAATAGATGCAGAGATGCAAACAGTTTTTTTTTCTGTCAGACATTAGGGCCTACAGGGTAGTTAGTTTTGCCAGACCCATCAAATTTTTGCCAGACCTATATTTTCACTCAAAAATTAAATGAGACGCTTCTGAATAATTAATTTTTATTTTGTTAAATATTATTGTAATCTGTGATCTGTAGTTTATTCAATATATTAATACATAAATGATGACCCAAGAGTTATGAGTTATTTCTCACAGGAGTACTTTGACACAAGATAATCTAATTGTTCTTACGCCAATAATTGGCATAAGAACAATAAGATCAAAAACAAAGACAGTGGCAAGCTACATTTGTACGTCAAAACGAATAAATATGTTCATACATTAACTAAAATGAAGAAAAAAACACTCTTAGAAAACTAAAATAATACTTGTTTTTGTTTAATTTTATAATTTACTTAAATCTGGTCATTACAACATTAGTTGTCCCTTAATAGAACTTTTGGTTTTCAGTGCTTTTCAACTACATAATTGATTTGGCCATCTATTGTTCCAACTGTTCATGCACCACTGATGTGTCATATGGAGACGAAACTCGTTTTTTCATACTAACAATGTTCTCGTTATGGCGACTTATTCGCGCCATGGACGCATGGTTTTCTGTCTGGACAGGCCATTGCATGAACCGTGCGTCAGAGGAACGCGTCTGATAACACTTGCTGAGTCTTGTAATCATCAGAATTATCCCTCATCTATCAAAGAGAAGCTGAAAACATGCTTCTACTCAATATTTTTACCGGAAATTTTCTTTCGTTTTCATTGCTATGTGTAATAATAAATCCTGAGAAATAGGAAAATGATTATGATCACATGACTTACGCTTATTGGATAAACGCAAAGAAGATCCAAATATGTTTACATCAGCACGTTTACCTATTACCGGCAATAAATGTGTCATTAGAACTTTCGGTTTTCAATGCCTTTCAATTACATTATTAATTTGGAAGCCAAGGTTACAAGAACCAACAAAAATTTCAATTTTGACGGCCCCAAACAGTAAAAAAATTTGCCGGTCATTGGGTCTGACACAAAGACGTCATTTGCCAGACCCTCTAAAATTCTGCCCCCCAGGTCCGACGATTAGTTGCATCACTGTAGATGTTAAATACATTTATTGCTAAACACAGTACAAATGTATTACCTGTATGGTTGAGGGTCTGGTAAATTGTTATTACTAAAGCAGCTTCCATCATTTATCCATAATCCCAACAAAGGAGTTTTACTGGAATCTGGTATTTCCTCATGTAAATCCTACAAAAAAATGGTAGACCAACAGCATTAAAAATTCATGTAATTCCTTAATATCAGCAGATCACAACATAAACAGAAGTCCAGCTTACAGTTTGATTTTAAAAATAAAATGAGATATCTGAACAATGAGCATGAACAAAAAAAATACATTTATATTTCTATGACCTAGCCATTAGAGACTGACCGCCTTGGTGGTCTCGCGGTAGCATGTTTGCCATGAGTGCGGGAGGTCATGAGTTCGAACCCTGACAGGGTCAAACCAAAGACTTTAAAATTGGCATTTGCTGCTTTTTCACTAAGCACAGGGCAGTAAGGAGTAAAAGCAAAGACTGGATGGCTAGGAGTCAGAATAATGTGTCAGGGTAAGGTGACATGTCTTCCTGTGGACTGTTACCTTGTGAACTAGCATGTTAAAAATCCAGCTTAAAGTGTTGATCTAGTACAAAGCAGGGTTAATATTCATATTACATTAACATGTTCTTGTCCTGAATATGCATTTTAATTTGCCGCTGGGAGTTAAGCAGCCATACATCATTATCCTCATTTAGAGACTGAGCATTCCAAAACCTTAACTATCACCCTACAATATTCAACAGTGACTGTCTTATCATTTTTTTCTCTAAGATCAAACAATTTTAGCTTAAAAAGGAATGAATGAATGTATAAAAAGGATGCATTCATTTAGTATTAGAATAATGATTCAGCAAATTAAAGAGCCTTATAATGCACTATCGTGTTTTAACTTTATTAAATACAGACATAAGAAAATGAATTACAAAAGGGACGATTTTTCTTTCTCTATTGTTAATTTTCCTTTTTTGGACAGCAATGTTCCTTTGGCAAAGTCTAACATTGTTTATATATCCCAACTCTTTTGCTATGCCCGTGTCTGTAGTGATGTTTTGGATTTCAAAGAGCCTAATCTATGTATTACTGGTAAATTATTAGGTCAGGAATTTTGTTACCACAAATTACTTAAAACCTTTACTAAATTATTCCATAGATGCAAAATTTGGTTTGGAATTTTGGCTGCACCTGTAGAAAACTTATTTCAAGTGGAATAGTACATCCTAATTTTTTCAGTAATGTTGTTTACCTAGCCCGGAAAGGTAGATACGATATGGGTAAACTTATCAATCCTTTAAATAAACTTATTTGAAAAGGTTACCAATTCAACCCTGTAATTAAGATATTTGAATATTGTTTTATTGGTATAAATATTGATTTTGTTATCAGTTAATTCAAACCATACTAAATATTATTTTTATAAATATGCGCATATTCATGGTACTGCAATCTGTCGAAACCTATTTGGCATTACACAAGGTCATGTTTTTCTCTGACTGTTAATGACTTCTTTACACTACATCCATTGGATTTTGGATGTGTACTGATTGATATTTTAATCTTAGATAAACGATTTTTTTATTAGTTGTTATTGGCTTTGAGCTAGCTGTCTGTAACTGTGAGTACTCTCAGATCTGAATTTTATCTTTTTTATTGAGATGGATGTATAAATACCCTGCCACGTCTGGTCTGTGTTTTTGTTAGATGTTTTCTGCTTTAAATCAATCTGATGAGTTAAGCCCTTGTAAGCTGTTTTTATAGTTTATTCTTATGCTGTACTGTTACACCACTATCCAAGGTTAGGGTAGGGTTGGCACCTTCAAACATGTTTAACCCTGCCACATTCTATATGTACCTGTCCCAAGTCAGGAGTCTGTAGTTCAGTAGTTGACTTTGGTTGATGTCTGTCACATTTGTTTTTTATAAATAGTTAAATGTTATAAATTAGCCTGTTCGTTTTCTCAATTGAATTGTTTCATATTTTTCATGTCGGGCTTTTTATAGCCGACTATAGGGAAGGTTTTTTTTCTCATTGATGAAGGCTGTATGGGTGCTTACAATTGCTCACATCCACTTCATTTGGACTTTGGTGGATAGTTGTCTCATTGGCAATCATACCACTTCTCCTTATCTTTATATGCATAGTGTCTTAACTTTGATATAAATATTATCTATTAATTTTGTAAATACTTTTGCCCGATTACAGAGAATCGAATGAACAAAGATCAAAAGATCAAGAAAATCTTATCTCTACGAAGACTTTACTTCACATACCTCTGTATTGACATGGAGCTGAGTAATAATGTCTGACACATCACTATGATGCCTCCTTCTTTGACCTAAAAATTATCAAATAATACAGAAAACATCAAGACTCTGTTCAGTAAAGGTAGTTCTTTCTTCACATACAACATTTATTAACATGATTAATATACATTTCATTACTGTTGGGCAACCAGACAAAAAACCATGATAATAAAAAATAATCAGGTTTAAAACAAATTTTTTATTTAAAATTAAAACTAAAAAATTTCCAGTTGGACTTAATAATCAAAACAGGATCTTCAATAAATCTTATACAGGCAAATGAAATGACAAAGCAGGCAGTCTCAATGATGACTGTGGATTAAGTTCAACATCTGTGTAAAATGACTTAATGACAATTCCAGTAAAATGAAATCAGTAATGATAATTTGAACCTTTATATACATGTATATGTGTTGTAAATATACTATACTTCTTTTCAAAAAGTTAACAGCATCTGGTGATCTACAATCCCAACCAACATCTGACTGTGGGTCAAAATGTTGTGAACAGACTAATAAATCCTCCTTGAATGGTGTGCTTTCTGTAAATGAATAAGTTTTGCTGCTTTTAGGTGTGGCTATTTCCCCTGTAGGTTGTCCTAAAATAAAATATTCAGAGTATTTATGAAGTAATACAATGTCCTCCTTAGTCATGTTAGTACCACCCATCTACATTCATGACATTTGTAAATGTTCTATGCATAATTCCTTGGAAAATTCTCACACTGATCTTGGTAGATGTATTAGCTATATAAAGGTCTGAAAAACTTATTGTACTAGTAGGGATATCTCCTAAGATGTGTCCAAAAGTACTGGACTCGTGAAAATCTGTCTGAAATAATAATACACTCTTTCTATTTGTAATTTATTTGACATAAAGGACAGCAACTACCTATAATCATATCTGATAAAGAATCTGTAACATGAAGAATAATCAAAAACACGCCAACCTTATATCTTCGTCTTTTAAAGGCATAAATTTTTACAATATAAAATAATAATTTCATGCCAAACATTATATTTGTCAATATCTTTATACCGAACGTCAGTGAGGTGTAAAAATGTTGACAATTATAAAGCCTACTCATGTTAAAATAAGCATACAATGTAGATTATGGCATGATAAAATTATTTCAATTCTAATAGGAAATTTTTTTTGACTTTTGTGAGATACACAAACACAAATGTCCATTTTGTTTTACAGCATTGTTCAATATACAACTGACATTGCAATTTCATTTGTGACGTCAATCACATGCAGCCCATGTTTTCCAGCATTGTTCAAAATACAACTGACATTGCAATTTCAATTGTGACGTCAATCACATGCAGCCCATGTTTCCTGCATTGTTCAAAATACATACTGTTCTATTGCAATTAGAACATGGCTTTGTTTCCAAAGAGAAAGAATAACGTCATATTAGAATCTTTTGAATACGAAAAAAATGTTATCCGAAGATACATTTCTATGTTTACATTGAAAATGATGTCATAACTAAAATTCACGACGACAGGACCAACATAGGAAATGTTTCCAAATTTTCCTTATTTTTATAACAGAAATTAATAAAGAGCTGCGCAATGAGCGCATGATATGCCTGTCCCTCTTTCAAAGAGTTGTTGTCCGACATGTTGACGACGTATGGACAGAAGGATAACGTATACGATAATACGGCGGAGTTAAACTTGTATACATTATATCTAAATTTGATTGGACATTATCGAATAATCAAATTTACCTATATACCGGTTTAACCCTAAAGTTTGTTAAAAATTTTGCTGAAAATTAATGTTGTATTGCTGCTACAAAATAATAAATTTTCTTTGATTTTTGTTGTCTGTAAGATTTACCTTTATCATGTTTATTGAAACATTGTAACAATTCCAAAACAATCCTAAAAGGTATAACAAGATCTAACTCACTCAATACCTTGAGATCAAAGAAGCCAAGCTGCAAAAACAATTTCCCTTGATATTTAATGTCTTACAATTCTTACATCATACTTTTTACTCATTCAAAACTGACTACAATGTAGTTTATTCAAAAAAAAATCATTACTAATCCTACAAAAATAATTACTACAACCTGGGACATAATATAATAGTCCAACCTACATTTTTGTAAAACAATCAGTGAGATCAAAGACATCATAATTATACCTAATCAGCATTCTAAATCACAAACAACAGTCATTTAAAACAATTCTAAATAAAAACAAATGTAACAATGAAGCCAATTAACATGATTAATACTCCAAAACAAAGCCATCGATTTTTTTTGTTTTAATTTCCATCTTTATTCATGAATTTGGAGAGATATATATTTTCTTTGATATTCACCATTCAAAGGGGGTCTCATTGGGGAGATCTGATCCCGGATCCTGCTTACTGTTTTGACAGATTCCTGTATCCCGCTTACACTATGTACGTAAGCAATTCTCATTTTTTTGTAATTTCCCGTATCCCGCTAGACTTCATTTCCTGTTTTCAAGGCACAATAATTTGACTTTCACGTGTCACGTTTACAAAAAATCTGCAATCCCGTGTCACACTTAGACCCCAATGAGACCCACTTCAAATATCTGAATAAGATAATAAAAAACTTAAATTATACCAATATTAATATTTTATTATAAAAAAATAGGGCAAACAGACTCTATGGACGAAGGATTAACAGACCCAGGACGAACATGTAATTAAGGCGAAAGGACCCGATACCCTCACAGGTAATACATGTACCTGACTCATATTATATCTATTCATTTCAACCTAACTTATTACAATCATACCAACTGAACTCTGTTGTTGACATGTCGAAGGAGATTCAAGAATAATAGGTAACTTTTGTTTAATTGGCGAAACAGTTTTATGCAAACGCTCTGTTCTCTGATTTTGTGAACTTATGGTCTTTCCAGACCCGGAGACACTCTTCGCATGACGTCTTCTTGAAGTTGAAAGTTTGTTGCCTGCTGCGTTCCTAGATGAACGCCTCAATTCTATATTGGTTTGTTCAATTGCATCTGGGTGTTGACTCTTCATTACTACATTATAGGCAACAAATGTTTACGATTATTTTCGACACCGCTCTAAATCGTAAGTTTAACCGGAAGTTTTGTCTAGGTGGTATCCAAATCGAGGCAAAAGTAAAACGAAAACTAAATCCGGTTCAAGCGTGTTATTTATCCGATTGTGATTGGTTCGCAATGTTTGCTGCAAGGTCAACGAGACAACTAAGCAATCTTATCAGTTGTAACGTGGTTTTTCGACGAACTATTAGCAAAAGTTGCCAAGCAGCCATGCCAATCAAGGTATTTATGTGTTTTAGCTAGCTCTTGATAGACTTAGTTGACAAGACATAAACTTATACAAAAGTTAGTTTTTTATACAGAAATTATACTGAACAGATGAGCAGTCAAAATCGAAAGTAGACAGACAATCACTTGTTCTGATAATTGCACTTTTTGCATGTCATGATGAATCACATCTCAAACAGGTGACACACACCACAGACACTTGTACTTGTCTCTTGTTAATTAAAACAAACGTCTATATATAGACATACATGACAAACATGTTGTTAAACATGTTAGATAAAGATGTACATGTATATAGGTATATTATTCAACAAAGATGTTCCTGCGCTTGTTCTCGTAATTGTTTCAATTAAACAATAAACATGCTTAAAGTTTTCAGCTTATGCTGTCAACATTTTAGCTAGTCCAAATAATTATGACATCTTGTTTGCTTTCTCGCCTTACAATGACGCTGTAAGGCGTCAAAGCAAAAAAATATAACAGCCTTTCAAGACTTCATAATTATTTGGACTACATTTTAGCTATTAATTAAATGCTCCTCTAGTAGCAAATGTAAAATGTATTAATGATAATAGTATATATCTGAACATGCTGAATATAGCTGTGAACTGTAGCTCTTAGGTTCTTGTGAAATTTTTTGACCATCCACAAATTATCATAAAAATATGATAAGGACATAAGAACTTCTGTTTTGCAGCTAATCTAAATACACAAGATACAGGCAATGTATTTTCCAGATGAAGATTAAAACCCCCCATATAAAGTTAACATTTTTAATGTGTCTTGATCCCTAAAGTTTGAAATAATGCAATTTGGGTTAAAAATAGAGAATGTTTTAAATGGATATCTATATAGAATTTAGTGTCTTCAAAGACTGTACACTGAATGTGAAAAAGAGAAGCATGTATACAGTTTTGAGAATTTGAGACAGTTGTATTCAATGGACAATCCCTTCCCCTATCCCCTTCCTCTTGAGCACATATAGTTTATTTATATTCATATTTAAACAAGACATACAGGAAGGACATTTTAGGGGCTTATTGTCTATCATGTCTGGGCAAAGTTGAGCTAAAAAATGAACACCATCAAATTCCTTGGCTTTGGTTTTGGCCAGAATTATTTTCAACCCTTGGAGATACGTGTAACTGAAAGATTCTTCAAATGACTTGACGACTGTAAATTCATTTATTATTGCTATTTTTTAAAAATTAACAAAAATGCAAGTTTAACAATTGCGAATTTTGGAAAAGCTACATAGTACAGATATATGTATTTGATATCAGAATGAAATTTTTTATTATTGCGATATTCAAGTAGTCGCTTTATTCGCATTAATAAAAACCTCACAATAATTTCTGAATTTACAGTAATAGGCAATTTACTGAACTAAGAAACTGGTAAAAATTCATTGAGAATGGGTATTGTTATGGTTGTACTGGGTTTCCTGTAAACATATAACTTAAGTAAAAGTACGAAAAGGGTTCAAAATGAAGTACAACCATGACAGTTGCTTAAAATAAAGATGTTAAATACTTTGTGTATGTTGCAGGTTGGAGATAAGTTGCCCGCAGTTGATCTGTTTGAGAATGATCCTGGAACTAAAGTAAATTCTGGAGAAGTTTTTGCTAAAGGAAAGCATGTGATATTGGCAGTACCCGGTGCTTTTACACCTGGATGTTCTCAGGTATACTTAAACCCCAACTCTTGAAGTTAGGGCTATTTTGCAATCACGAAGTCCAAAGTCCAATAAATCTTTTGTCATGCTTTTTTCAGAAACTAAGGTACTTAACAGAATTACTTCATATTTGGTATGCAGCTTGACAGTGTTTAGTTGTAACATGTGTAAGGTGTGAGCACTGTGTTCAGAACTGTAAGATACATCTGTACCTACTTCCTGTTTGCCGATACTTTGAATTTTTCAATATATGTTGAATGAATTTAAATTTTTTAGTAACTATTGATTTTACAGAGATACTTATCATGCTTATTGTGAATTCCTTTAATATATTTTTCATTGCCATATTGGTATCAGTTTTCACTGATTTTTGTGATTGGAGAAATAAAGTTGCCATTTCAACGGTAATCATTATTGAATTACTTTATTTTATGGTTTCATCCTTTGCCCCTAAGAACAATGAAGAAAATAACTATATAATCATGATAATTATATTTTGCCAAGTAGATAAATTGATCTTGTTCTAATGAAAGTCATGAACACTGCCTATTTAATGGTATTTAACATGGCCATGATGTTCCCCTCCCAATGAAAGTAACGAACAGTGCCAATTTAATGGTATTTAACATGGCCATGAAGTCTGTAATACGTTTGATCCATATCATTTCCATTACCAGAAATACTCTTTTACTATACTCTGATTTCTCATGTCATTTAAACATTTTATGGGATAACTGAATCCCTGCATCTTTGAACTGATAAAGTAATTGTGACTGCTTGACATTTTTCAAACACCTGTCTTTATTTTTATGTACATTATCCAACCCTGCCTAAAGAAATATATTAATTGAATCATATAAAATCAGTTACGGAAGAGTTATAAGGAATTTATCCCCATTAGAATATTCATCCCTTAGCTCAACGTACTGACGTAGATTTTATGCCCAACAAAAGCACAAATGATGTCAAATAATGTCACCTATAACCAAACATTTTAACGGAAAGATAATGATTGGAATCAAGCCTATTGTATATATCTTGAAAAAAATATAAGTAGGAAGGGAAATAAATATGGTCTCAATCTTAATATGAATATGATATGTTAGATAATGAAATTAAATATGAGTACATGTATCAGTCTTTGAAGTTTTAATTCAGATAGTACTGAGATTACTCTAACACTAGTAGGAAATAAAAAACAAGCTTTTTAGTTTATAAAAAAAATAATTAATACAAAGGCAGACAACCACTGAGGCAAAGATGGTTGTGGCTGTTCCATAGAAGTTTGTTGGTTTCTAATTATCTAAAATATTTTAAATTTCATCCCATACTAAAAGATGGAAGAAGTCATTTCTGCTATATATCCATCTGTTATAAAATTGTGATATTCCTTTAACATGTTTAAAATAGCTTGACAGAATTTCTTCAAACATGCACAGATTAATCTTTTTATGTAGGTCAGGAAGTTATGCATCTGCTATAATTTGCTTTTAAACTGAGAGATTTTTCGGTTTCCTAAACCAAAACAGATTTTTTGGTTTCCTAAACCAAAACAAGAACTGAGTTGCACAAACATCAATTTAAAAGTATTAGATTTTTAACGTTATTTAAATCTGTTGTATTTGTTATTGATTTTTATTAACACTTTAAAATATTTGAAAAATGTTTTATGTTAATTAACATTTCGTGCAACCAAGTCATTCATTTTATTATTTCTCCTTATATCATGTACATGTATATTCTTTGGAGACAATAGATGATACACATCCTTTGAAGACTCACATATTTTGATTGAGTTTAATCCCTTGGACTTGTTTGATTTAGAAAGTTTAGTTAAGTATTGTGCTTTCTGTACTATTTGTCCAATTGTTCCTGCAGATATTGAACTGTTTCTTTTTTAATGTACTTTGATAGGGTTACAGATATATACTTTCTAAAATTTGTTCCAGATTTTACTTGTCAGCAGTTGCAATTAATATAATCACACTTTAAGCTTAAGTCACATAAGATAAACAGGATGTGGATCTGTTTAGCAGAATCATCCTACTGTATTTTTTTTATTTCATTCAAAATTGGTGGAAATATATTTATAGTCAGAACAAGAATCGTTTTCCCTGGTTGATAGCCTGATAGCCCGAATTCAACTTTTCAAACATTATTGCATCTGGTCATGTTTCTAATATAAAATAATAAGATGTGGCATGATATGTTTATGAGCTAAGGCTAAAGCAAGTTCTACGTCATTGTTACCATAGTGATATTCAACAATAATTTATGACACGAAAATTATTATCAAATATTGATTTAAAAAAAAACTTCAAAAAAATTACATAATCTATATACACATGATACATGATTTAATTCAAAATCCAGGAAGTGCATGAAGTGCAGGATTTTGGATTAAATCAATAGTTCAAAATTTATCTGTATTACTGAGCTATTTTTTAGCATAAACACCTAGTATTGTTTTACATTTGATAGAGACATTGACACTGAAGAAGGATATTTGTTCAGCCGAAATATTTTAACACAATTTTATATTATTCTTTTCATTAATTACATGTACCATCTTATATAAGTATCAATGCACAAATCTTAAGACTTTTCTAATTTTTTTCCTTATCTGTGCAGTATCGCCTTTTCTAGACAATCCAGTACATATTAAACTTGCTGGTTGGTCTTTTTTTGATAGACTTCTATATACATATATATAATATGTTTTATTATTTTGACAGACTCATTTACCAGGTTATGTATCAAACTTTGACAAGATGAAATCAAAAGGTGTAACCTCCGTAGCATGCATTTCTGTTAATGATCCATTTGTAATGGGGGCATGGGGCAAAGAACAAAAAGCTGATGGCAAGGTTTGTATACTTATAGAAGTTATAGTAATAAACAGTTTTAACTGGAGGGGGAGTCCCGGTGACAATATTTCTGATCCCTGTTGCTTTTCTAAAAGTGTGGATTCTCTTATTATTTGTTGAAACCAATTTTAGTGGATTTCGTGGGTACAGGTGAACCATTAATTTAAATGTTTAACAAAGTACAGATTTTCTATAGATTTGAAAGAGGACTTTTGTATAACCATGAAATTAAATATCCAAATATACAATTTACCCGGTACAAAAATTGGTACTTACAAAAACACAGTATGGATGTTTAACTACTAGGGTGTGTTTAACCTTGACTGCCCATAAGGGTCTCGCACAGTCGTTGGGTGTTTAATGTGATGTAGGTAATGTTTTATAAAAAAATGAAATGGCAATGTCTCTATGTATATTTTAGTTATATATGCTGTATATCTTTTAAACCAGTTTGCACTTTAGATAAATCCTCATTTTTAATCTGACCAATTTAAAATTTGTTGGTGTCAGACTTCAAATTAGACTTCACAGGAAATATCTTATTTTCACAGTAATAAGAACCTACTGAGCTCTCTAATTGAATCTTACTTACTGTAATTTAAATGTATGTAACATGATTTCTTTTTAATTTCAGGTTAGAATGTTGGCAGACACATGTGGAGAGTTTACAAAGGTAAAGTTGAAAATATTTGATCTACCTGTATTTCTTTTCAACATTTCAGTGCATTGCAACTGTTTTTCCCAATACAAATCACATAGGTTGTTGGATAGCAGTATCAGGCTTCAGTTTGTTCATCTACATTTTAAGTACTCTTGTGTTTTGGGGGCATGGATTGCCAAGTAGTCTTAAGTTATTCATATACAGTAATCACTAGCCTGTCAGCACTTAGGTTGTGATTTAAAACCCAGCACCCAGCAGGTGTGTTTGACTCCATTGTGAATTGACTAACATTGGCAGTTTTCATAACAAAGGTTGGGGGTTTCCTTGGGACACTCCTGTTACCCCACCCAATAAAAAAAACTTGGTGCCACAATATAGCCAAGAGTGCTGAAAGTGGCATTAGAAATCAACAATCAATCAATCATCTGCATTTGAAGCACTCTAGTGTTTTGAATCTTTGTCATCAACATATGCAGAAGTTTCTCCTATTTAACATGTTTAAAGTTTGAAAATGACTGGACTACAAATTTCTTACAGGGTTTAATGGACTCACTTGGCTTAATCTTCTTCATCCTTTCTGAAAAGGGGTCAAGCCTATGTATGCTGTATAGAAGTAAGATTTCTTGGAACTTTGAAAATGTGTAAAAAATTTCTGTAACGGCCCAATATTTTTTTTTATTGAAAGTTTTATAATACCACAGAAATAGAAGTCAAAAACTATGGCAATAAATGGCATTTTGTCTTTTTTTTGCTAAGAAGCCATTGTAATCATATCACTGTACATTCTATCAAAATATATATTGTTCATAAGATGTCAGGATTTTTCTTAAAACACTAAGTTTGAAATGCCAAAATGAAATTTAAAGGCTGAAATTTTAAAGATATTGATACATCTCAGTCAATCCCTATGTTCCTTGGACACTGTCAAAACTTCTGTTAAATTCGTTGATCACTGTGAAAAGTTCTTGGCCAATTGTCCGGTAAAAATTGGATTGGATAAAAAATTGTGGTTATTTGACTGACATTTTTCATTATAATACGCCCATCTTCAAAGACCGGACATGTTATGGTATATCGTCCGTCGTCTACACTTCAGATTATAACTCAAAAACACTTTCACCAATTTTCATGAAACTTTGGTGAGTTGTTTATAAAAATTGATGTAAGCTCCCTTTTGATTTTATGAATTTTAGATTTCATGTTTTGGAGTATTGGGACTTTATTCTTAAACAAGGGGGAATTTTTATTGGCGTAGTCATCATGGTCGTCGTCTACCGAAGACATATTGGTTTTCGCACAATAACTTTAGTTTAAGTGAATGGATCTCTATGAAATTTTACCATAAGGTTCAATACCATAAAAGGAAGGTTGGGATTGATTTTTGGGGGTTATGGTACCAACAGTTACGGAATTACGGGCCAAAAATAAGCACTTTTGTAACTTCCAGACAATCACTTGTGTGTTAGTGTATGGATCTCTCTGACATTGTACCACAAGGTTCCATATCACAAAGGGAATGCTGGGATTGATTATTGGGGTAATTGCCTCAAAATTTTAGGAATTAGGGGCCAAAAAAGGCGCAAAAAACAAGCAGTTTTCTAGTTTCATGACAATAACTTGTGTGTTAGTGTATGGATCTCTCTGACATTGTACCACAAGGTTCCATATCACAAAGGGAATGCTGGGATTGATATTGGAGGTAATTGCCTCAAAATTTTAGGAATTAGGGGCCAAAAAAGGGGCAAAAAACAAGCATTTTTCTAGTTTTATGACAATAACTTGTGTGTAAGTGTATGGATCTTTCTAAGATTGTACTACAAGGTTCCATATCACAAAGGGAAAGCTGGAATTGAGTTAGGGGTAATTGCCCAAAACGTTTAGGAATTATAGGGGCCAAAAATAAGCATTTTTCTAGTTTCCAGACAATAACTTGTGTTCAAGTGTATGGATCTCTCTGAAATTGTATTGCAAGGTACCATACCACAAAGGGAAGGCTGGGATTGAAATTTTTGGGGTAATTGCCTCAAAATTTTAGGAATTGGGTGCAAAAAAGGGGCAAAAAACAAGCATTTTTCTAGTTTCATGACAATAACTTGTGTCTTAGTGTATGGATCTCTCTGACATTGTACCACAAGGTTCCATATCACGAAGGGAATGCTGGGATTGATATTGGAGGTAATTGCCTCAAAATTTTAGGAATTAGGGGCCAAAAAAGGGGCAAAAAACAAGTATTTTTCTAGTTTCAGGACAATAACTTGTGTGTAAGTGTATGGATCTTTATGAAATTGTACTACAAGGTTCCATATCTCAAAGGGAAAGCTGGGTTTGAGTTTTGGGGTATTGCCCTAAACGTTTAGGAATTTGGGGCCTAAAAGGGACAAAAAAACAAGCATTTTTTTCTAGTTTCCAGACAATAACTTGTGTTTAAGTGTATGGATCTCTCTGAAATTGTACTGCAAGGTACCATACCACAAAGGGAAGGCTGGGATGGATTTTTGGTGGTAATTGCCTCAAAATTTTAGGAATTGGGGGCAAAAAAGGGGCAAAAAACAAGCATTTTTCTAGTTTCAGGACAATAACTTGTGTGTAAGTGTATGGATCTTTATGAAATTGTACTACAAGGTTCCATATCACCAAGGGAAAGCTGGGTTTGAGTTTTGGGTATTGCCCTAAACGTTTAGGAATTTGGGGCCAAAAAGGGACCATAAAACAAGCAAATTTCTCTCGTTTCCAGACAATAACTTGTGTTCAAGTGTATGGATCTCTCTGAAATAGTACTGCAAGGTACCATACCACAAAGGGAAGGCTGGGATTGAGTTTTGGGGTGATGAATCATAAGGGAGTTCAAAATTTTTTTTGGGGGGGGGTGATTTTTTTTTCTATTTTAAGACTTTTATGATGTATTATAATTGGTAATTATGGTTGCAAACTCCATTCGAAATTTGAATTGAGATTATGACCATATAAGGGGGGGGGGGGGGGGGGGGGGGGGGTGAAAAAAAAATTAAGAGGGGGAGGGGGGTAAAAAAGAAATTATAGGGGAAATTGTTTTTTTCATTTCAAATTTCAGAAATTAAAAAGAAAATTTCTTCAAATATTATTTCTTTTTGTAAAAAAAGGGGGAGGGGTTTAAAAACTTTTTTTCTTTTTTATTGGGGGGGGGGGGGGTCAATACGCAACAGCATAGTATATTGCACAAAAGCAAAAAATTGAATATAAATTCAAATCATATAACCAATTCTAAGTTCTTTGACTACAGTTATTTGGTGTCAGAAACCTATTATGTGTCAAATATTTAATTACAATCCAAATTCAGACCGGTATCAAGCGCGAATATTGTGTCCATTTTCTGCGGTCGTATCTAGCTGCGCTCAGCGAAGCATTTTATTTAGTTTTCGGATAATAACTCAAAAATGTTTAAGCAGTTTCATGAAACTTTGGGGACTTGTTTATATCTATTGAATTAAGCTCCCTTTTGTTTTTTTTATAAATTTTTGATATGACATTGATTGATTGCAAATTTAAACTATTGGTAATCTAAAATGATAATTTCTTAACCATATTCGGTGAACACATAAAATTTACAGATTTTTTGACTGGTGACAAAACAAATGACCTGTATTGCACCTTGGTTAATAAAAGAACAGCAAAAAGTGGCACGATATCCTTGTCATACTAAGCATGCCCCTCATTGTAAATCATGTATTGGAAAACAGGAAGTAGGAGTCTGAAATATCTATAAAGCAAGTATTTGTCTGAAAGGACAGAAAGCCACTCACTCATTTCAAATCATCAGTGTCCAGCTGCTGACCAAAATATGAAGTTTTTGTTCAGAAGTTCCTGAAAAATGAGTGACCTAAAATTATTATCTTTTAACATAATGAAAAATGCAAAGTATATGCAAACAAAAAGATAAGTGTCTGATAGATCTTACAAGTGCTCACATGTTCCAACTCGCCACTGTCTTGCTGCTGATTAAATATGAAGTCATATTGTTCAGTAGTTCCTATGAAAAGTGTGACAAACATATTTTATGGATAAGAGGATTGCAATATAGCCCCCTCTCTAAGTCTTAGAATGGGGGTATAAAAATTGTATTCTAAAAATTCAGAAATTTTGCATGCATTTATTAGGGCGTTTGTTGAACAATTTGCAAAAATGTGATGTCAGTTATTTAATTTCTGGACAGCATGAATATGCTGCATCAAATAAGGCTATTAAATTTTAAAATGTATGCCTTTATTTTTGCAAAACCTAACAAGTCGTAACTTTTGCAATTATGAAAACATGATTAGCATCTGTAAAATTTTGAATTTACAGTAAAATACACCATGCCTATCTCCATTTATGAATACTATTTAAAAAAGAAAACCCCTTATCTAAATTTAGCAACTTCCAGTAGAGGAAGGTATTAATTACTATTGCAGAATTTATACTTATGACTTCCTTACCATTTTGTGTGGGTAGCAATTTTCACAACCTTTTTCTTGAGGTGAAACTAGCAGACTAGTGAGACCTTAGGAATCACTGACATCTGAATGATTAGAATTGATTGCCTTTCCAAAATATAATGCATTACAATATTCAAACATGGGGTAAAAAAATGTTGCCTTATCATACCAACTACTTTTAAAGGAAGCTTTACCAGGTAATGGTAAAATGTGTTTTCTTTAGAATATTTTAACATCATAGTGCCCTTACGCTTTATTTTTCTGTAATCCTGTCATATATTTAATTTCCCCATGTGTTAATTTTTCTGATACTATGTATATTCACCTCAAGATGCTTTTGGGGAGGGGTCTAAGTAGTTCATCTACTGTATCGCTAGCCTATCAACACTGATGATGTGCGTTTGGACCCTGCACATGGCAGGTGTGTTTGACTCTACTCTTAATTGACTAGGATTGTCAGTCTCCTACCAAATGTTGGTGGTTCTCTCCAGGCACTCTGGCTTTTTCCACCAATAAAAACTTACCGCGATATAGCCAAATAATTTAATTTTGGATGTAAGGCGTCTTCTGATTGGCTGACAGTGTTTTGTTTATCAGCTCATAGACATAGTTTAGTCATGTGACCGTGACGTCGTCAATGTTTTTTCATGATTTACTCCGGTTTAAAATGGAATTTAGAATTAAATTATAAGGAATAACTGTAATATTTTTTCTGGTTATTCAGTGTGCACCACATTTTTTATGTTATTTCTTCATAGACAGAAAAAATATTACAGCCATTCCTTAAATAGTGCTGAAAGCTGTGTTAAACACCAACAATCAATCAATCAATCAATCAATCAATCAAGATGATATTGGTAGTTTCTAGAGAAAATAATGGCAACATTAGCTGCTGATTGAATACATTTGCAGGAATAAATTCAGTGATAGCTATGAAAATTATCAAATCACTTTTCATTTTAACTGCTTGCTCTTTTTGTCTCAACTCATATTTATGAACTCTAATATTTCTCAGCACTGTTAGTGTTGAGCTTAAATAAAAAAAAATTATATATTGCCAATAAATGAACAAAATTCTATACAGACATAAAATAGATTCAGTTGATTAAGGACTTGCCATTTAACATGACTATCATAATGTCGCTATTTGCCTCATTATGTACAGTGATGTAGGGGCTTGCAACTTTGTATCTTGTCATATAGAAATAAGAAGATGTGGTATGATTGCCAATGAGGCAACTCTCCTCAAGAGACCAAATGACACAGACATTTACCTTGATAACATTGAAACATCATGGTTGTTTCACCACGATATTTACAACATGCCACCACAAATTACCATGGCCTGGTACCATGAGAAATATTATAAAAAGGCCACAGGCACTTGGGGAATTGACCCCCCTTTTTTCTAAATATTTTTTTTTTTTTTGTGTTTTAATTTTTGTTCAGTAAATATCAATGGAAAGGTATGAAAGGGAATAAATTTCAATGATTTAAAAGTAGAAAATCGTAAATCACTATGTTAGAATTGTACTTAATTTACCCGGACTTAATTTGTTTTATTACCAATAAATTGTAATGTGTTTGAAGTGCTGTTTTCCTTTACATTAGGTCGAGTGATTGGTTATTGCATAATGTTGTATCAATGCAAAATATGCAATGATTAACTCTTACTAATATTTAGGCAGAAGAAATAAATTGTTTAAAACCAGATAAAAAGGTGTACCAGGTTAAAAATGTGGTGCAAGACAATAAAAATAGCATAAAAATTAAACTAAAGATTAAATCTAAATGATAAGTCCTTAAAATATATAATCAATGTATGCATCAGTTTTAAAGTTGAAGGATAGCATACAATTTTATAATATATAATCGTATACAAAAGACAGGACATATTTACATGATAAATCTCAAATTTTAAAATTAAATGGGATTTTTCCACTGGTGGTATTATTCCTTTGTGGAAAACCCTATTATTTTTAACAAATTTTATAGAACTGTGTAGATAACTATATTTTATTGTCATGTCACTGTAGGCAATACAATAATTGGGACACCAATCTTTAAGTTACAATTTTTTTATATGACTAATGATTTAGGTTTCAACAAGTCTAAATGTTTCATGCATGCATTTAATTGGAACTTTGTCATGTTTATGTTATATCTGTAAAACTTTTTACCCATTGTTTATTTTTTTTTCTGGCTCTAAATTGAGATATGTATTTTAAAGTTAAAGTCTCTTTCTTATACTTATTTTTTTTCCAGACATAGTTTATAAACTAATATTTGGAGTCCAAAATTATTTTTTTTAAACCTAGTGTGCCTGATAATTAGATGTTTGATTTTTCCAACCATGAAACAGAGAGTGAGTCATTGGAACTGCATTGAAAGAATATTTTCCTTGCACTAGTCCTGCATTACCTTTACACAAAAAAACCTTCCACTTTTGAAAGTGCAAATTTTTCATTGTAGTTTGCATGACGTGAATAAAGCAGGAAAAGAAAACAAAAGCCAACAAAATTTTTTAAATAACATTAAAATAATAACAATAATGATTTAAAGGGGCTTTGTCATACTTAACATTTAGTATTTCAAAATAAAATAAAAGTTTGTGACAAATGATTGCTTCATTGATGTTTGCTTTACACCCCCTCAGCACAAAAAGGCTATATCACGGCTAGGTGGTGTAAAATTAAGTTTTGATGATACTTATTTCTAAAATTTTAGGGAAATTAAATGAACTGTTTCTCATTTTTCTGCCTGAAATGAAATAGAAACATCAGAATGTTAATATATAATTTAATTTTTTTTTAAATTGTGTACAATATTAGAATAAATAGTTAACAGAGATACTGTTAAGTTCAGCAGGTTAGTTAATTCCAATGAATGTATTTTAGCCAGAACCTACATCACTATATTCCAGCAATTTGGATTTTATAAATCTTTCCAACCCTGTCTCTTGAGTTGGCTTCACACAGACAGCCTACCCATAAATGCCCAGTTTTATCAATGTTCAAGCTACAAGGCTTCTGTATTCCTAAATGAGTTGAGGATTGATGGAAGATAAGATCGCCAGAATTGTTTAGAACATGAAATGCATTGTTCGATGCGTCTGCTACAATAACGTTTTGAGAATTTGTGATCTCTAGATCAGATGGATTGAATGGGCCCTCACTAAAACTTGAATGAAGATCGGTGTAGATCCACATCAAGTGGCCTTCCTCATCAAGGGAAAGAACTCTTCCAGCAGTTTGACTGACTCTGTCAATAACGCAGATTCCTTTGTCTTTAATGTTTTTAACTGTCCACGGCAATGTAAAGAGTTTTCTTTGTGCTTTTGTAAATTCCAACTTATTACACAATTTTCCTTTCTGATTTATGGCCACAACTTGACGAATGCTGCTTTCCGTAAGTTCAAAGTCAGAATCACCTTCGGTAAGACCTATCCAGATCTTTCCGTTTCTGTCTTTTTCGCAGTGAATACAGATTGGTTCCAAAGGATGAAAGCTACGAATGTCAGACACTTGTCTTTTCCCTTGAGAATTTTTGGTCACCGATTTAAGACATTTATCAAACCTTGACAAAAAGAGTACATCTCCATTGGAATTTACTGTTATATCAATTGGCTGGAAGCCTTCAGTTTGCTCCACTTGTTTTGATTTAGAATGCTTAAGCTTCTTGTTAAAAAATCCAGTTGTGTTCAGTTTTAATTTCACTATACTGTTTCTGTCAATACTGCAAACATAGGCTTCGTCATCATTTGATATGTTTATTTTATTGATTGATGGTAAATTTGTGCTGACAGTGTGAACAACTTCGAAATCTTTCATCAGCATGCAAAAAGTATCGTCTGAACTACCTTGACTTTCCAATTGGTGAAAGATTTGATCCTCATATCCAGAATCTGTCAACGACTTTTGTTTTGTGTCCTGTTCAGATGTGTTTGTGTTATTTGAAAAATTTTCACTTACAAATTGTGAAATCTCTGCAAGGTTATGATTTTTTGAGTGGATTTCAAAAATGCAGTCGGTGCAAATCAAAAAGTTGCATGATCGGCAAAAGAATGTGTATGTCCTTTTGTTATGTTTCTTACAAGTCATTTTCTTGATTTCTTCCTCTAATCGTAATTCCATATTACATGTGGAAATGTCTCCAAATTTCACTATCATATGCTCTTTAGTGGAAGGAATACGGGAGTGAATTCCACTGCAGCTATCACAAATAGTAATCCTGCAGTCTATGCAACGCCATTTGAGATTTTGTGATCCATCACACAGCTGACATGAAATTTTCACTTGCGAGTTGCATCTCTCCATAGTTGCATATGATATTGTGTCATTTCGAAAAATTCCTTTTATATTCACACAAGATATAGTTGCATATGATTTTGTATATCTCCTGTGATTACGATCCTTGCATCTTACAATTTATGGGTGAAAATTTTCTTTCAGTCTGTTTATATAATTTTTTGGTAAAATTCCAAAGTTTAAAAATAGTATATTAGTAAATGATTCATATTTGATAGCATCGTCAAAAAATAAAACTTATGACTAAAGACGTCACAGTAGTACGTGACATCATTTTTAAGTTGAGGCTCTAGATGGTATTTGCCAAATATAGAATGTTAGCAGTAACTATATCAAATAATGACCTTAAATATTGATGAATTAGGAATGTTAAGGTAAAGAATAAAAATATTTTTAAAGAGGTAAAAAGGTTTGAGAAAATTAAGTAACAATGACTGAAGTATTAACAAATATACAAAAAAATGGACAAACAATTACTGAATCCAGAAAAGAAGATTTCCTCATCCAGACCCTCAAAGAATATCATACTAATAATAAACCACTGAACCCATCTTATGTCTTTATATAGATAAAGCACTTGACTAAAGGGAGGAGCAAGAAACTGTAAATACTTCCAGTTTCAGTCTTGACTTCCTTGTTATGATCAATATACAACTTGAAATATACATCACATGTCTATTGCATGTCTATTTCATAAGGTAAAATAAACAAATAAGTCACAAAATGCAAACTTATTGTTTTATATACATAACATGTCTATTTTATCTTATGAAATAAGAATAAGATAAAATAGACAAAAAAATTGCAAAATGCAAACTTATTATTTCATATACTATATGTATACATCACATATCTATTTCATATTAAAGGTAAAATAAACAAATAAGTTGCAAAATGCCAAAAAAAATTTATATATTAAATTTTATTTTGAAACCGTCTGATTGTAAATTTTTTAGCCTTTATATAAATATTATTGTCTAGGCAAATGCATATATGCTTTGACTACATCCTTATAAGATGAAAAGGAAAAACCTGTAGTAAAGGGAAGATCAGATAACCTTACACACATGATTGTACTTTTTGTGGTTTTAAAAAATATCATGCCTACTTGAGTTGTATATAGTTATATATTTTGTTCATATTTGATTTTTCATGTTGAAGTGGGTAGGTTGGCATTAGTCATCAAGGTTATCATGCAAATGTTCTCCCAAGAAGGATCAAATATTTCTGTACTTGCATTTTATTTGCTTAATATTTGTAGATTAAATCAATATGGTAACTGATTTACAAAAAATAAAAATCAATTGTAACATTGGTTGCTATGAAATACCTTGATTTTCCAGTCAGATAAGAAGTTAAGAACCACTAGTTTAACTCCTGACGTCATACAACTACCCGGTATAGCTGTTAGGTGTTGCCAATTTGGTTCCATGGAAACAGAAGTGAGAACACATAGAAAAATATATAATTTCCTTGAATTTTTTACTTAATTCACATTAAATGTGGATGTAAGAAAAGCTTTTTTTTTTGTGGTATTGGAGGGAAAATGTTGTACCTTTATAATAAAAAGTCCTTTCGGGAAAAAATTGTTAACAAGGGGAGAAGACTGTTCAAGATTTGATTTTTGAAATAACCTTGTAATCATTATTGAAGATTAAGATGATAAATTATGATGACATGTATGGGGAAAAAAATCAATTTTTCCAAATTATTTTCAGCATAGTTGTTTTTCTTTGTTTTGTATGTTGCTACAACTCAGACTTATCAAACTAGATTTGATTACTTTGTAAAGTCAACTCATTAGCATTGTTTGACCGATACATGTGTAGATAATCTGACACTTTTTTAATACTTTCCACTGCATATTTTTTGCGCTAAGAGGACATAGAGTGATTGACTTTTGTTGCTGTTTATCAAATTTGTTTTGCTTTTATTGTTTTGTACCTAAGTCAGGCCATTTGTTTTATACTTGTCATGTCAGGGTCTCTTATAGCTTGCCAATGGGTATGGGAATTGCTCATTGTTGTAGGCCTTACAGTGGCCAATAGTTGCTAACTTCTGCGTCATTTGGTCTCTGGTTAAAAGATGACCCATTGGCAATCATACCAACTCTTCTTATTATTATATCAATCAATCTGACAAAGGTTCAACAATTTAGCAGGACCTTTTTTTGATTTTCGTATTTCTCTAAACTTAGTGTAACCTTTTGGATGCATTCAACTCATACAGATTTTGTGTGTGATTCTACTCACTTTTTGTATGATATTTCTTAATTTTGATCAGTTTGTTATGCAGGAGTTATACCTGTTTGACATTTTTGTATGACTATATGCATATTGATTGATACTTTGGGAATATTGGTTCTTAAGGCATTTATTTAATATCTCTTATTTGGTTTGATGTTTGCTCATGTTTTGTATTTATAATGCAATTTGGTTCACTGATTTGGATTGTTGAAGTTGTTGCCCTTTTCACATTTTGCATGCCTTTACGGCAAAAACAGACATTATTTATGATAGATTTAGAAAAAAATTAAATTCAAATTTTATTTCTAAAATATAGGTTACCATACTAATTTTCCAGAAGATTGAAGAAGCAAATTCTATTATTTTATAAAGGTTGTACAAGGGAAATTTTGTTTTGTGAATGAAGCAAAAATTTTATCAATAGCTAAATGATGAATTTTTAGGATGAGATTATTTTGGTCAAACACTTTAAGGAAGTATAAAGAAAAAAATGAGGATATCTGTTCTTTTTTTCCTGATATTTTGCAGATTACTGTAAAAACTAGTTGCCTTTTAGTCAAATCCAGTTTGATAATTTTCCCCTGAATTTGACATGAATTTTTAACAAGTTATCTCCAGGCAGTTCCCTTTAAAAATTATATTCTTTGATTCATAAAAAATTCCATAGCTCTTGTACATTTTCTAAGTTTCATTTTTTTTGCAATTGTACTTTTAAGAAAATGATTACTGGGTTTTGATTTTAAGTTTCCTCTTTATCCTTATAAGGTAAGATGTTATGTATGATTCATCTTATCTTATAAGCTATATATCCAGGTGTAGATCCAGGATTTTGATGAAGGGGGGCCCCATGGGCAATGCAAGTTAGGAAATGAACTTGTAAAAAGTCTACACATAAACCATATGAATAGCTCCATCAGCATGATCATGGGGCTTTTTTACATTCTCGCATTCTTATATGTAAGATTTACATTGTAATTGCATCCCTGCTGACAGATGAATTAATAGATGGGTTGATTAATTTATTGATAGCTGTTATATGTCCAGTGGCAAATATTACATGCATATTCAGGACATTAACACAATAATGGCATATCAAATTATGCAGTTGTGACAGTACTTCAGTTGAAACACTTCCTTTTGTCTTTATTTTCTAAATATAGTAACGAAAGATACATTATACAGTATCAGTTTCATTTCACTTTCCTTTACAATCGGGGGGTTTATTTAGGTTTTATTTTTGTTTCAACACAATTAGGATTGACAGTTAGACACATAAGGGTATTATTTAGAATAGAGGTTTTTAGCCTCTTTTTTTAAAAAACTTTATGCAAGTACATGTATCTGGTTATTTGAAAATCAAAATTAGTTCAAATGGTTTTTAAAGATTTTCAGAATTATTAATAAATGTAATTTTGAAATAGCAATGAATAGTTCACATTTTGGATGGATCCTTTTACATTACTTAAGCTGAAACAATCCATTTAAATCTTATTTTAGAGCTGTTTTCCTAATGCATGTAGTTTAAAAGTTTGGTTGGCTTGCTTGCTTTGTTTGTATGGATGTTTGCTCAAGCATTGTAATTTAGATTGACATCTGTGATCAATAGATAGACGAGGCGTCAGCTTGTATACGTTATACTCAATAACATTTAAATATAATGTATACAATGCTTTATTCAAACAAAGCAAGCAAGCCATTCAAACCTTACAAGCATTAGGAAAATAGCTCTAAAAGAACTGTAAGTTTAGAAATTTGAGGGGACCTAGTAGTTTATCTTCAATCACCATTATAGCCTGTCAGCACTGAGGTTGTGAGTTCCAACCCTGTTTTGCAGGTGTACTTGACTCCAGTCTTCATTTACTAGGATTTCTTTCTGAAGGTCTATGATTCTCTTCAGGCACTCTGGTTTCCTCCACCAATAAAAACTTGCAGCCATAACTTGGCCTAGAGTGCTGATAGTGGATTCTACCACCAACAATCAATCAATCAGAATTTTTTTGTATCCACGTATTATTGTGATTGTTGAACAATGGACACAAGAACACAAAATCATATATTTTATGTTGGTATGATACTAAACCCCTATCGGGAGGGATTGTGCTTGATTTTCATATGATGAAGACATATTCTTTCCATCAGTTTAATTGCGGTCTGGAGCTGGCATGTCAGTAACTGCTTAAGTAGTCCTTTGTTAATTTATGTATCATTGTCATTTTGCTTAGTTTCTTTTGTTATCTTTTCTGACATCTGACTCAGACTTCTTTTAAACTGAGTTTTACTGTGCGTATTGCTGTGTGTTTGTTTATTCTACATTGGCTAGAGGTATAGGGAGAGGGTTGAGATCATACCAAAACATGTTTAACCCCGCCGCATTTTTGCGCCTGTCCCAAGTCAGGAGCCTCTGGCCTTTGTAAGTCTTGTATGTTTTTTAATTTTAGTTCATTTATATGTTTTGGAGTTTAGTGTGACGTCCATTTTCATTGAACTAGTACACATTTTTGTTTAGGGGCCAGCTGAAGTCCGCTTCCAGGTGCAGGATTTTCTCATTGTGTTGAAGACCCATTGGTGGCCTTTGGCTGTTTTCTGCTTTTTGGTCGGGTTGTTGTCTCTTTGACACATTCCCCATTTCCATTCTCAATTTTATTCAAGATTAATATTTAGGATTTCTTGAATGCTGCATACAATTGATACTAGCTTTTATTTTCTCAAAATCTGTCTGTTGCAATTTTTGCTGTAGATAAAAATATCACAAAAATTGAAGAATTAATAGTAATAAAATTCAAGAGTTATTATGGAAATAGTCGATGTTCTTACAAAAAGAATTCCTTGGATATTATTATTGTGTGATCGAGTATTATACCTTTTTTTTTCAGGCTGTAGACTTGGAAGTTGATTTGAGTGGTCCATTAGGAAGCAAGAGATCTAAGAGGTTAGTATGTAGTATTTGAAAGAAAAACATTTTAAAACTGAAGGTCACAAAATTTAACACTGAAGGTCATTAACTACCGGTACATTAGTTCAATTTTTAAGCAAAACATTCTTCAGACTTGTTAATTCAATAAAATTTGGAAATCGCACAAAAATTGTTGAATTCTCTTGTATGCTGAATTAACTTTTCAGTTTTAGGGAGGGAATTGCATACATGCAATCAAAACCCTTATGGGACTGGCTTGATAGTCATTTTCCAGACAGTATTTTTGCAGTCATAAACATATAGTGCATTAAGGTGAACATTCTTTTCAACTTTTCCATGTACATGTCGAGCAATTATCAATAAAATATATATTCTGAATGTCATATATTCAAGATACAAATGATGTGTTGGGTCTAACCATACTTATCAAGAAAAAACTATGTTATTGAAAATGAAACAAGTTGTGCATGGTGCATGATTCTATCTATTCTAAAAATAGCAATGAAAGGTAATACTTAGAAATGTAGTTTAACCAACTACAATTATTGACTCCAATTCAAAATACTGCCTTCCATTGCTTAAACATGTTAATGCAATGCAATGATTATTGTCTCGCCTTGACAGAGTCAAAAAGCGGGACATAGGTATGCTGTTTCAGGCGTCGGCGACGGTGGCAGCGTCAACAGTGTATTAGTTTGTGATTAGGTCTAGTTCATGGTGAACCACTAGTGGTAGGTCAATGATAAATTGGTATGCAGTTGTATTAGCATTGGCACATCTCATTACCATGGAGATTATTTGGCCCTGCCCCCTCAGTCAAGGTCTATTGACTTTGAAACTTTTCATAGTTTACATGTATTAGTTTGTGATTAGATCAGTTCAAGGGGAACCATTAGTGGTAGGCCAATGTTAATTGGTGTTCAGTTGTATTAGCATTAGCACATCCCATTTCCATGGAGAATATTTGGCCCCGCCCCCTCAGTCATGGTCTATTTACTTTGAAACTTTTGCTTAGTTTACATGTATTAGTTTGTGATTAGATCAGTTTAAAATGAACTACTAATGTTAAGTCAATGATATTTGGTATGCAAATTTATTGGCATTTGCAAGTAACGTTTCCATGGAGATTATATAGCCCCACCCCTGATCATGGTTCATTAACTTTGAAACTTTTACATAGTTAATGTTTGTGTTTAGGTTTGTTTAAAGGGAAATTTATAATAAGTCAATGGTATTTGGTATGCAGTTGTATTAGCATTGGTACATCTCATTCCATGGAGATTGTTAAGCCATGTACCTTCAGTCATGGTTCATCGACTTTGAATATTTGCATAACTTACATGTTAAAGTATTGCTATTTTAATTTCAACATTTGCATTATCAAAATTACAAAAAGGCGAGGCATATCTCTTTGATAACAGTTTATATAATTTTTAGTTTAAATTTTCTAGAATTATTGCCAATTTATTGAGTGTGCGAATACCATAACCATACATCAAACGCTGTCAATAAAATTAATCAGTCATCATCTCTACACATGCACATTTTGATTATTTTGAGTTTAATATATTTTATTTGACAAATTGTAAAATATGTTAATAAATAGCATGTTTGACACCAAAGCTGTAAAGTGAAACCAAATAATTATCCAAGTTCTCTGATTTACAAGTAAAAATTACTTTCATCAGTGTTACAAAATCGATATACACAGACTGACTAATTTTTATTTTGAGATTGAAATCTTAAAAAAAACTGGAAGATTTTTATTTTTAACGGGAGGGACGGAAGAGGGCTTGAAAATCAGGAGATTTTTACTCCGCCGGAAGAATCACGTCTGGTATTAAAAAATTCAACAATTTTTCACCATTAGAAGCTTTATTTCACATAAACATGAATTTACACTATAAATAAAACATTTTCTGAGTATATTTTATTACAAAAGGTTTTAAAAGTCATATTCTATCCAAGCTTTTTGAACAATTGCCATTGATTGTCAGGTATTAAATTTAATTTAAATCTGTTGTGATAGAACTTGCTTCGGGTGAGTATACATGAGCAATTTTGAATTCAACATTTGACATTTTTTATATATACGAATTGCCAGAAAAACTAGTGAACATGCATATAGTTACAGTCGTAAGCTTTTAGAATTAACATATATTATATTTCGCTTTTGACAGATATTCAATGGTAGTGAACGATGGTGTAGTAACAGCACTCAACATTGAACCAGACGGAACAGGTCTAACTTGCAGTCTTGCCCCAGAAGTTCTCAAACAAGTCTAGTCTGAATGAACAGTTGTGTGTAGTGCATTAATAGATTTACCTTTTATAGACATGAATCTGTACGCATGGATTTGCATAGACCTTGGATTTGAATAAACCAAGGTTTTATGATATCCGTTCTGCTATATTAGACAAATAATTCAAGCCACAAAAAATTAACTTTTGTGTTTTCTTTGCAGATACTCAATGTTAAAAATTTTATTTAATAGATAAGGAGATGTCAGAAAACCAAAGAGTTACTATTGGGTAGCTATTTTTTACAATACTCTTGCATCAGAGATATAAAGAGTTACTATTGTGTAGCTATTTTTACAATACTCTTGCTAATGCAAAGAGCTTTTTGAAACTAATCGAGATTTGCATTTTTTATAACAAGAATCAATTTAGAGGGGCATGCTTTTTTTCTGGGATAATTTTATGTGTAGTCATGTTTTTATGCACAATGCTTTCTATTATTGGTTTATAATTTTCATTTACATCATATTTTGAGATCAAAAGCTTGAAGTTTATTTGCAAATTTTGCCATATTGTTAAGTTTGTTTCATTTTATAAATTATTTGCCAGAAGGTGCTTTATTGATATCAGCATTTCTACCATTCCATTTTTATAGACCTGTATCTAATATTTGATGAAATTTGTGTTAAAAATAAATTCAAACCTTAAATCTAAGTAATTTTATCAGTCAAAGTCTCTTTTGCTATTGCACAGCTTTAAATGTACCTTAAAAACTGAAATAGCATTGTAGTTACTGGTTGTTTATCTTATTTCAAAGTTTTGAAAAATTATATGGTAAAATTTAATGTTTACATGTGATTATTTGTTCTCATATTTAGTAAAATAAGTGAAATAAAGGTTTTATAATCAAATACCTCTTTATATCCTCCTTTGTCTTGCCTGCAAGGAAAGTCACAGAATGTGAAAAATATGAATATAAAATTTAGAAGATGTGGTATGATTGCCAATGAGACAACTTTCCACCAGAGATCAAATGATGTAAAAGTTAGCAACTATAGGTCACTGTATGGCCTTCAGCAGTGAGTGAAACCTATTTTGCAAAGCAAGCTATACAAGGCCCAAAGATGATGCTTATCTCATTCATGCAGTAGCAACAGTCTTAAAGGGGTACTAGCTGTCAAATTCATGTTCACCGATTTGACTAAAATTCTCATATTTGATTTATAACAATGTAAAACATTTATCCAAACTATTAAAAGTCTAAAATAAACAGTTAACAGGACATGGGCATGATAACACGAAGCTTCGTTTCATGTGTATTTTAGTCTCGGCGCCATCTAATTAACTATCGAGTTGACCTCCAAGTCATCCGATGACCATATAAGCGATGTAAACATAAATAAAGATATAAATAGATTAAGCGAACTCGTGCTATTGGATTTTTCTAAGTCTGTTTAATTTCATATTATAAATTAAAAATATATGTTTATCATCATTTTCACCTGTATAAGAATGATTTTTTGTGGATCGGATCAGTCAATCAAATGATTTACCTTTGTTTCACTTTCAATGTTGACATTCTTTTCCTTTAAATAACTTTACACATACAATTCACGTGTTATCCATCTCTAGCTAAGGGGTTAAATTGAAGTTCACACGAATAAGGATTCAATGAGGTCGAATTATTCACTTGCAAGTGAATAATTCATCATCAATGTTTCTTAGCTTATTTTGACAAAATTGAACCATACTGGCGGCTAAAAGTGAATAATTATTTCACTATTTCACTTTCATTAATGATTGAACAAAAAAAAATCATATATATTAAATTTTTTATATATCTCGTAGCTAGTGCCCCTTTAACATTTTTGTAAAAAAAAATTATGTTTCAAATCTTAAAAGAGGAAGATAATCCATATTTTTGTATGTAGATGACTTATGGTCAGAAGTCGTCATCTGCATATGTCACATGTGCATGACCTCATTTTAATGTAACTCGCGTGGTGGTCATGTGTCTCAATTGCTTAAGGTTGATGATTTGATCCCTGGCATGGTCAAATCAAAGATTTTAAAATTGGTATTTGCTGCTTTTTGACTAAGTAAGGAAGAGGCATTTATTATATGAGAGCAAAGACTAGTTGGTTTGAAGTCAGAATAACGTGTCCCGGTAAGGTCACATGTGTCTACCTGCAGACTTATCTTTTACACTAGCACACTTAAAAATCCAGCTCAGTGTGTTCATCCAGTAAAAAGTATGGTTCATATTCATATCACAATTACATGTTATCATCCTGATATGCATGTAATATTTGCTACTGGACATTAAACACCATTCCATCAACATCATCGTTTTCATGGATCAGTCCTATATAATTACTGAAGAATGACAGGAATAAGATAAGGAGAAAACTGCATTGAAACAGAAAGAAAATTCAGAAGGAATATTACAATAAATTAAAGCAAATCAGAAGCAACTTGACATGTACAAGTAAATCTGCCACAAAAATCAGAATTGAAAGCAGGTGTGATGGAATACTGTGGATTCATTAATATTCGTTTGATACCAATTTTCGTGGATTTCGTGGGTACAGGGGAACCACGAATTTAAATGCTCAACGAATTACAAATTTTCTAAAGGAATGTATGCAGACTTTGCCAAAGCCACGAAATTTAATATCCACGAAAAGTTTTCCTCAATCCACGAAAATTGGTACCCACGAAAATAAATGAATCCACAGTAATAAGCAAGTTCTGCTTTATATGTGACATCAAAATTGTTGCCCAGTTTGATAACAAAAAAGGTGGTAGAAAATACCAAGGGGACTATAAAAAAAACAAAGTCAAAGAAATAATATGATAGCCAAAAATTAAAAGGATGAAAAGGAGGGTTCTCTTGAAGGGTAAGCAGATCCTTATGTGCTGCTCATGACAAGTAAAAATTTGTAAGGGTTCTGCGGAACCCAGTGTCTCGCCTACTTTTGCTGTTAGTCGCAGGCTCAACAAAAAAGGGGAAAAAATTATTAAAAATTTTCCTCTAGATACTATCTTTTGATTGTAAGAAGTTTTGTTCAAGTTTGGTAAAAATCCAAGAAGGTTTATGAATCTAATAAATGTTTTAAAAACTTTAACTGCAGACTGTACGTAATGTTAACTGGAATAAAACTAAGTCCATTTATAAGTAATATACAGAAAAACAGGAAATAAATCTTTACAAAATTTCCTTCTAGATACTAGCTTTTGATCATAAACAGGCTTCTGTCCAAGTGTGGTACAAATCCAGGATAGTTTAAGAAAGTTATTAAAATTTGAAAAACTTTAACCACAGAGTGAATGTTATGTTAACTGGCAGAAAAACTAAGTCCATATATGAGTAAAATACGGATAAACAGGATTTTTTTTTTTACAAAATTTTCTTCTGGATACTATCTTATGATTATAAACAAGCTTCTGTCCAAGTTTGGTACAAATCTAGGATAGTTTAAGAAAGTTATTAAAATTCTAAAAACTTTATCCACAGAGTGAATGTAATGTTAACTGGCAGATAAACTAAGTCCATTTATGAGTAAAATACAGATAAACAGGATTTTTTTTTTACAAAATTTACTTCTGGATACTATCTTATGATCATAACCAAGCTTCTGTCCAAGTTTGGTACAAATCTAGGATAGTTTAAGAAAGTTATTAAAATTTGAAAAACTTTAACCACAGAGTGAAGCTTATGTTAACTGGCAGAAAAACTAAGTCCATTTATGAGTAAAATACGGATAAACAAGATTTTTTTTTTTACAAAATTTACTTCTGGATACTATCTTATGATCATAAACAAGCTTCTGTCCAAGTTTGGTTGAAATGCAGCATAGTTTAAGAAAGTTATTGAAATTTGAAAAACTTTTAACCACAGAGTGAATATTTGTGGACGCCGCCGCTGCCGCTGACAGAATGTGGGATCGCTATGTCTCGCTTTTGCGACAAAAGTCGCAGGCTCGACAAAGAGTTTAAAAATAGATGATAAAAGACTGATCAAAAGCTTCAGATTTAGTTTTTGTTTTGGGAGATCTTGAATACATAACCGCAAAACAAGAAACAAACAAAAAACACCCAGAAAAACAAACAACTTGAATAAAAATTATTTTATTGCATTAATGAGCTATTTAAACTAGAACTAGAAGTGAAATCACAAAAGGATACCCCTGCATCACAAATTAATTATCTCTCCTATAACATGTAAGACCAGGATTTTATTGCTTTGTGTCCATCCTCAAGTACTGTTCTACAACTGTAAATTGGCATCAATATCTGAGGGTGGGAATGCCCCTTATCATCAAGCATCAAACGTCCGTTTTTTGCTACCGTTAGCTTCAAATGAGCCTTAATTTTTTATCGTCATTTGTCAAATCTCATTTTGTAGCTACCGTTTGCGTCAAATGGAGTAAAATATTTATCATTAACATTATTTCAGCAAATATTTTACCGTCATTTGTCATGTAGGGTACCCCATTCCTAGCCTCATATCTGATCAGCCATTGAGATTTAAGCTTATGAAAGGCTATTATCACATATTGCAATATTGAAGTAAATGAATATGATTATCTCTCCTAAAACATTTAAGGACCAGTATTATATCCCTGCATGCATATACTCAGGTAGTATTCTACAACTGTGTAAAGTTTCTGTAATATCTGTCCAGCCACTCTGTGCAACCATACAGACAAACATATTAGGTGATTTCTTAATACCCCTCCCCACCCCCTTAAGTTTTCTTAATTGAATTGCTCAGCTTTGATGCAAAATATTTAAAAGTAAAGACACCATAATTCAAAGTCTTCAGTCATAAAAGGACAGTCAGCTACGGCTCAAGTAAAAATGATGATACAAATAGCATTCCTTAGGAAAGTAATTTCAGGAGCACAACACCAAAAACAGGGTTAAACTCAGAAAAAATTAAAAAAAATTGAAGTATTATATTTTGAGATACTATTTTGAATTTCAGAACAAATGCTGACTTACACTTACACTTATTTTTCAAAATCTGGTTGAAGTAAGCCACTATCGGTCATCTTATTGCCTTCAACAATGAGCAAAACCCATACCACATAGCAAGCTATAAAAGGCTTCAACATGACAAAATGTAAAACAATTCAAACAAGAACACAAGCAGTCTGATTTCTGTATAAAATAATAAATTAAAAACAAATATGTTATACAGCAACAAACAACCACTGATTTACAGGCTCCTGACTTTGGACAGGCACATACAGAATGTGGCTTGGTAATACATGTTTGCAGGCTACCAACCCAGCCTTCTCCTTACCTGAGAAAGTGGACAAAAGAAGAAACTATTAAAATCAGTAAAAAAGGGTTAACTCATCAGATTAATACAGAGCACAAAACACTAAAGACACAATACAGAACTGAGAGTATTCCCAGTTACTGAAATCTAGTTCAAAGCCAATAACATCTTATTAACAAGAGTGTACATGCTAAAATGTCTCTCTTGTTTTACTTATCAATGAATTTATGTTGAAAATGATATGGAAGTTTTACTACAAGTATCCCATAAACTTAACATTATCAATATTCTATGAAAATGAGTAGTCAGATGAATCATGCAAGATAGACATGTACACCTTACAATCATTCAATATATCAAAAAAAGTGGTCCTATTGCTAATAGTACCCGAGAAACAGATCAAACCACAAAATCTTAACAATGACCAATGAACCTTGAAAATAAGGTCATGGTCATATGAACCCTGCAGACAGACATGTACACTTTACAATCAGTAGTCCATGCAATAATATAGTTGACCTATTGTTTATAGTATCAGATACTGACAAAATTATAAAAAAATCATTGACCAATAAACCATGAAAATGAGGTTTAAGGTCAGATAAAATCTACCAGATGGACATGTACACCTTACAATAATTCCATACACCAAATATAGTGGCCCTATTGCTTACAGTATCTGAGAGATAGACCAAACCCCCAAAACTTAACATTGTACAATGAACCATGAAATTGAGGTTACGGTTAGATGAAATCTTCCAGTTGGACACATACACCTTACAATCATTCCATACACCAAATATAGTTGACCTAATGCTTATAGTATCTAAGATAATGACGACCACGTAACTTTTACCTTGATGACTGATCCATGAAATGAGGTCCAGGTCTTGTGAACCCTACCTGATGCAGGGCTTCCAAAACGGTCATATTTTCCGGACAAGTCCGATAAATTATATAAATGACTTGTTGTGCCAAGGCTGAAACAGACAATTTAATATAGTCAGAAAAAAAATTGAAGTTTATGTGATCTTTTTGTCCTGCTGGACATGAAGACGTTGTAAGGAACCCAGGTACCAAATATAATTATTCTATTACTCATAATAAGTGAGTATATCAACTGACAAAAAAACTTTTTTTCAAGCAGTCACTGAACCATGAAAATGAGGTCGACAATGGACATATGAGAGACAGAAACTTGGTAACATAAGGTATCTGTATAGAAGGTATGAAGCATTCATGTCTTCTACCTTCTCAAATGTAAAGATTTCTACAAACAGTTCATACCATCACCACCTCTGGATTGTAATCCTTAAGTCTTGCATTCTGGTGAGACAAAAATCATGTATCAGGCTAAAATATCAATCAGTACACATTCAATGGATTTAGTGTAAAGACTTCATCAACATTCAGTGAAAAACATCATCTTGTGCACTGCCAAAATATAGGTATCTACAGTATGTAGGACTGTGAATGTTCATTGCTGTATAGCAATATCTAGTAATGCATTAATTTATTGATAACAATGTTTTAACAGAGAAAAAAATATTCAAAGATACAATTACAGTGTTAAATTGGTAAACTTCTACAATAAGTTTATTTAAAGGATCTATAAGTTTAGATGTATTGTATCTAAATATATGGTTAAATATGTAGAAATTTGATCCAAGCATACTAGAGCTTGTGCAAGACATTTTAAAATGCCTTTTATTTATCCAACAGCCAAAGTCCCATAACTCTGGAATAACATGTAGAAATTTTTTTTAATCAAATGTTGTGTTTGGTTCACCAATTCCAACAATTATGTAAAGTTTCGAGTACATCAATCCAAATAAACTCAAGTAATGGTACAGCATGTGAAAAATTTACTTAAATCTGACCATTAAAGTTCCGTAACTCTGGAACAATACATCATAAAATTGATAATATCGCAAAGAAACTTCCTTTTATCAATTCCAACAATAATGTAAAGTTTTGAGGAAATCAATCCATGCAAACTGGAGTTATTTGCACAATATGTGAAAAACTGTCTAATTCAAACTTCTAAATTCCCGTCACTGTGGAACTACAAAATTGAAAGGGAGTTTTCTTCCATCACTCCTAATGTTGTGTTGAAATTACATAAGAATTGGTAAAAACAAATTTGACAAACGGTCTGACAGACGGACATTGGTATACCATAATACATGCGTACAATAAAAATAAGGATGTGATATTCTGTCTTATTAACTTGTCATATATTTTAAAAGCTCACTTTATAATAAATAAGTGATCTAAGTTTCAAGTTGGCGTGACCACAAACTACCTATCAATGGGAGATAAGTCAAATGTAAAACATGTTCCAACTGCCCTTGTCCATTACAAATGCTTTATGTGTACGTCTAATGCATCTGGTACTTACTTTCCTTCAATTTATGTATATCCTGGTAGCTTTTCCATTTAACTGGATGTGGGAGAGTATTAAGGGAAGTTTTATTTTTTGACAATGGTTGGGGGTCATTTATAATTGTAGGTCCACTTAATGTTTGCAAAATTATACAATTAAGTTATGATGGTTGTTGGTTGATTTTGGAGTCCTTTCCTACACTTCCCCATCCTTTTAAATGGAATACCCCTGAAGGGTCTATTTTGCAATGTGGGTCTCATTTGGGTCTAAGCGTGACCCGGGATTGCCGATTTTTTGTAAGCGTGACACGTGAAAGTCAAATTTTTGTGCCGTGAAAACAGGAAATGAAGTCTAGCGGGACACGGGAAAACAGTAAGCGGGATTCGGGATCAGAACCCCCCAATGAGACCCCCTGCAATGGCATATACTTTTTTAATTTTGTTGAATGTTATTGTTCACATTTATTTGCTTTTCAAACTTTTGGCTCTGAGGTAAATCCAGAAGTGTTTCCAATACATGTACAGCAAAACAATATGTGTGGTTTTCATACAGACCCAACGATTTAATATAAAACATTTTTATTATGTATAACAATAACTATAGAGCTACAATAAAACTACAATGTTATAGAGAGAACACAGATTATAAAGAACGTATTAATGGAAGACATCACTCAGTATGATTTTCTGCCTATTGAACACATAGCTTATGCTGAACTATCTACTATGAATTAATTGTCCAATGAAAATTAAAGGACAAGGTATATTACGGGCCTTACTTGGCCCAAATTTTCACTGAAATTTTACTAATTATTAGAATAAAATCTAAATCTATGCAATCTTTCATCCTTTCAATCTCAGCGAATATTTATAATATCTTATAGATCTTACAACTTAAACTTTCACATATACCTATCAATTATTTTAAATGTAAAACATGAATTGTTGTAATGCTCTAATTAATAAGGCAAAAAACTTATCTCCTCTTTTGGACCAAAAACAATATGAAACTGTGAATATACATGAACTGTGCAAAAATCATTACCTCATTTTAATGTCAGAAGTTCTGAAGATCTGATTTTTAGATATTTTTTTTAAATTTATATTTTTAAAACCAGATACTGGTAGTTCATGAACACCACAAGATAAGACAAATAATGCTTATGAACAATTAAGATATATAAAGCTATCAAAATCCTACAAAGAAATAAAATTAAATCACTGACAAACAGCTATCTTTAAACAGAATTTAAATCAATACATTTTAAATAGTGATAGCTTTAAAAAAAAAAAAAAATTTAAATTCAACTACACAGTATTTTAACCAAAATCAGCAGGGTAATTTAATAAATAGTGAAAAGATGAATTTGACCGAAAAATACTGTACTAATATGGGAACTTTCGCAAAAATTGACCAAGCTCAATAACTGGTAAATTTCAATAAAACTGAAGAAAATAAAAATCCTGTCAATGTGCACATCATTCAGTATATGTACATCTGTTCAACAAATTCACGACTTTTTATCTTTTTAACTAAAAGAGGAGTATGATAGACAAACCATATATCCTATATGCACACAGAGATTTTGTCAGAGATAAATTAATTCAGCATTTCATCATGGAGGCATAAAAATTATCAAAGTACAGTGACTGATTTACTGATAAATGAAGTAAAAAGTGAGAACACAATTGAAGACTTTTAAAGTCATGTATGTAACCAAGAATTTGTTTGCTTTCCATCAGTTTCTTTATTTTAGTTGGCCTTAGCAGAAATTGATATAGTTTTTAGCTTTTTACATCCCTGAATAGGGGATTCTGTACAAACTGATTTAACAAAACACAAAAACAATCAATAATTATTGCAGTTATATCCCTTTGTCCAATCAACAGTTATCTCCCATTAGTGCAAAAAAAATAATACTTGTAACTTAAAAATATAACTGAATCCTGTTATGACCAAAAAATAATAATAATACAAAAACATTCTACTTAATAAACTGTATAAAGTTAATAAAAAAATCTTCATTAGACCTGTATATAAAATGATATGTATATATAAAAATATTATATAGTTAAAAATTAAAAAAAAACATTTAAATATTAATCAACAGCTTCAGGTGTAAATATAATGGTTTAACTGTCAACAGATTTAATTTTTTCCTTTTGAAATCAGTTGGTTTTTTGTATCTGAAAAAGATTAAAAACATCAAATGATAACAATTAATTGATTTAAATCTTACTGAAAGTTCAACATTTTTTTGCAATGTTTTTATTATTGAAAAATAATTGACATGATCGGTCTCACAGAAGTAAAAACTTCCACTTTAAATTTTGGTAGCATTTTTTGTATGCAGCATTTCCTGAAATCACATTTGTGTACATTGTTGAACAATCATAATAATAAATGCACACAATTATTTCTGAATTTGTAATATTAAACTTTAAAAGGGCTCTTGAAAAAATAAATAATCACTGAGATATGTTTTTTTTTCATAAAAGAAATGTCTGTCCTACCAACAAATAGGTGAAAACTTATTGTAATACTTTAGTTCAGAGATAGTCTGTTTTTCCGTGTCCGATTTCGTTTTACGTAAAAAATCTATGCAGTGTTGGGATCAGTACAACATCTTCTGCATGAAAGCATCAACATATGGACAATGTCACCTTACGGTAGGTTTTCATCAGGGAGTGGAAGTCAAACTAGAACAGCGTGGTAGACTATTTTGAGGTGGAAATCTAATTAAATCCTAACATTTGCGTAATTCACCTTTGTAAAAATCTAGGCATGTGCATAGAAAAATGTCACGTGATATGACTTTTACAATCTCCACATTGAAACAACAACTATCACGAAACTCTCCTATTGAACTGTAATTTCAATTTTCATTTACTTTTAAATGTTAACTCATTTTGATAGGAAAGGTGCCCCACTATCTGCAAGTTATAAATATTCGTATCAACTTTTTGAGGAATCTGTAGATGACCTGTTGCAAGGCAAAATTTCTGCCCCTATCCATTATGCCCTCATCTTCAAGAAGCAGTTCAACTTTCTTTCCCTTTCATTCTGATCAACTTATTTGCAGAAACTACCTATTGTATTAACTGTTAATTTGTTCTCGTCCATAATGTGCTTGAAATATTTGGTAATTTATGTTAAACAAGCAACAATCAATCAATCACTTTGATAGCATGAACTTTTCTGTGATAGTTTGTTATACAAATTACATTCCCAGAATGCAATTAATTTTTTGTATGGAAACAAATGATTTAGTAACAAATATTGATGATGTCAAGACAAATCTGCTAGCTTTCATTTCTAAAATTAAAGGACTTGTGCTTCTTTTGAGTTTTATATATAATCAAACAGCTTATTTTGAATGTTTCATGCTCATGAACAGGAACTTTGTCGGGAGTTATCTTTTTTTCATTTATGGAATTAAATGCTGATGGAAGATTTTACAAGTTTTCTAGACACCAGAAGATTTAGAACTTGACATATTGTATAGACACTTATAATGAAGACTGTATGTTTCCTTCTAGATGTCTTGGAAGTTTTTGTATCATTGGAATGATGATTCATTATATACATAACATAAGATGAAATACATACAATTCTAAGGCAGCTTGTCCCTCTTTGATTTCATCTTTCTCCATAAAGGCCCAGCACTTAGTACTAACATCTTTTTTCTTTGGTTTGTAATGCTTCAATTCAAAAAATATTGCAAAACCTACAAAATATATAATATTAAGCATTTTAGTCTAAAACAAGCCTGCACCTTAGTGGCCAAGTGGTCATCTACAGAGACCAATAAGCTGTCAAAACTAAGGTGATGAGTTCTAACCCTATTTACGGCAAGGTGCATTGACTCCAATCTTAATTGACTAGGATTGCCAGTTTTCCTATCGAAGGTCGTGGTTCTCATCAGGCACTCCGACTTCCTCCACCAATAAAAACTGACCGCCACGAAATAGCACAATAGTGTTGAAAGTGGTGTTAAACACCAATCAATTAATAATTGACTAGGATTGCCAGTTTTCTTGTCAAAGGTTGTTGTTCTCTCTGGGTATTCCAGCTTTCTCTGCCAATAAAAACTGGCCACCAGGATACAGCATATGCAACAATAGGAGTTAAACACCAACAATCTATAAATCAGTCAGATAAAACATTTTTCTTTGCCACACATGTACATGGACCAGATTGTCATTAAAGAGCACATGAAAAGCCAATCCAGGAGGGAAACTGTACACTATTCGGCTAACAGTTCTATATTATTATTCCATTTTAAAATAACGTCCTCAAAAGCAGAATGTTTCTTGTGAACCACAATATAGATATATTCAACTTCATATAAACTGTTGAAATAGAGATTAGTTTTGCCTGTATGTTATTTTGATAGTAAAATGAAAATATTTAAATATTAAACTGTTGACACAGCAATATGTCTCATGTTTCGTAATTTTGATGGTATAATGCAAATGTTGAAATTAAAATGGCAATATTTAAACATGTAAACTATGCAAATCAATCAAACTCAATGAACCATGACTGAAGGTACATGGCCAAAAAACTCCATGGAGATGTGAAATGCCAATGCTTATAAAAACTGCATACCAAATAAATACCATTGACTTATCATAAGAGTTCCCTTTAAACTAACCTAAACACAAACTTTAACTTGGAAACAATGTAAAAGTTTCAAAGTCAATGAACCATGATGAGGGGATGGGGCCATATAATCTCCATGGAAATGAGACTTTTAAATGCCAATACAACTGTAAACCAAATATCATTGACTTAACATTAGTCGTTCATCTGAAACTGATCTAATCACAAACTTAACATGTAAATAATACAAAATATTCAAAATCAATGAACCATTACTGAGAGGGAGCCAAATAATCTCAATGGAAAGATGTGTCAATGCTAATATACCTGCATACCAAATATCATTGATGTACCACTGATAGTTCCCTTAAACTGATCTAATCACAAAATTATGCAAAACATTCAAAATCAATGAACCACGACTAATGGGGTGGCAAACAATCTCTATGGAAATGAAATGTGCCAATGCTAATACATCTGCATACCAAATATCATTGACCAACCACTAATGGTTCACCTTAAACTGATCTAATCACAAACTAATACATGTAAACTAAGCAAAAGTTTCGAAGTCAATAGACCATGACTGAGGGGGAGGGGCAAAATAATCTTGATGGAAATGAGATGTGTCAATGCTTATACAACTGCATACTAAATATCAATGATCTAACACTAGTGGTTCCTCATAAGCTTGACCTAATAAAAAAGGCAGTATTTTAACATGTAAACTAAGGGATTCATTCGAAGTCGATGAACCATGACTGAAGGGACAGACCAAAAAATCTCAATGGAAATAAGATGTGCCATTGCCAATGCTAATACAACTGCATACCAAAAATCATTGACTTTCCAGTAGTAGTTCACCTTAAAACTGAGCTAATCACAAACGTTAACAAGTTGTTGACGCTGTGACAATATTACAATAAGCAACATGACAAAAAAACAAAAATGGTTTACTATCAACACAGTTTTGTACACAAACATCATCATTGTACATCAAATTGAATATATTACAGAGGGAGAGAGAAAGGTAATTGTCAGATCCATTAATGTGCAAAATCTCTTGTGAATATGCTAAGTAATGGGAAATATGTGTTACACATGAACATTACCTAATGGCAAACTATCAATACACTTCTGTACAAAAACATCAACATTGTAAATCAAATAGCTTCCTTCCTTGTTCATAGCAATTGGTGTGTCCTGTGGAGCTGTCATATCACTACCACTAGCATCTGAAATTACACAATTATAGAATAACTAATCCATGAATTCAAATATACTGTAAATTCAGAAATTATTGCGAGATTCAGTTTCTTATAAATGCAAATAATGCGACTGGGTGAGAATGGCAATAATAAGAACTCTCATTCTGAAATCTGATAAATATATACCTTTATGCATGTTTTTCCATTCCTCAAAAATTGCAAAAATAAATGCATGCTTTAATTTCGCAATTTAAAGTTGTAACATATTCATGATTCAGTGAACAACACATTTATTCAGCTAATGAGTATAGAGCATGAGTTAATAAAAAATGCTGTTAGGTAGATAGTTGAATATTTTTCGATATTTCATTATTTGATTTCTCTGATAATTTTTTTTTTTATTACATTGATCATGGACTTTTTAATGGAAATAAAGTAGAAAATGCTAGGAACTCTTATCTATATCTACACATTCTAAATTCATTTTGATGCAAATCATCAACAATGTCTTGACAACAACACCAACTGTTGTGTGATGTAGATAAGAGAATAGAATTTATTTCAAGTGAAATTATCTCCTTTTATTTTTCTGTGAAATCACAGTATTTCATTGCACCCAATGTAATAATGCAACTTTATTTAAAATTTAAGTCTTCTTCAAACATGGTCCTTTTTGTAAAAGTTCTAAGAATGGGAAGTATTAAAAAACTGTGGATTCATCTAATTTTGTGTGTACTAATTTTTATGGTTTTAGAGGGAAAAAAATCATATTTTGGTGGATAATGGATTCTGATGGTAAGAATAATTCTTATTACATTGCACTTGTTTCAAAATAACAACCTTACACTGAAGCAATGAGCTAAAATGCTTAACTAGTTGATCAGCTTGTAGAGGTGAATTCATACAGCAATTAGGTAAAACATTTTAGAAATTGGCTTCACAGTCTTAAAGAATATGCACAGTAATGGGAAATAACAAATATATCCAAGGAATGGGGCTGTAACTGTAAATCTCAGACATTTCACTACTTTCAAAATATTTATTAGTTTAATGCAATCAAACATCAATTTAATCAAATTTCTAAGACTTACAAATGGTAAGATTAGGATTTGAGGCAAGTATAAGTAACTTGCCAGTATTTATTCCATTTTTAAGGTTGAGTGAGCCTTGCCAAAGACATATATCATTCCTCAAAGGCAAGGGTCCAGCATGCATATTTTTTTGTAAGGCACAGAAACCGATTCATACTAAGCAACTCATGTTCATGCGATGTAAATTTTCCTAAATTTTGACAACAGCAAATAATTCAGGGTGTGTTCTCTATAAATATAAGTTTTGTTTTAATCCAAGCACTATGTATTTTGGTGGGAAGATTTGTAAAGGGCGGACAACCAAATTTTGGACACAGGGATTCATTTTGGAATAGAAAATTATACCTAAAAATATCAAATTTCATTAAAATCCCAGCATATTTTAAATACAGCATAAGAAGACATTTCTCAAAATTTTTGCCTACATCTATCCTCTTCCAGTGTTTCAGTTAGGCCATTTTCACAGGGCGGTCCGCCCGCCCTTTCCTAAGTGCCGCCCTGTGCCTTTTTTGCAGTTTCCAGGGCGCCCTGCCTTTTTGAAGATCGATTGTATTTTATTTTGTTCTTTATAAATGTTATGATCCGCCATTACGAAATTTTACCTTATGATTTTGTTTACGACCCCAAGCTAATCAACGATTACAACAGGTGTCATAATCTGTTGTTACAGATAATCCGTTTATCGGATGGGTCATAAATGATCATCAACATTAATTCATTCAAATAGAATCCGTCAGTCGGCATGAAGAAATGTTTATACGACTACACAATTTGCGATGTTTACCGTAGTTTCATGGAGAAAACGTAATTGACAGAAAGTCGAAAACCATAATCAACATGTTAAAAACATCGTTTCACTTGTTTTCTGTAAATTTTTTTAGCAAATTCAGACGTATTTGTCTTTGCCTGCCCTCACTTTTGATACGAAAATAACAAAACCGGCCGCCATTGTTAATCGTATTTACTTCTTCTATGTACTGTGTATAATCCTCCAAAGAAGGAGCACACCCGAATAAAGAAAGATAACTCATTTTTATTTTTCCTACCATTGAGTTACCTCCTTAAGATATTCTAAGATATGTCTACATACTTCTGGCTTTATAATTTATATGTTTAGGTCTTTTGACTTATGGGAAAAGTTAAAGAGGGTGTTTGTAGCAGGGTGGGTAGGGTGCCTTGGTCATCTTTTTCTGTATTCTTTATTTTTAATACAAATTTTCACTGTTCACTACATCCTAACATTGTGCATTTACTGAGCACAGCTGCTGTATTGCCATTAAGCACAGCAGAGACAGAAAGGGCCTTTCCCAGGTATAACTTGTATGACCATAGAAACAGAATGAAGCAGGAAACCCTGCAAAACATACTGCATATAAAGCTAAACTGTGACAAGCAATGCCTTGAAAACTTGTGTGATAAGGTGGTTGACAAGTTTTTTCAGCATAAAAAGTAGACAGATAGAGTTTTATCTGGGCTAATCATGTTGTACTTGTATATATATATAACCATTGATTCAATGAATAAAGACAATGTTTGATTAATATCTTTATTAAAACATGCCCTTTTCATATAATCATATCACGCGTTAAATGCCCTTTTTCAGGATTGGCACCCTGCCCTTTTGAAATCCTAGCTGGAACACTGTCTTCTTTTGATAAAAAAAAATATAATTTTTTGACGCACATAATAATAATAATAATAATAATGCAATATGTCAAGTTCTAAATTGTTTGGAGTCTTGAAAATTTGTAAATAGGATATTACACATATATATATATATCAATTTTTTTGAAATCCTAGCACAAAATGATATTTCTGAAAATTTGTAATTTTTCAGCCGAAAGTAAGTTTTATACACATTTAAAAAAAAAAAAATTGACAAATGGAATGAATTTGGAATAGGTTATTATATCTATGTATCACTTTTCATTGAAATCCTTAAACAAATATAAAAGAAAAATGTGTCTGAGGACACAAATGCTCAAGCTTTGCAACAAAAATGGGACAGGGAGAAAGACGGAAAGACGGAAGGATGGAAAGACAAAAAGCCAAGGGTAACACTTCATGCCCCCGTCACCTAGTTTTTACCCCAAAAAGTATTACAAAAATAATTTTCTGTCATTGGGAATCAATTTTTTTGAAAATAGCATTACATAACTTATATGTTGAATTTCAAGCACAAAAAAATGTTTCTCAAAATTCTGAACAAAAGCAAAGTTTTTACCACAATGTTGTCTAAATTTTCAAAAAACGAAAGGGACCTCCCTTTTATAAGAATTAAAACTGTGCATAAAAATTTTAAAAACTGGTTGAGACAATCATGCTGGTACACAGAGAGAGTAATTACAGCATGACACACACCACTGACTAGTCAACATGGTCAATGTGGCCCTTGTAACCATTCAAATATGAAATTTGATTCCTATGCTGATTTTTTACGACAAAATGCAAACTTTACCCATTCATCTAAAAAATTCTGATGTTTCCTATCTTTTTTTTACTCACCCACATTACACTTCATAGAAATCAATGCTAACTAATTTTTTTTAATTTGCAAACCTTTAACAGAAACAGTGATGAATGGGTCAATGTATGATACAGCATCTTTCAGACCAATCTTCTCTACCCTGATAGAAAGCATCGGTAATCCTCCGAAGGAAACTGGCTTTGGTAACAAACTTCCTTTAACTGAAACATCATATACAAAAAAGGCATCTAAAAGTCAAAAGGCATAAATCACTTTCAGATACAGGAAAACACGTCAAGTGATGAAACAGATAGATATTCTTACATGCCTTTCCATGCGGAAAATGCTGGATTAAGGTGATACCAAACACCTTGACTGAAATTAATTTGGCTCATTTAATTTTCATAAAATTTTGACAAAATATTTACTTTGACCCTTTGACAACAAAATAAAAATTTAAAAAAATTTGAACCATAAACTTTAGCGGAAAAATTTCATTGGATATATAGCAGTTTGACTAACACTAATTTTGTTCAATGAGAAGCTTAATATTTCCTTAACAAAAAAACATGATTAAAACGTTCAGCTGATTTTTACAGAGTTATCTCCCTGTAGCGTTATGTACCACCTAGGTATAATGGTGTCAAATCTAAATTTTTCATGGTTTGAGGAAAAACTTGTATTGTCGTGGATATTTGATTTCATGGTTTTGTCAAAGTCTACATACAAGCCTATAGAACATGTATACTTTGTTGAACATTTAAATTCATGGTTAAGGCATACCAACGAAATCCACAAAAATTGGTATCCCACGAATATTAAATCCTCAGTATAAAATATCAATTCAAATGTCATAAGTCTTAAAACAATAGAAATGCATCGTTTTGTGTGCACATTAAACTGGTTTAACCCCATTACTTTTTGTGCCTGTACAAAGTTAGACTATCTGAAGCATGTTTTTCTTCGTTGTTGATGTTTTTGTTTGTACTTCTGATGGGTTTTTTTTCAGAGGAGTAGGGAGTTGGATGTTGATATGGTCTGATGTTCTCTCCAGTATTTTGGTGATTTTGGTAAAATTTACCTTTTTCTTGTCTGTCATCTTCATTGTCAGAACTGTGTTGTGTCCTAAAATACATGAACAAAGTTGTTATTTAAATTGATTAAAATTGCTTGACAAAAATATCTACATCAATGTAGATACCTAATAAAGGATTTATTCAAATATAACTTTTTAGATGAGTATCAAACATTATTTCATACCTTAAATAATACAAGAAATTTTCAAAATATCCACCCAAAATCAAAAGGGTGGTCAAAAATTTATAAGATTTCATAGAATAAATCAACGACAAATAATCAACTTTGTGTCGGACTATGTAATATTCATGAGTAGAAACAACAATATTTTCAGCTTATTTTGTTCCTTAACTAATGCTCTTCTGACTTATAGTATCAATTTTAAATTCTAGATTTTTTAAATTTCATCTAAGTACACCCTTAAAAAGGACAATAAGTAGAAGACTAAAAACTTTACAATATATTATTTGCAAAAAATGTCAAGAAAACATGGAATTTGGCAATTAAGGTAGTTCATAATTTCGAATTTTCTCATACTTTGTCAAAAGGAAGATTTTACTATGCTTTTTTCAAAAATATAATAAAAAGTATGGGTCACCGTGCTATTTTCCAAGCTATGAGTCGTTGAAAATTGCCTAAATTTGGTTAGATTGTTCATGAAAAAACACATTTGTGTGCATAAAAAAAATTCTATGAGATAGAATTTTGAAATAAATTGTAAGAAGATAGGTTTTATAATATGTTTTAAGAAAATAAAAAGAAAAAATGGTCTCACCGAACTTGTTTTCTTGCTACAAGTAAAAATTAAAAATTTCCCTATCAGTCCAGTATATATTTTTTACTAGAAGAGTCCCCCTTAAATGGCTTATTTGAAAAAAATGATTCTAAAAACATAAAAATTTGATATTTGTTTAAATATTTTGAATAATACAATAAATCACCAAGTTTTCTTTATATAAATAAACAATCTAACCATTAAATTGCAAATCTGTCTCCAAATTTGCAGATTTGGGCAAATAACGAGACCAATTTTGTATAGAGATTGTACAATCCAAGATGGCGGTATACCATGAATCTACCTTAATTCCAGCAGACTTAGTTGCTGTTCCATTGACATAGTCTCAACATCTCCTTTTTTATATTTTTAAAACAGCAATGGTACAGTTACTGCATTTTAGAATACAAATAAGAATGTGTGTCAATAGGAAACAATGACCATCTCACACTTTCACAATTCCTTGTTAATTAAACCATAAATTCTGAACCATAACTTATTTTTTTTTTTTTTAAACTGAATCATAACAAACATGTGTACTAGTGTACTAAGTTTGAAGTTGATGAAGCAGAACTTCATGGTGAGCTATCTTAAAATCAAAACTTTAACTTGATATATGACAGATGAACATGATGAAGGGATGAACAGACAGAAAACACACATATGCACTAACTGGAAAACATATTATTGTAGGTGGGGCTTAAAAAACATACTTGATTCCATTGAATGTCTGTGATTGTATTTGAGCTGCAGTCACATCTACTGGAAAATCTTTACTCTTCTGATTAAGAATATTCTGTAAAGCTGCAAATTATTTAATAGTTGAAATGAAATATCACTTTTGTAATTTCATGTATTTATGATAAATATTATAAAAATAATAGTGTTATATCCAGACATCAGTGGATCAAAATGTTTTACAACTAATACATAATAATGGGTCTTAAACCAATGTTCTATCTGAACTTCAGAGTTTGTGGAAAGTCAGATGTAAACAAAAGGGGCTCTAAAATAAACTATAATAAATTATTGAACTGGAAATGTTTGATAAATGTTTTTTTTTCAATTGGAATAATAACAAGAACTTTTCATTTTTATTCCAATTATTTGTCACTATTTATTTCATTGTTAATAGTATTACACAAGAGTGCACACACTGAAATGTCTCGCCTGTTTTACTGACCATTGATTTTATGTTGAAAGTCTTAAAGGTAATGGTTTTACTAAAAGCATTACCGAAACTTATCATTTTTAAAAATCTATGACAATGAGGTCAAGGTCAGATAAATTGTGTCAATCAGACATATACAACTTACAATTTTTTTATACACCAAATATAGTTGACCTATTGTGTATGCTAATTGAAAAGCAGACCAAACTATAAAAATAGGTCAAGGTCAGATCATACCTTCCAGACAAACATGTACACCTTACAATCATTCCATACACCAAATATATTTGACCTATTGCTTATAGTTCTTGAAAAACAGACAAAAACATAAACACATAACATTGAACAATGAACCATGAAAATGAGGTCAAGGTCAGATGAAACCTATCAGACAGACATGTACATCTCACAATCTTTCCATACACCAAATAAAGTAGACCTAATGCTTATAGTACTTGAAAAACAGACCAAAACACAAACACTTAACATTGATCAATGAACCATGAAAATGAGGTCAAGGTCAGATGATACATGCAAGACAGACTTGTACACCTTATAATCATTCCATACACCAAATATAGTTGACCTATTGGTTATAGTACTTGAAAAACAGAGTGAAACACAAAAACTTAACATTGACCAATGAACCATGAAAATGAGGTCAAGGTCAGTTGAAACCTGCCAGACTGACATGTACCCTTTACAATCATTCCATACACCAAATATAGTTGACCTACTGCTTATAGTATTTGAGAAACCGACCTAATCATGTAACTTTAACCTTGATCACTGATCAATTAAATGAGGTCGAGGTCAGGTGAACTCTGTCTGACGGACATGTAGATGTTGCAAGGAACCCATATACCAAATAAAGTTATCCTATTACTCATAATAAGTGAGAAATTCACATGACAAAAAACTCAAATTTTTTTAAGCAGTCGCTGAACCATGAAAATGAGGTCAAGGACAATGGACATGTGATTGACATATGATTGACGGAAACTTCGTAACATAAGGTATCTGCATACAAGATATGAAGCATCCAGGTCTTCTACCTTCAGAAATATAAAGCTTTATATAAATCACTGTTCATATAGAACTAACTTGTGACAACTTACAAGAAAATTAACTTACACTTGCAAGTTTTTTACTATAGAGCCCATGTTATAGGATGGATCTATAAAAAAATATTTTTTGGAGCTAAAAATTGATGATCTTTTTTATTAGATACATTTATTAAATCAGTTTCATATCTTAGAGAATTACAAATATATGAAGAAAAAATTATTCACTTACTATTTCCGATCTTTTTCAAATCATCTAACAAAATTCCCTCTATACTTCCTGGATTCTGAAAATTTATAAATATAATGTGTTAGTCTTCATGGAAAGATTTGTCTCCCCTTTAATGATATAAGCAAAAATGACTAAGTCTATGTTTTGTCATTGGAAAACTCAACATCCACTTAGATAAAAAAAAATATCAAATAGCATGTATTTGTATACAACTCCATTCAACATTTGGCTGGATTCTGACATATTTTTGTCCAGGAGTGTTGCAGATTAACAAACTGATATTGGAAGAAATGACTACGTCTATGATTTGATATAGGAACCCCCCAAAAAATCACTAAAGTTATTAATTGAAATGGCAGGTGCATAATTTCATATCCTGTAGAAGAATCTGTGTGCAATTTTGGTTAAATTCTGCAAGGCCTTTTCAATATATTTCAAATATTAACATAAAATGCCATGCTGATGACAAAGAAGAAGAAAGACAACGGAATTTATACCTATGTGTGACTAGCGACAGTTGGAAATTGTAAGGTGAAACAATAACTGCATTATTTTAACAGAGTTATAAAGAAAATTCTGAGAATTAAACTTCAGAATTACCAAAAAAATCCAGCTTTGAAGCAAGCATTCATTGTAATTTGACAATAAAAAAAAAAAATTGGTATTTTTCATCACATAATTTTTTTAATATACATATTTATAGTCCCTTGCACTTATGTATTTATGCAGTCCTGTATGGTATGATTAAGTCTGCAAGGAATTAACTAGCCTGGAATTCAGTATTTTTGTACTAGAATGGTTATACTCGACATGAAATGGTATTTGAAAAAAAAAATCTTCAACTGAAAGATGTTTTATTAGTAATTCTAAGATTATTATCCTGACCAGTCTTAACTTGTTGTACATGAAGTAACTCTACTATGTTTGATACTTTAGGATTTCTAATCTTAAGTTTTAAGTATCACTATTAAGAAAAAAAGTAAAAAATTCAACCTAAGTCATTGACAGGAGAATTGTAGGTCAAAGTGACCTAAGTTTTCTTTAAGGGCCTAGGTGGCCATGTGGTTTAAGTCATTCATCTGTAGTAGCCCTAGCTTGCCAACTCTGGGGTTGTGAGATTCAAACCCAATCGTGGTGAGGTCTTAATTGACAAGGATTTCAGTTTCTTGCAGTGGTCAGTGGTTATATCCAGGTACCCTGGCTTCCTCTTCCAATAAAAACTTGCCGCCATTATATAGCCATAGTAACTGAAAGTGGCATTTAGTACCAAAAAACAAACAAACAAACTTTCATTTCTTTAAAGAGGTTAGATAATTTTTCACATCAAGCTATATGATTGTATGTAAATCATTATGTACAAGCAGAACTCTCAGGGTAAACACTCTGTACTTTTATGACACATTTTAATGCTCCAAAAGACAAAATATGCCTTCTTACATGAGATGATTTGGTGAATAAGGATCCTGAAATTTGGGGATTGAGGATTGAAGTTTTAAGTTTTAAGTGACCAAATTTTTTATATATTTTGGCAAAATTTGATCACTTACGTTATGAGAAAAACTTACAACTTCAATCCTTAATTATTGTTAATGCAACCTAAAAGGTAATTTGTGAGTGTTGTTAATAAGGGATGACTATTCCATCACCAAAGACAGCAATTTAGTTCTATGTAAACTATCACAGCTATCCAATCAAAAGACACCTTTAAAATTAACCTCTAATCCTTTTACAAAATCTGACTACCAGTCTATCAACTTACATGAATTTCTCTAACAATCCATTTAAAATGCAATGTAAGTAAATTAATTTCATTTATAAATCTTATAGTAAAATCAAAATATATCTTGGGAAAACTAAATTTTACTTCCTCTTTTTTAACCTAATGAATTTCTAACTATAATTGAATCAAGAATAGACTATAAATCTTCATAAAAGTTACATCCCTTCAGAAGTCCTGAGGAATAATATGCAGAGCTTCTGTGAGAATTTATCATACCAAAGGCTTATATCTGAATTTACATGTTATAATGTTATATTTGGTTTGTTTAAACATCATATCAGTGCTTTCAATCTAACTCGAGTATTTAGCTGAAAACAATTGTCAATAAAATGCTTCGCTGGGCACAGCTTGATACGACCGCAAATTCGAACCCTGAACAGTTGGGGCAAGTATGGACACAACATTCAAGCTTGATACAGCTCTGAATTTGGATTGTGATTAAATATTTGACACAGCATAGGTTTCTGACACAGAAAGAATGTGGTCTAATAACTTCAATTTTTTTAATTTACCTATTATGGTCCAATGTCCAAAATCAAAATACATGGTTAGATTCAGCATATCAAAGTACCCCAAGAATTCAATTTTTGTTAAAATCAAACTAAGTTTAATTTTGGACCCTTTGGACCTTAATGTAGACCAATTTAAAAAACGAGACCCAAAATTAAAAATCTAAAAACACGGTTAGATTTGGCATATCAAAGAACCCCAATAATTCAATTTTTGATGAAATCAAACAAAGTTTAATTTTGGACCCTTTTGACCTCAATATGAACCAATTTGATAGCGGGCCCACAAATAAAAAATCTAAATACATGGTAAGATTCAGCATATCAAAGAACTCCATATATTCAATTTTTGTTGAAATCAAACAAAGTTTAATTTTGGACCCCAATTTGGACCAACTTGAAAACTGGGCCACAAATCTAAAATCTAAATACATGTTTAGATTCAGCATATCAAAGAACCCCATATATTCAATTTTTGTTGAAATCAAACAAAGTTTAATTTTGGACCCCAGTTTGGACCAACTTGAAAACTGGGCAAAAAATCTAAAATCTAAATACATGTTTAGATTCAGCATATCAAAGAACCCCATATATTCAATTTTTGTTGAAATCAAACAAAGTTTTATTTTGGACCCCAACTTGGACCAACTTGAAAACTGGGCCCATAATCAAAAATCTAAACACATGTTTAGATTCAGCATATCAAAGAACCCCAAGAATTCAATTTTTGTTAAAATCAAACTAAGTTTAATTTTGGACCCTTTGGACCTTAATGTAGACCAATTTAAAAAACGGGACCCAAAATTAAAAATCTAAATACACGGTTAGGTTTGGCATATCAAAGAACCCCAATAATTCAATTTTTGATGAAATCAAACAAAGTTTAATTTTGGACCCTTTTGACCTCAATATGAACCAATTTGATAGCGGGCCCACAAATAAAAAATCTAAATACATGGTAAGATTCAGCATATCAAAGAATCCCATATAAACAATTTTTGTTGAAATCAAACAAAGTTTAATTTTGGACCCCAGTTTGGACCAACTTGAAAACTGGGCAAAAAATCTAAAATCTAAATACATGTTTAGATTCAGCATATCAAAGAACCCCATATATTCAATTTTTGTTGAAATCAAACAAAGTTTTATTTTGGACCCCAACTTGGACCAACTTGAAAACTGGGCCCATAATCAAAAATCTAAACACATGTTTAGATTCAGCATATCAAAGAACCCCAAGAATTCAATTTTTGTTAAAATCAAACAAAGTTTAATTTTGGACCCTTTGGACCTTAATGTAGAACAATTTGAAAACTGGATCCAAAATTAAAAATCTAAATACACGGTTAGATTCGGCATAACAAATAAATAAATGTGGTCAAAGATTTTACAAATCTATTGCGCCATACTGTGCAATTAAAGATTACTTCTTGAAATTTTTCAATATTTGAAATTTGAAAAAAAAAAATATTTGAAGAATAATTCTTTTTAATTTCTGAAATCTGAAATGAGAAAAAATTGACCCCCCACAATTTCTTTTTACACCCCCCCCCCTTTTTTTCCCCAAACCATAATTACCCATTTAAATTTACCATAGTGCTAACTTAATCTATTTTATAATAGAATTTAAAATATAGTGTCAAATCTTTCATATGGATTTTTTTGTAAAAAAAAAAGATGCAACATTTGCAGATATTTTTACTGGTCTTCCTTTATAAATATGCATTTCTTTAAACATAATTTAAAAGCAGTGTAAGGGAAGTAACCAAAACGTTGTATTTGGATTACCTCCCTTACACTGTTTTAAATTATCTTAATTGTTCATTAACCATTACTTTATACATAATTTAAAAGCAGTGTAAGGGAGATAATTTCAATGATGTATTTGATTTATCTCCCTTACACTGCTTTAAATTATGTTTTGTACTAAAGTATTTGTCCATTAACCAGGACAACCTTGTTTTTCCCCCTTTTTTGCCCCTAATTCTTAAACGGTTTGAGCCATAACCCCCCAAAGCAAATCCTAACCATCCCTTTGTGGTATGGAAACATAAGTATAATTTCAGAGAGATCCATACACCGTTCCACAGTTATTGTCTGGAAACTAGAAAATGCTTATTTTTGGCCCCTTTTTGGCCCCTAATTCCTAACTGTTGGTACCATAACCCCCAAAATCAATCCCCACCTTCCTTTTGTTGTATTGAACCTTATGGTGAAATTTCATAGAGATCCATTCACTTAAACTAAAGTTAGAGTGCGAAAACTAATGCGTCTTCGGACGACGACGCTGGACGACGACGCCGGACGACGACGACGACGCCAACGTCATACCAATATACGACCACAAAAATTTTTTTGCGGTCGTACAAAAAAAAGGTTATGAATATGTTATTTTCAACTGTTCATCATTATTCTGCATTGATAAGGGAAGTAACTTGTATAAATAAATAATTTCAGAATCAATTCAGTATTTAAAGAATTACACTATATCTTTCAATGCATATCATCATTGTGATTAAAAATTGTATACATTTTGATGAAAAAAATTAACAAAATGAATATTTAATCATTAATAATTAAAGAAAAACACAAACCTGCAATGATTTACACCTTAGATCCAAGCAAATAGATATCTTTGAAAGTATTTTCTGTAATGAAAATACAAAAATTAATTTAACAAAAATGTTTGTGGTTTACATGATACAATGTTAATAAATTTGTAATAGCATTTTCAATAACCATTTATTTCTGACATTTCAGCCTCTTGTCAACAATAAATTCAAATTAAAGGTAAAATCATGAATTAGTTTTCTTGGACATTAGTTTTTTTTTTTTTAAACTTTAATTCTGCATGCAGAAACTTTTCAATAAGAGCATTTCATTGTGCTTTTCCAAAGTCAAGAATCAGACATTCATTGGTCTGCTATGTTATATATCTATTTAAGTCTAAAATTGTATTGTAAAACAGAATATTATCTTGAATCTATGGGCTTTTAACTTACAATGTGAATGTTAGTTCATTGCTAAATACCATGCATGGAGCTATAAATAATAGTCATGATAGTTGCTTATATTTACTGTACTACCTGAGATTTATCTCATGTACATACATTCCTTATAATTTCATTTTGTTTTATATTATATATATATATTCAAAACAGAATTCTGAATATGTATTCTGTAATGTCAGAAGATCAGGAATGATACAACCTGTATTTAGCCTCAAGTTTTTTAGTCAATGCATTTCTTTTCCTTGACCTGTTAAGCAACAAATGATACTGAGGTAGCAGATGATAGCAGTAGTTCAATAGCTGTAGCCTTTGTTTTAACAGTGTTAACTTACTTTTTGTTCATCGGTGAAAATTTGACAGTCCACATTGGAACATTGCAGGAGTTGCTTTGAAAGTCTGAAAAAAATTTAAAAAACTGAACCGACTATCTACATGTACATGTAGTTTAAAAAACTGAATGTATACATGCATACATACATGTACTCTGACATTGTAGTTCATTAAAGGAGAGACAGGAAAATTGTTTTTTGTACTCAAAAGATAATTTTTATATTTAAGAGTATCCTTGTGACTGATTGAAAGCTTTCTGTACATGAATCTCAACATCTATGGATTTCATTGAAACTTCACAAAAAGGTACATTACATTTTGCATAGTTTCTTCCGTTACCTATTTTAACAACGGACTCTGACTTCTTTTAAACTGAGCTTTACTGTGCTTTTTTTGTGTGCTTGTTTATTCCACATTGGCTAGTGGTATAGGGGGAGGGTTGACATCTCACAAAATATGTTTAACCCCGCCACATGCTTGCACCTGTCCCAAGTCAGGAACTTCTAGCCTTTGTTAGTCTTGTGTGTTTTTAAATTTTGGTTCATTTCTATCTTTCAGAGTTAAGTGTAGTTTGAGCTGGTATACATTTTTGTTTATGGGCCAGCTGAAGCACGTCTCCGGGTGCTGGATTTTCTCACGGCGTTGAAGACCCAAAGGTGGCCTTGGGCAGTTTTCTGCTATTTGGTAGTGTTATTGTCTCTTTGACCATGTGTTGACACATTCCCTGTTTCCATTCTCTATTCTATGCAGTACACGTACATAAAATGAAGATATGAAGAAAGTATGACTGTTGACATGGCTGCCATGTTGTAAAGCATTGTAGCAGTTCCCAAAAATTTGTTAATCTGACCAAAAAGGTTCATGAAATTAATATAAGGGCTTCTTCCTCTTTGGAAGGTACAGTATAGTTTGGGAGTATTTTGCCATGTCCATTTGTTGGAGGGGGTACAGAGCTTTTAAAGCCCTTTTTCTGAAATAATTAGCTTCAGTACATGTAGATTCCATCATTTGTCGGGTTGTTTCTGGCATTGTTTTGGACTATCTCAAAGACAGATTTTAAAATACTGGGGTCATTTGGGGTGAGGGAGGGGAAGAACGTGTCAAAGGATATAGTGACATGAAAATATTGTGGCCAGAAAATGCACTAATTGGAAGATCGTGTATTGCTAGAGTCATGATATATATTTTCATGAGACCATCCAGTGTCAAAAGCAACACCTACAAATAACATAATTTGTTTTCATCACAAAAAACTTTTTTCTTTACTATTTAACAGCAACATTATGTCAAAGAATTGGTATGAGAATAATAAAACAAATATTGTTATGTTTATGGGTTGTAAACTTCCCCCTTAACTATTTTCAGTTATATTTAGCCTAAGGTTGTCCTTAGAAGTTTCGCTGGGATTGTTTACTCGTGCTATAGACTTGATGTCCAGACTTGGATATTTAAATCTCGTCTGGACAATATTTCTTTACATTCAGGAAAACTTCCATACTGGCAAGTTGAACTTTAAAATTAATTTTATTCAGTTTCAGTGTTTGACTTCAATGTTCAATATTTATTTCTTTACAAACTTATATTTTTTGGGTTTTATAGTCTACATTTCTGTTAGAAAAGAATAGAAAAAATTGTACACTCTTTGAATACTAGTTTTTTTATGAACAACAGGTTTATAAAGAGACGGGATACATTTTGATAGAGATATTCAAGAAGATGGTTAATCGGAGAAGGATATTTTAGAGTTATGGTTGTCAATCTTCTGAATTGTTCGAGCCGTACTATGGAACTAAATTGTGTATTATCGCATGGTTTTTAAGTTCTTAAACCCGTCAATGCTATAGAATGATCAGTTTCAGACTGTGTTCTGGTTAGGCCAGGATTTAATTGGAATTAATTTAATACCATGTTTTTAATGGCCCCACCACAATTTGGTCGGGGCCATATAGTGTTACCCTTATCTGTCATTCTGCAACGAATAGTTATACAGATATTTTTTCTAAATGCCTTCACATATTGAGCTGATTTTTAGAATGTGTGTCTACTATGATGGTGTACATATCAAGTTAACGTTTGGTTCCTCTCTACTGATTTTTGCAGAAATTACAAGCTTTGGACTTTGAAAATTTCATGAAAATAACAGTTATACTGACTTTTTTTCTAACCGCCTTCACATATTAAGCCGATTTTCAGTACATGAGTTAACTATGATGAATTACTAATTGAGATTACATTTGGTTCCGCTCCTTTAATTTTTGCAGAACTTACAGGCTTTGGACTTCATGAAAATATCAGTTATATGAATGTTGAGTCTACTATGATAAGTTACAGATCAAGTTTAGGTTAGGTTCTGTTCCGCTGATTTGTGCCGAAATTACGACTTTGGACTTTGAAAATTTCGTGAAACAGTTATACTGACTTTTTTTCATAAGCCTACACATAATGAGCTGATTTTAAGTAAGTGAGTCTACTATGATGAAATATAGATCTACTTAAAGTTTGGTTCCGCTCCTCTGTTTTTTGCCGAAATTACAGGCTATAGGCTTTGAAAATTTTGTGAAGATAAGTTATACAGACTTTCATTCTAAATTTTGCACTGCTAAAAATGGCTTCAATCTTTTTTATCGAGCATGACCCTTTGTGTCGTTCCGACTCATCTAGTTTTTCTTCTGGACAGACTCTGGTCCCTGGTGCATGCAATTACGAGGTTCATGTTTTAGTCTCTCAAAGGACAGTGTTAACCAGTTGATGTATTTTTGTTATATCTCGGAATGTGTGACGTCATGAACTTGATTGATTGATGTTAGTTTTTTCTAAGAACAACTAGTGTACATAGTGTTTCCTGCAGCTTTTGAAAAGGGCAGAGTATTTTTGTTCTCAGAGGGCACTGTTAGGGCGATTGACTACACTTTAAGGGCATCATTTGCACGGAGGACTATACTTTTAGGGCACTCTTTACATAGATATAAAGGCACTGTTATTGATAAGGATTTAATAGAATATACCATTGTTTCATATGTATTGCCTGGCAGTGGTAATGTTCATCCCAGGCATCGTAAAATTTTAACTCAAACCATCACCTGGTTCCCTTTTAGATTGTCTACATTTTAAATTTGTAGAGGTACAAAGTTCCTATAAGATTCAATCATGAACTCACTGCCACTATTTTGTACTCTGTCGCTTCAAAACTGTTCAAACATAATTACGAAATTCAATAAAATTTCGGCCATTAAAATTTTTAGTTCGTTCCAAGAGAAATAACTCACAATGGTTTTGCTAAAAGATGAATGGCAGAACCAAATTACGGCGGGCGTTCTAAAATACGATGGAAAAGGGGCATGGCGCCAAATTTTATTCCTAAAAAGGGCAGGGCGCCATACCACGCCAAAACCTCCTATAGGAAACAATAGTACAATTCTTGATATTTCAGTAACTGGTCACATCTAAATTTCTAGTGTCTGAATTTAGAATTAAAAAAAAACTTACAGCACTAATACCATGAATACCAAACACTTTCATTTTTATTTGATTTATCATGGGCATTTTTCACTTCAAATGCATTGCACAGTTTTATCCTATAGGGCGAGGTTAGAAAATGTATTGAACGTTCACAGTTTAAAATGTCATATTGAGATACCACGATATTTGTGTTTTATTGTCTTGGATTAATAGATATGAAACTGTTCTATTGATCTTGGTTATTTATTATATGAGCGAATTCATTGCTTGGCACAATCATCACCTCTCATCATTTTTAGGTTTCTGACACCTGTCAGTTGTTGTAATGTGTTGGTTCTTAAAATTGTCAGTATGTTGTCTAAAGACCTGGTGGGAAAGCACAGACCGAACGGTTGAGTTACAAGGGTATTATTCTATGAGACAAAGTACTCTTAGATTAACCATCTTCTTTAATATCGCTATCAAAATCTGGGAACAGTACATCTAATTGGAAATGAATCTGATAGGCTTTTCAGTATAAAATATATAAAAAATACCGAGATTTATGGATTTTGGAAGCGTCCGACTGAAAAACTATTGGAACTGCTCAATAAATTAACCACATAATTCCAAACATTCAGCAAATACAATGAAATGATAAGTTTTAACGTAAAGTAGATATATTTTGTCATATAAAATGACCAATATAAGTGTGATTTATTTGATGTGAAGTGCTTTATAATGGTATGTGAAATTGACGGTTACCGAAAATGCCATCGGCACCATTTTTTATTACCCTGTTTGCATTATGAACCCTTCTGTTATGAAATGAATGCCATTATGACAAATTTGAAGTTATAGATTACAAGTTTTATACACTGGCATCACTTATTACTTAGTTTGAATGACATTTTATTGATATTATCAGTAGTGTTTCCCCTATCAAACAAAAAGGGCATGGTAACTTAATTGAAAAAGGGCATCTAGAGCGCGCAAAAATTTATAAAAAGGGCACCTATAGTGTATGGAAAATTAACAAAAGGGCACCTACAGTATGCTGAAAACAAGAAAGACAATAAATTGTCATATTGCATAGGTAAAGTATGTACTGGCAGTTGTTGATGGAATCAGAAATCAAGATAGCAAGTGTATTGTTTCAAAATAATATTGTATATGCATCTTTAAATAAAGATAAAAATTAACATTATTTCGGGTAAGAGCAAGGGACCAAGGATGTATGTATATTACTAGCTATACATCTTTGTCAGACTTTGAAGGACTAAGGCATACATTTACTAGGCAGTAATTACATGATTTGACTGATGTGGCACTTAAATATGAAGATTAGGATATAAGATCTGAAAATCTAGTTCAAAATTTCAATTCAATTAGTTTCAGGGGACAGTCCTCATCAACAAAAGTTGGGCCCTTTATTTAAACCAGGATTCACAATTTAAATGAACTTGTAGAATTTTGTAAGACTATTACAAGACATAATCAATATCCTTATAATAAGTTTAGATCGATATTAAGAATTCATTTCTATAAAGTTGGAACCAAGTAATTGTACAAATTCTTATTGGAACGATTCTAATAACTGTAAATTGTAAATTAATCGAGAATTGATCATGTTTATTTTCGATTTACAAATGAAATGTAAACGGGAAGTGACGGATTCATCTACGGATTGGTTTGTTTTAAAAAAAAGGCAGTAAATTATCATTTTTTGAATTTGATTTGCTTAGTAAGAACTATATTTGTCTCTCTCATTTATTTTAACCTAAATTTGTTTCGTAATTTACGTTTTAGTGTCTATAAATTCATAGGAATACTTTCACGCATGCGCAGTATATTGTAAACAATAAAGGAAGCACCTGTTTGACTCTTGAAAACTTTTCTGAACGTTTTGAATAAAGTTCTATCTTTTTAATTGAAATTGAGTGTTTTATACAAAAGATCAAGAAAATATGATCATTTGACGAAACTATGACAAACAAACTGCAAATTGTGATCGTTTTAGAAATATTGAAATTAAAAAGCGAGCTGTCCGGGGGAAAACAATTTTGATCAAATGACGAAACTGCGACAAACGAACTGCAAATTGTGGTCGTTGGCCTTGAGAAATATTGAAATTAAAATGCCGACTGACTGATTTTACAGGGGAAAATTATTATGGTGGTCATATATGAGGTTTATTAATAATTAACGGATTAGTGACCACTCCGATGGCGATAAGCGAATTAACTGTAATCACAACTTTATAACACCTGTTGTAAATGTTAATTAGCTGAGGGTCATAAACTTGTCAGAAACATGAAGACAGGAAGAAAGGGCATTTTTGAGACAATGGCGTCATCCAAAGAAGTGAAAAAAGGGCATGGCGTCATTTAGTAAGACAAAAGAAGGGCATGGCGTCATTTTAAAAGGGCATGCTTGGGGGAAACACTAATCAGAAATTATTAAGATAATAGCGGGTATGTATTGTACACGTCCGTTTCCGTATCGTGTCATTTATTAACTATGACCAGACAATAAATTGGCTTTAATGAGGTAGTGTCAAGTCCCTTTGATATATATATCCCATCTCTTTATTAAATAAAATAACTAGTTATTCAACGAGTATTCAAAACATACATAAACCCGTTTACATTGCAATATTCTTTGTCAAATTACTTAAATTAACCTCTGATATCCATCAATTGCTTCCAGTGGTTGACCCCACAAGTCTACATCGGTGCACCTTTCAAACGCTTTATGCCATGCAGCTATCAATTTATCTTCATCGTCAAGAAAAGACATTACAGAAAAACACTCATAATAAGTAAATATAGTGACAGAATATGTATCACTGTCTTTTCTTTGTATACAAATTCATTAATTTCATGAGGAAATGAGCGTGGGAATTTTTGTTTATTTTCTGCTCTGTGTCTAATTGACGCTTTCTGGTCAAAATCTTTTGGAGGCTTGTAAATATTCTTTGATGCGCATGCGTAAATATCTCTAAACAATTAACTTCCTGTTATCATTTTTTGCGGAAGCACACACCAACACAACTTAATTTTTGTTTATATGTGTACACTTAACATTACAATGTCTTGAAGACGTTCAATCCCTTAACAATGTATACAAATACAGTTAAATAGAACACTTTTTATCAATACAAATATGTAGATTTATCAAAAGTTTGAAGGTCATGGCTGAACTTCTTACTACGATACGTCCATCGATTACAAATTCAATCATGGCATTACAATTTGTAACATAAAACGGTTAAGGAATTATAGCGATGTTTGGTACACCATCATTACAAGAAAATCTCAGTTATAATTTTATGTCGGATGACAATGCTTCAAAATGGAAAGGTCAATTTCTGCATGCATTACAAGAGGTGAGTAGACCCTTATTGTTTGGTGATCTAAATTTGTGTAGTAAAGATATGTTGACATTATTTGTTCTCAAAGCTGAATGTCAAGTGTTTATTCTTATCCCCACAATCATTTCTTTTGATTATCAGTAAAGTAATCAGTAATTGGAAGGATATATAAAGCTAATGTTTCTTATTACATTTTTTACACTTGTTGAATTAATCACCTTTTTAAATCTTATTGATTTAACACCTTTCGTGATAACCTTATGATTAAGTGGTTATGTTTTATCACCTTTCCTATTGCCAATCAATACAACCCATAAAAATTATATCAAATATTGTTGATTTACAAAGCATAAAACATTTATCTTAAAATCGTGTATTATTTGAAATTTTGAACAATCATTACTGCATTTATATATATTTGTAATCACTTAAGTGCATTATTACACCATCATGATGTTTTTAATTTATTACTGTCATGACATGGTAAGGTGTATTGATATCTCCTGGATGCATGATTTTATTTTTCTGTGCCATTTTTATGAACTGGTGCATACACAAGACATGTCACTGTAACACTAGGTAAGTCCTGTTACATGTATCATCAAGATTATCCTTCAGCTGTCAATAATTATCAAACATGACTGCTTAAAGGTAAATCCTGAGAGAGCCAAAATTAATAGATTTAATCACATAATTGATAGTATTTCATACAGGAGGGTTTGTCACCCTGCCACTTTTCTGTTGACATTGACACTTTGCTATAGGCCTTTTCCTTTGTATTTTATCCATCTCATTTAGCATCTTCTCTTGGAGCCTCCTGCAGACGGGTCACCTATGAAGAGATATTGACCCCTCCGCATCTGGATCTAGGAGGTCCTTGGATATAGGAATTTAAAACTTAAACTCTTCCAACACTGCATTTCATCTTTAAATAAGATCATTTTGATTATTTCCCTTTAAACGAATGAAAAATATTTATGGCCGACTTTTTTTTTGAAATTTCATATTAATGTTTGAAAATATATTATTTGACTGAATACAAATACGGTTTATAACTAATCCAATAAGGATTAAAGCAATTTACTTGTGTGTATTGCTGTGTAATTGTTTATAATTTATTCCAAATTGGCTAGAGGGGAGGGTTGAGATCTCACTAAACATATTTAACCCGCTGCATTTTTGCACCTGTCCCAAGCCAGGAACCTCTAGCCTTTGTAAGTTTTTTTTTTCTTTTTTAAATTTTGCCTCATTTATATGTTTCAGAGTTAAGTGAGGCATCCATATTGCTGAACTAGTATTATACATTATTGTTTAGGGGCCAGCTTTAGCCCCCAGGATTTTCTCGCTCGTTGAAGACCCATTGGTGGCCATTGGCTGTTTTCTGCTCTTTTATTGGGTTGTTGACACATTTCTGTTTCCGTTCTCAATTCTCTTTGTACCTCTGTGAATTTCTAAATGTAGATAATTTAAAGGGGAACCTAGCAATTCTTTGAGTTATAGTTTTATGATACATGTACAATGTACTGAACATTAAGTAAACTATCAGCTGTTTGTTTAAATGTATATTTTAACAATTGGTTGTATTGAGTGTTAATTTACATTGTCTTTCTTACTGTCATGACTGTTGTTACAATGTATCTAAAAAAATTAAGTTAAGAGAATAGCTGATATTGATTTGATTGCATCTACAGTGCATAATATTTCCCTTTAAATCAAAAGCTCATAACACAAAAGCTGGAAGTGATATTGATGGTATTCTAATATTGATGCTATTCAATATAGCGTGAGAACTATTTTTAAATCTTAGGTGTTGTCCATTGCTTTATTGAAAGAAAAACAATTCATCAGTAGCTTGCGGGGGACATAGAAACACTGGTCGTCTGTCTGTCCGGTCTTGTAAGTGCTCTCACACTCACAGGTATAATTCTTGCCAGATTTTTATATTACTTATACTATAGGTTAATATCAGCAATATCTCGAACAAGTTCTATAATGGTGGACAATCGACTTTTTATACGACCGCAAAAAAATTTTGTGGTCGTATATTGGTACATTTGTATATTGGTATCACGTCGTCGTCCGTAGGCACTTGGTTTCCGGACAATAACTTTAGTATTAGTAAATAGAAATCTATGAAATTTAAACACAAGGTTTATAATCACAAAAGGAAGGTTGGGATTGATTTTGGGGGTTATGGTCCTAACAGTTTAGGAATTAGGGGCCAAAAAAGGGGCCCAAATAAGCATTTTTCTAGTTTTCAGACAATAACTTGTGGAACAGTGTATGGATCTCTCTGAAATTGTACAACAAGTTTCCATACCACAAAGGGATGGTTAGGATTGGCTTTGGGGGGTAATGGCTCAAACCGTTTAGGAATTAGGGGCAAAAAAGGGGGAAAAACAAGGGTTTCCTTGTAAATGGACAATCACTTTTAAGTACAATGTTAAATTTGGATTACCTCCCTTACACTGCTTTAAAATAATGTATAAAGAAATTTTGTATTGTCTTGAGGTGATTAGCTGTCAATTTATTTTTAGAAGTTACTAATTAAAATGCTGATTAAAGATATATTAATTATTTTTGGACATGATTATGTATGTCATTTTCTATTTTATTACTTTTATGATGTATTTAAATGGGTAATTAAGGTTGCAATTTGAATTGGGATAATAACCATATCTTGAGGCAAAGATTTTTTTTTTTTGGAAAAAGGGGAGGGGGAGGGGAGGTGAAAAAAATTGGGGGGGGGGGACAATTTTTTTTTCTCATTACAGAGAAATTGGGGGGGGGGGGGTCAACTTGCAACAGCATAGTGTATTAAATTTATGTAAAATGGCCTTGTCACAGGTACAATTCTTGGCAGATTTTTATAAAACTTATACTATAGGTTAATATCAGCAATATCTTGGACAAGTTCTATAATGGTGGATGATCGACTTTTTTAAAAGAGTTATTTCTTCTTCCCTTGGAAATATTAAATTTTTGGAAAATGACCTCGTCATCACTCTAACAGGTACAATTCTTGCCAGATTTTTATCAAACTTATAGTATACTGTAAGTAATGCCCTTGAAGGTCTGTTTGAAATGTAATTTATTTTCTTTAACAAGATAATCAAAGATCTATTTCAGCAGTCTATGAATTATGTGCAACACGGGGGACATTGGAACTCTGTTCTTTTATTGTCTTAAAAAATGCATGGAAACATGATTTTAACAATTTGTCCTTCCACTTTCCCAGGTTAGGGGAGGCTTGGGCACCTTCAAACATGTTTAACTTAACCACATTCTGTATGTGTCTGTCCCAAGTCAGAAGTCTGTAATTCAGGGGTTGTTGTTTGTTGCTGTACATCAAGTTTGTTTTTCCTATATAATTGTACATTCATCAGGACATTGGTTTTCTCGTTTGTTTTGTTTTTATTTTCATGATTTTGTCATCTCTTGTTATTTGTGAATGAGATAACTTCAGGAAGAATTATTGTAAATCATAAGGACCTATGTTTCATTTATGAATTGTTATAATTTTGTACAATTTTCATCTTGTAATTAATACAAGGACATATATATATAATTTTCAATAGTGAAGGACATCTGCCAAAATGTTGAATGCATTCCATAGGTTTTTTTTTAATTAACAAATGTCAGAGCTATTTCAATTACATTTTTACTTGCAGACATTTTTAGGAACAATGACAATTAGTAAGCTGATATTTTAGCTAACACATGTCTAATGCCATTTTTATACCTCAGTCTCATTGATGCAAACAAGGTTATATAGTGATGCATATGTCCATCCATCACACTTTTGATTTCTGGATGATAATTAAGGTACTGCTTGAATTTTGAAATGGTTTTTTGAAATTTGAACATTATGCCATCAACTCTAAAGATATAGGTCAAGTTTGAGTTCTTCAAAATTGGGATGAAATACCCCTGCACACATCTTTTTAATTTTTAATGAACTATAAGATACTGATCATTTTCAATTTTGAAGGTTTTGGCATAGATCTACTGTTCAACAGTGTTAACTGTTATGTTCCATGTGTTCAGTAATTATCCTTAATTTTAATACGACAGCAAAAAAAAATTGGGGTCGTATATTGCTATCACTTCGGTGGCGTCGTCGTCGGAAGACATTTGGTTTCCCGACAATAACTTTAGTTTAAGTGTATGGATCTCTATGAAATTTAATCAAAAGGTTCAAAACCACAAAAGCAAGGTTGGGATTGTTATTGGGGATGATGGTCCCAACCGTTTAGGAATTAGGGGCCAAAAAGGGACCCAAAACAAGGATTTTTCTAGTTTCAGGACAATAACTTGTGTATAAGTATTTTGATTGATCTGAAATTGTACCACAAGGTTCAATACCACAAGTAGAAGCTTAGGATTCATTTTGGGGGTAATTGCCCAAACTGTTCAGGAACTAGGGGCCAAAAAGGGTCTAAAACAAGCATTTTTCTAGTTTTCAGACAATTTGTGTTTAAGTGTATTGATGTCTCTTGAATTTTTAAAAAAGAAAATTTCTTCAAATGTTATTTTTTTTTTGGAAAGGGGGAGGGGGGTGGTAAAAAAAAAATTTGTTGGGGAAGGGGCAAATTTTTTTCCACAAATTTAAGAAATTAAAAAGAAAATGTCTTCAAATATTTTTTTTGAAAAGTTGGGGGGGTGGAGGGGTAAAACAAAATTTTTGCAGAGGGGGTCAATTTTTTTTATCAAGATTTAAAAATTTGTCAATTTTCCAAAGAAAATTGGGGGTCACAATTTATTTTGCTAATTCTTTGTATATAGTCTGAAAACAGATTTATAAAGTATTGCGCAACAGCACATTGTATTGCACAAAATCTTCAATTGAATATAAATTCAAATCATATACATGATATAACCAATTTCAAGTTCTTTGACTACATTTATTCTGTGTCAGAAACCTATAATGTGTCAAATATTTAATTACAATCCAAATTCAGACCTGTATCAAGCTTGAATATTGTGTCCATTTTTGTCCCAACTGTTCAGGGTTAGACCTCTGCTGTCGTAGCCAGCTGCGCTCGGCGAAGCAGTTTATTTTGTTTGTAGTCACTAGATCACTTAAATTCTAGTTTATAACTAGTTGATTTCCTTTAACATGTTTACCTATGTCCTGGAAATATACAAAATTAGTGGTACCCCACGAATAATAATGAATCTACAGTAGCTGCAAATGTAATTTAGTAGCATGCCAATTTATATAATGGCATGCCACAACAAAACATCATGACAGTTTATGTGGCACCTATCACTATATTAAGTGGCTTATACTACATCTAGTTTGTTATTAAGTACAAATTACTGATTTAAATTTATTTCTATTTCAGGTTCAGCTTCAAGTTCATCCATCACTTAGTGCTAAAGATGATGCCTTAGAGTATATAGAAAATTTGATACTGAATTTATTGTCAAGCTTATGTGCATCGCAGCCTCACACAAAACAGGATGTGGAAGACAGAGTTCACAAAAACTTCCCGGATCCCATTGATAAGTGGGCGATAAAGGAAGCACAAAATGCCATAAAGAAAGGAAATAGAAATAGTCCATTGGTGTTGCCTGTTGATAAGATTCATCAGCTTTTAGTGAGGGTACATATTTCATTATCTTTAGATTGGCAATCAAAATTTTACCCGTGTTCTCCCATGGGCCTTAAAACAGCATCGTACCATGGTGCTATCTGAATAGATTTTATGATAAAATTGAATAATACATGAAGATTTGGTGCTATGATTTAAGGAAAATTGAACTTCTTCAAATTCCATGGTGCTATTTAAAAATACTAAGTACAACATTGTATTGTACTATGCATATCACTCTTGGTGTTGATTTTTCATAATGGATAGTGTTAAAATGTGGACAAATCATTTTAAAATATCTTTTTGTGTGTTCGGCCTGTTATCTAGGACGAAGTTATATATATTAGCATGTTACCACCCGTAGTAACCCTATTTCTCTGTGATTTATTTTAAACCAAGGGGAGTGATTTACCATTATATTGCCTTGTGTGTACTGGTACATGTATATCTAAAAAGTTCAGTACGGTGATTTTTTGAGATAATTTTTGGTATCGGAATAGAATCACCATTGTTTATTAAGTTTGCCTTACAATGGATCAGAAATTTTTTAAAAACGCCAGTCCGTCTCGATTGGTTTTTCCGGAGCATAACTTTTTGTTTGATTTGTGTATGATGCATAACTTTTGTACCATAGCACATAGATTGACAAAACTTTGTATGCAGAAACATCATGGGATCTGATGTCTCCTATACCAAATTCAGGTCACTCTGACCTTGATCCCTATGATAGTTATTTGTATTTTGTCTCTGGAGAACTTCCTTTAACCAACTAAGTCAAACTAAGTGTGCAGATGCATTATGGGAAGGAGATTTGTCAGTAAGATTAGGGCATTGTAGCTTTGACCTTTGACCTCAAAAGTTGATCGACCCTTAACATTGTATCAGTAAAAATGGCAGTGATTTCTAAATATCCAACAAATATCAAATTGCAATGATTATATAAAATAAATGGCTGAAAGCCAAAAATATCAAAATGGCATTTCTTCGATACTTAATTTCACAGGAACAACTAAAATGCATGTACATGGTATTAGTTGCGCTATGCAGACAGTTATAAGTTTAACATTTGATGATGGAAAACCACTTGAAAAAAGAAGATGATATTTTTTTACAAATTGAGTTCATTTTAGAGATTCCACTGACAGTTTTAATCACCAAAAGAATTAGAATGTCTCAAATTTCTCAAAAAGTTATATTAAACAATACAAAACATAGAAGTTAAAAAATCCACTTTGCTTATTGCTTTATTATGTTACCTTGTGATGCAAGAGTACAAATTGATTGCTTTTAAATTGCATGTATGCTGCATTAGGTAGACATTTTATTTATTTTTTTTTCTATTTTAGGAAGTTCTTGGTTATAAGATAGACTTCCAGGTGACAGTGTACATTGTTGCTGTTCTTGAATATATAGCTGCTGATATATTGAAGGTAATTATTGTTACATGCAATATTTTTTGGATGAATATGAGATTTGAAACTGTCAAAATTAACATTGCATGCAATATTTTTTTGATGAATATGAGATTTGAATCTGTCAAAATTAACCAAACTAACTATTTGATTATGATTATACCATAGCATCCTCTAAAAAATTAAGCATTTCTCACAAATTTGCAAAAAAAAATAATAGTCAAACCAAATTTTCCATCAAATATTATACAAGGCTTTCAGAGATTTGAATTATCTCAACGACCTTAACTGGTAACCCAAGGGCAAAGGATTAATGAAATTGTTTTTGTTACCTTGCATCCAATGGTGTGGTACAAAGTTATGTACAATTGTGGATAATTTTTAAAAAATTGTACCCAATGTCATGGACTATAAAAGATAGGTCAAGTGTTATTTGTATGGTTTTGTCACTTATGATCCAAGAGTTATGATTCCAAATTTACTTAAAAAATTTGGATTTTTCCTGTTTCCTTATGATAATTAGAGAACCGTGTGTCCAATGTTATAGACCATAAAATAAAGGTCAAGTTTTAGTTTGATGGTTTTGACATTAATGTTAATAGTTACACCCTATAGTCACCAGTAAGATACTCATACAGCTTTTATGTTAAATAGATTTGCAATCATTAATTTTAATTCCAGATAAATATCAAAAGTAACAATTTAAAAAAAAATATTTTGTATTCAATTTTTATAGTTAAAGCTTCTAAAAATGATCTAAAAGTCTGTACAGAAGTTAAAATAGATGGTGTGTTTAACTGGTCAAGATGGCAAAATCCTTCTTAAAATGACTAGTCCTTAATAATCAAATATAATACCACTTGAAAAAGTATATAAATAAAATAAACTGGTAAATTGGACAGTTTGAACATGGGTTAAGCTTGCGATTTGTTGAATTGGCCAGGGGAGACCTCTAATGTCTCTAGCGGAGTAAATAGACAATGGGCCTGATGACCAACAAGAACACATGATTTGTTAAGTCAGCCATTAGGATTTGTAAATGAAGTCATTGTGTAAAGAAATGGAAGCCATGATTGAACAAAAAAAAAATTTAGATTCAATTGCTCATAAGTATTTGTGTGTATCAGAAAGTTTTTATGCCCCCGCCGTAGCAGACGGGGCATTAAGTTTTACCCTTGTCTGTGTGTACGTACGTACGTACGTCCCAAAATTGGTTTCCGTTCTCTAACTTGAGTTTGCCTCAACCAAATGTTATGAAACTTATACACAATGCTCATTATCACAAAACGCTGATCTAGTTTGAATTTTGGTGGCGTCACTTTTACCGTTCTAGAGTTATGTCCCTTTACAAATGGAAAAATTGCTGAAATATTCGTTTCTGTTCTACTTTAGTTTGCCTCAACTAAATGTTATGAAACTTATGCACAATGCTAATAACCAGAAAATACAGATCAAATGTGAATTTTGGTAGCGTCACTTTTACTGTTCTTGAGTTATGCCCCTTTACAAATGGAAAAATGGCTGAATTTTTCGTTTCTGTTCTCTAACTAAAAGAGTGCCTCAACTTAATGTTATGAAACGTATACACAATGCTTATTACCACAAAACTCAGATCAAGTACAAATTTGGGTAGCGTCACTTTTACAGTTCTTGAGTTGTGTCCTTTTATAACGTTATATGCAAGCAGGGGCATCATCTGTGAACCCATGGACACATTCCCCATTTATTTGATTCATGTTGCAAATGTTTCAAGTGCTGTATGATGATATATTTTATCTGAGCCGAAAATGTTTCCAAAATGATTTTTCCCCCTGGCAAATAAACATGTTAAACAGACCAGAAAAGTTATTTAACAGATATCATGTATATTTAGGCCTATATAATTTTCACTTATTTAACAGGCCTGTGTTGAAAAAGACAGGCCTTGCCTGGGCCTATTAGCTGACCTAAATTTCAAACTTCTCTTTGAATTGAAACAAGGTTGCCATCGAGGAGTGTTTTCTTAATGAAAATTTCTGAATGATCTATGATATTGACCATGTTGACCACTTTATACTTCTGATGAAACCTATCATTATATTTGAAAAATTTAAGAATCAGAATATAATTTTAAAGTTTTTGAAAACAAATCTTTTAATTTTTTGCATCTTTAGTTCTCACTACATGTAGTTCATTTAACATTAAGATAAGTTATTAATTTTCATTAACAATATTTCCTTCCCATGACAAAACTGTAGGATATGACTAACTAAAATTATAAAGTAAATTATTACTTTGTCATGAAACAACAATATTCTTCAATTTTTGATTGCTGGAAAAAATAAAAACAATTATTTTCTTACCTGGGAATTACCCTTTATCCTTTTCACAAATTCATTGATTGAGGTACGTGTTGTATTGTCTGACTTGGAAAATCCATTGACGGTTTCTCTGTCCAGTTTTCAGTGATTCACTTTTGAGTCATCAGCAGTTTCCTGTTGCTTTTTTCACAGGATGTCATATCTCCCTGTTATCAATAAATAAGTTTTGGTTTTCCTTATTTGATCGTTGATAAATTGCGTAGGAGGTTTATTTACTCTTATTGATTTATTTTAGATAATAAAAATATCTGATATTGGGGTCATTAAAATAAAGATCTTTTTGTTCAGCTTCTGATGTAGCTTCCTTTAGATGCATTTTTTTGTTGTTCAAAACACAAAGAAAGTCCTCATGTAGGTCAATGTTTATTTTTTAACAATTATTATTTTTAAAGACAAATCAAGACCATGAGATGGATCACGTGAGACAACGTCTCATGAAAAACTGGAAAAATCTTTTCATAAAAAACATATGACTTGTAAGACATTCAATCGTAACTTCATCTTTATAAATATCAACTTTATATTAAAGTACATGGTCATTCTGATAAAATATAGAAGATATTTATTGTCTTTAGTATGTTTGGGATACTTGCCACTGGACTTAAGTCTAAAAATGATGATACATGTACTTATAGTTCAAATAATTAAAAAAGTAAGTAATGAATATTTTTAGGTTGTTTATTGTAAACAAAATCACTAGATCTTTTGGGGGTTATTTTTTTAATCTTTTACAAAAGTTCATAATGAAGATTCCATCAAAAGAACTTTTAATTTTACGATCTCAATCCCATCAAAATTACCTCTAAATTATCAACAGTCACTTGTTTGAAAGTTTGAAATGTTACAAACAAAATAATGTGATCAGAATTTAAAGTGTTGTTTGCTTAACATCCAGTGGACGATATTTCATGCATATCAGGACAAAATAGTATAAAGTGTGAATTTAAATCAATATGATATTGATCCCCTCATGAATATTTTTTTAGCAGTAATAAAAATGTTACAAAAAATTCTAAAGTTTTAATAACTCTCTTGAAACTTTAGATGAAAGTCAAATTTTCTCCCTTAAGGGTGCGGATTAGGCAACTACCTTTCTATGTTTATTTTGCTTGTAAATAAGAATTTTTAGGTAAAGATTGTTTGCAAAAAAAAAAATTTTTAATTTTAGTTGACAGGGAACTATGTACGGAACATAAAGCACAAGGAAATAACATCGCAAGATATCAAAGTAGCAATATGTGCAGATCAGGTCAGTTAAAAGTTTTGCAGAAGACATATTTATATGAATTAAAAAAATGCTTTATGCCAACTGCAACAATCCTAAAACACATTAAAAAAAGACTAAACATCAAATGAGCAGCTAACTGTCTTCAACAATATTGTCTACGTACATGTAAGGTATGTTAAAAAGCTCTAAATTGTACATCGTGAGCCGTGCCAGGTTATAGATAAAAGTCACAGCCATCTGCCATCGACACCATATTCTCTAAGGGCTATTCCATTAAAATGTATGTGGGAGGGTAGGAAGGGAAGTTTAATTATTGAATGTGGGTCATGGGTCTATTTTCAGTATGCGTCTATTACCATTATGCAATATTATCTAAAAAATGGTTCTTGGTTGTAGGGATATTTTGAAAGTCCCTTCCTACCCTCCTACATACTTTTTAATGGAATAGCCCTAAGTTTAGAGCATTGTTATTAACAATCTTGCAGTTGTAAAAGAAGTGGAGGTTTGAAATGTTAATATTGTGATAGAGTGAGTGAAATGAGGAAAATTGAATGCAATTTCAAGTAGGGTGGAGGTTTGGGGAATGCTTAGTGCTTGTGTCTCCTTAGTCCACAGGTTAATCTGCCACATATGAGATTATCGTTATGTTGCAGCTAATGACTTTTAGAAAATACTGTAAACCAACTAATTTTCGTGAGTAGAAAAATAATGTGAATATAAATCGTGGAGAATATGTGAAACTTCTGTCTTACCTAACATAAATACATGAAGAAAATTAAAAAAACCGCAAAAAAAAATCGCTGTGAAGTCTGCTGAAAAGGGCTTAATGCAAAAATAAAATAGCCACGAAAATAAGTTGGTTTAAAGTAATGTTATCTTTATCATGTTTGTGGGTGCTGTACCTGACCTATTTTGACATTTTTTATTGTTTGGGAAGCATGTTAACAAATGTATTTTACTCTTCTGTTCCACAGGTATTGATGGATATGTTCTCTCAAGAGGAGGAGGTTTCCATGCCAGAGTTAGAGGAACCAATCAGACTGGAATCTCTTACTTACGAAGAAATTGTTAAAGATTTTATTTTTGAAGAGACTCAGTATATGAGAGACTTAAATATGATTATTAAAGTGTTCAGGGCTCCGTTTGTTAAACACTTTCCAACAAGTAAGGTAATTATGTGAATAGTTCGTACACTTTTTAAAATTAGTCAGAATTTTGGAAAATATTTTTTCAGGTACATGTATTTGGGAATTGTGAGGTAAATCAAACTGTCAACATTTTCTTCATAAAAAAGTTAACATTTCTTTTTTAAGTTGAATAATATTAATTGTTTTCCTTTTAAATTAAATTGAATTATACAAAAGATTTGTTTAGCCTCTTAGCATTTATTTCAAAATTCGGACAAAAGAGCAATTATTTGGTATGCTTGAAATTTATTGATAATATTCCATATTTTTACAAAAACAGATGATGGAGGAAGGCAATTGCTTCTCTCTTTTTTATTGGCAGAAAAGACTCAATACAACACAAATAAAGTGACTTTAATGTTTATATTATATATTGTAGGATTTAGACGTGATCTTCAGCAATATCTTGGACATCTATGAGTTTACAGCAAATTTACTGAGTTCTGTAGAGGAACAAGTAGAACTTGCTGCAGAAAATGCCAAACCAGAAGTTGGAATTTGTTTTCAAGATATGGCTGAGGTAATGTAACATTTGTGTCTCAGCTGTTTCTAAGAAAAATGGTGAAATCAAGTCTTTAAATGAAATAAAATCCATGATTACATCAGTGACATGATATTGGTGTTATTTTGACACAACTTTAGTAGGGTTTAAACAATAGAAGAGATTACTTATAATAATGTTATCATGATTGTTGATTCTTGATTTAACATTTCTCTCATTTTGATATTATTGTTTGGAACAAGATGCTTTTGACAGACAACACTTTAAAAATAAAAATAGATTTAAATGAAACTTCTTTGATTATATATCCTCATGTTGTTATTTTGCAAGTGATCATAATAATTGTGTTCATATGTAAAATACAAACCATGGCCTCTTATTTGGGAACCTCTGGGATTGGCAACATAATAGAACGCAGCCATTCTTATGTTATAGATTTCCTTTTATGCAATCATTTTAACTGGTTTACATGGTAAACTATTTTTATTCGAAGATAGTCTATTCAACCAGTGAAAAATTTGAATTCAATATATGTCAAAACAATGCCAATATTTTAATACCAAAAGATAAGATACAAATGTGTTGCCAAATTTTAAGAAATTACAAACTGACTCTTGTTTTCCTCTCTGAATTTGATGACCAGGAAATAGTACTTTAATATTAATACAGAGACATGTAAAACACTTTTAAATGAGTTATATTGTGTTTTAAAATAGAATATAATATTTACTTTTAGGCAGAAGAATTCAGTGTATATGAGAAATATGTTGATGACATGTTAGCCCCTCATGGGAAAGAAAGGCTCAACATACTGTTAAAAAGAGATGATCTCAGTAAAACATTAGAGGTAAGTCAAATTTGAAAGAGATGATCTCAGTAAAACATTAGAGGTACTGTGGATTCATTTATTTTCGTGGGTACCAATTTTCGTGGATTAAGGAAAACTTATATTTTCGTGGATATTTAATTTCGTGGTTTTGCCGAAGTCTGCATATAAGCCTAAGGAAAATTTGTTATTCGTTGAACATTTAATTTCGTGGTTCACCAGTACCCACGAACTCCATGAAATTTGGTATCCAACGAATAATAATGAATTCACAGTAAGTCAAATTTGATGTAGATTATCTCAGTAAAACATTAGAAGTTAGGCAAATATAACTCAGTAAAACATTGGAGGTTATGCAAATATAAAAGTGAGGATCTCAGTAAAACATCGAGGTAAGTCAAATTTAATAAATGATCTCAGTAAAACATTATAGGTTAGTCAAAAAATAAAAGAGATAATCACAGTAAAACATTAGAGGTTAGACAAATATATATATGTTAGTTGCTCCTTAACAATGAAATATTAAACTTCGAAAGACACTTATACAGCAGAAAGCATTACTGTGTTAACCAATTTTTATGCAACTGGTCTGCATTTAAAATTTCCTCATTAGCTTCTTATGGATTTTTTTGTGTACTGAAATGGGTATTACTTTGGAGAAACAGCTTGTTTTATGTGACTTCAATCGAGGTTCACTTGAGCAGTTTTGGTTTCATCTGCTGTCATTTTTTAATAGCTCTCAAAAGATTTGATCACTTGCAAATAAAATGTTAACAATTGTAAGTTGTGAACTCTGTTTTAAATACTGAAGGTATATTTTTTAATAGCTCTCAAAAGATTTGATCACTTGCAAATAAAATGTTAACAATTGTAAGTTGTGAACTCTGTTTTAATTCTGAAGGTATATTTGAAATTTTGACCAGAAATTACAGTTAAAGAAAAAAAGTACTGTTATGGGCAAAACCTATTTATAAATGGAATAAAAAGTTGGAATAGCAAATCATATAAAAAGAAGATGTGGTATGTTTGCCAATGAGACAACTCTCCCCATTAGACCAAATGACACAGAAATTAACAACTATAGGTCACTGTATGGCCTTCAGCCATGAGCAAAGCCCATACCGCATAGTCAGCTATAAAAGGCCCTGAAATGACAAATGTTAAACAATTCAAACGAGAAAACTAACGGCCTAATTTATGTACAAAATAATGTACAAAAAACAAATATGAAACCCAGCAACAAACGACAACCACTGAATTACAGGTTCCTGACTTGAGACAGGCACATACAGAATGTGGCGGGATTAAACTAGTTTGTTGGCACCAAACCTTCCCCCTAACCTGGAACAGTTGTGTAACAGTACAACATATAAGAACAAACTTTAAAAATCAGTTGAAAATGGCTTAACTCATGAGATTGATACAAAGAAGAAAAACATCTTAACAAAAACATTGGACTGGACGTTGCAGGGTATTTATACAACTCCACAACAAAACAGACACTAAGAACAGATTTGAGAGTACTCGCAGTGAATATATGCGAAGCTTATATATTGACAGGGAAGTGATTTACTACATGGTATATTTTTATGAGACACAAACAAAAAGAAATGAAACAAAAGTTAATGCACTTAAAATTATAAAAACAAATCACGTTAAGAATGCACTGCTTCATAAATATTTTGTTATAATATGTATATTAGATTTTTCCAATTATATAAAATTAAATATAAGTCGTCTCACTCCTTTCACAAACAAGTGGAAACATAGAGGACTTGTTTATGACTGATTTTACTAAAAAGCTAAGAAACATATGAAAATGTGAAATGATTTATGGAAGTGAAGCAAAAATAAGGGGGGATGAAGGAAATGAGAATCATAAAACAAAATTTGTGTGGCCAAAGTGTGGCAAATAGTACTGTATATGTATATATATATATTCTCTTTTTTAGGTTGAGGGGCATGGATTCAAAGATGCCATGAAATTTGTCTTGCCAAAACTTTTACTAGGACCCATTTATCATTGTTTACATTATTTTGAAGTCATAAAGGTATGTATTTTAAAAATCTAATATACACTATTATAGGTTATAAGAGCTATTGTCTTTTTTCATGTGTCCATATTGGCATATTTTCAACATCCTTAATTGTAGTGTCTTATAAATATTTATACCGAGGTAATATTAATTACAAATGAAATGCTATTGAAAGTTATTTGACTTAATTTAATCTAATTTTACCATTTTAGATATTCTGGAAAAAATTTAATATTTCTTTCATGAAAAAATCATATAATAGATAAACTTTTATATATTGAAAAAGTTACATGCAAAAAACATTACAATTGTTTTCACATTTAAATTGTCACTTGTTACTCCTATTTAAGGCTCTGATGACTGCCAGTTCAAGTGAAGAAGATGAAGATTGTTTTAAGCAGGCAGATGGCTTGTTGATGGCACTTAAAACGATGCTTGAAAGAAAATTCAGTGGAAATATGCCAAAGAAAAAGCCATGGTATGTATCAGAAAATGAATACAAAATAGCATCAAGAATGTCCTAGATTCAAGGGTTATAGGTTTCAGAACAAGTGAGAATTATAACTATATCAACTCAAGTTATCAGGGCTGCTCCATTTAAACATTAATGGTACCCAGGGAAGTCACTGAAACTTGGGTAACCACCTATAGAAGAAATTTATGAACATCACATTTTCGCTTTATCAAAAAACATTTGACACCTACACCTAGTTGAGATTTAGAATTGCCTGATCTATGGTTTTCATTTATGTTTTTATGGAACAACCATACTGATAAATGAGCATCTGGCTTGAATTTAAATTCATTAGTAAGAATAGACGTGAAGAAAATTCAAGCCAGTGTAAATATAATATCTGTTTATCAGAATAGACATGCAGAAAATTCAGATAGAATATTATCGGATTTATGAAAATTAGGAATGTCTTATTTTCAATATTTAAATTACTTTTATTACATTTGTTACTATTTGTACCATTTTACCTAGAGAAAGTATTAAAGTAGACATCTAACATGTCTAAGTACACACATGATCTATACAGGTATTTTGCCAGACAGTCCTGATTTGAATGATTTTCTATTACAATGAATTGTGGCAACAGTGTATTTGTTTGTTATTTCTTCACAATTTTTGGAAATACTTCTCATGGTGATCAATGGGTAACTCACAGGAAAATGGCATTTGTCATTGGCATGCCTGTAATAGTAAGAATATGTCGGCCTATTTATCAAAATTACTCAGTAAACACTATTTTTACAGTACCATTATTTAAAAAATGCTAAAGTCGGTACATAATTTTATTTTTATGAAAGATGACACATCACAATTTGTAATATATCAACTGCAAAGAAAGTGGGAGAAGACAAGTGTTGTTCCGAGCAGTGTCTACAATTACTGAAGTTTTTTTATGAGCTCATTTAGATGAGCACCAATATGATTAAGCACATGTTAATGCAGTACATCTTGTTTCCTGTAGGCCCTCCCCTTAGTCATTGTCTATGGACTTCTGACATTTTTGCCTAATTTACATTTTAGGCAGGACATTATATTTTCTTATGCCTAAAGAAAATTTGGTTTGTGAATAATGTGTTGAAAATTTGAATTTAATATGTTTCAAATTTTAGGGAAACGTCGTTACGATTACATGGCAGAACCGGGAGACAAGCAATAGTACAGAAAATGACAGAATTACAAAAGAGTATTGATGGATGGGAAGGAAAAGATATCTGGCAAAGTTGTAGTGAATTCATTTTAGGTAAGATGTTTTTTGGGTTAGACTTGCATCTCAGAACAATCATATGGAGCCAAAACATCTGTTTAAAATAGAGAGGCGAAAGATACCAAAGGGATATTCAAACTCATAAGTTGAAAACAAACTGACACTGCCATGGCAAAAAACAAAAAACAATGAAAAGGGAAACAACAGTACACAAAACACAACATTTAAAGCATTTAATTCTTTTAAAAAAGGGAAACAGTAAATTTCATAGATTACTTCATAAGATCATAAACAAAAGGATGCAACATAAACAAATGAAAGCATGTCCATATATAATATATAGAATTAATAAACTTAAATATTAGTATACTTTTTGTCGAACCTTTCGACTTTAGTCGAAAAAGCGAGACATAGCGATCCTACATTCCGTCGGCGTCGTCGTCATCGGCGGCGTCCACAAATATTCACTCTGTGGTTAAAGTTTTTGAAATTTTAATAACTTTCTTAAACTATCCTGGATTTCTACCAAACTTGGACAGAAGCTTGTTTATGATCATAAGATAGTATCCAGAAGTAAATTTTGTAAAAATAAAATTCCATTTTTTCCGTATTTTACTTATAAATGGACTTAGTTTTTCTGCCAGGAAATATTACATTCACTCTGTGGTTAAAGTTTTTAAAATTTTAATAACTTTCTTAAACTATCCTAGGTTTCTACCAAACTTGGACAGAAGCTTGTTTATGATCATAAGATAGTATCCAGAAGTAAATTTTGTAAAAATAAAATTCCATTTTTTCCGTATTTTACTTATAAATGGACTTAGTTTTTCTGCCGGGAAATATTACATTCACTCTGTGGTTAAAGTTTTTAAAATTTTAATAACTTTCTTAAACTATCCTGGGTTTCTACCAAACTTGGACAGAAGCTTGTTTATGATCATAAGATAGTATCCAGAAGGAAATTTTGTTTTCTTCCAGTTAACATTACATTCAGTCTGCAGTTAAAGTTTTTAAACATTTATTAGATTCATAAACTATCCTGGATTTTTACCAAACTTGGACAGAAGCTTCTTACAATCAAAAGATAGTATCAAGAGGAATATTTTTATTGATTTACTTCCTCATTTTTGTTGAGCCTGCGATTAACAGAAAAAGTAGGCGAGACACTGGGTTCTGCGGAACCCTTACGAATTTTATTCTAAAAGAGCACTAATTTGGAATAAATCTCCATAAAAATTTTACCATCAGTAAAAATGAGTTCATTGACCAAGTGTATTGCTGAGTAACAGTGCTTATTTTTTGTGATCAAAATTTTGCCATTAAAACTGAAGAGAACCAAGTTTGCTACATGTAAAATTTATTTCAACAGATGGTGTGTTGAACAAGTTCTCTACAAGATCAAAAACTACAGAAAGATATGTGTTCTTATTTGACGGACTAATTGTTTTGTGTAAACAAAATACACGAAGATCATCAGTCACAGGAGTACAACCAGAGTTTAGATTGAAAGAAAAATTCCAGATCAGGAAAATGGAAGTTGTTGATCGAGAAGATACAGATGGTATAATACATGAAATTTTGAAATTTATACTTTTGCTTTAATATACCAAATCTTTTCAGAGTGTACCAGAAGAATTTGCATGTGCAGTTTTTATTTTTATCAGGTTCTGTAACAAGCTGAAGATAACTTGATCAGCTACTAGAAAATGAATTATATCTGGAAATTAACTTATGGTCTTCAATGATAGACCTGTCATATATATATCAAGCTCAAAATGCAGTGTTCTAAACAAAAATAGAATGTGCTTTCCTTTGAATAAATAGAGAGGTGGAATACAATTCAATGAGACATCAATCCAACAACAAAAAGAAATGCATAAGACCTTTTCAAGTTATATATTTTCCATGGAAAAAATATACAGGAAAATGGGGAGATATAGTAGCACTAGTCTTCTTAATAAAAACATTTTATTCAAAAGTACTATGGGTCGATGCCACTACTGGTGGGGGTTTACTCCCCGAGGGTATCACCAGCTTAGTCAGCACTTCAGTATATGATATGGTTAAAATTATAAATTAATTGTTAGCAAAACTTTGATTTCTTTTTTATACGACTGCAAAAAAATTTTGCTGTAGTATATTGGTATCACGTCTGCGTCAGCGTCGTCCGAAGACATTTGGTTTCCGGACAATAACTTTAGTTTAAGTGTATGGATCTCTATGAAATTTTATCAAAAGGTTCAATACCACAAAAGGAAGGTTGGGATTGTTTTTGGGGGTGATGGTCCCAACCGTTTAGGAACTAGGGGCCAAAACAAGCATTTTTCTAGTTTCAGGACAATAACTTGTGTATTAGTATTTTGATTGCTCTGAAATTGTACCACAAGGTTCAATACCACAAGTAGAAGGTTGGGATTCATTTATGGGGTAATTGCCCAAACTGTTCAGGAATTGGGGGCCAAAAGGGTCTAAAACAAGCATTTTTCTAGTTTTCAGACAATAACTTGTGTTTTAGTGTAATTTGTAGCACATTTTACAAAAAAGAAAGTTTCTTCAAAATTAATATTTTTGGAAGAGGGGGTTAAAAAAAAATTTTTTTGAGTGGCAATTTTTTTTCCTCAAAAGAAAATTCTCTTCAAATATTATTTTTGTTTGGAGGGGGGGTAAAAAAAAATTTTTTGGGGGGTCAATTTTTTTTCCCTCAAGATTTAAGAACTTGTCACTTTTCCAAAGAAAAAAATTGGGGGTCACAATTTATTTTGCTAATTCTTTGTATAGTCTGACAACAGATTTACTAAGTATTGCGCAACAACACAGTGAATTGCACAACAGCAAGAAATCTTCAATTGAATATAAATTCAAATCATACAACCAATTTCAAGTTCTTTGACTACATTTATTCTGTGATAGAAACCTGTAATGTGTCAAATATTTAATTACAATCCAAATTCAGACCTGTATCAAGCTTGAATATTGTGTCCATTTTTGCCCCAACTGTTCAGGGTTGGACCTCTGCGGTCGTATCCAGCTGCGCTTGGCGAAGCAGTTTATATTGAAATACTAAGGATTTTCTACCCCAGGAATAGATTACCTTAGCTGTATTTTGCAAAACCTTACTTAATTTTGGGTCCTCAATGCTCTTCAACTTCGTACTGTATTTGGCCATTCTAACTTTTTTGATGGGAGCGTCACTGATGAATCTTTTGTGTATCAAACGTGTGTCTGGCGTACAAAATTTTATCCTGGTATCTATGATGAGTTTATTAAGTATTAGTGAGCAATATCTCACAGTACAATGCACATCTTGTATTTGCAGATTGCAAGCATGGATTTGAACTTCAATCAAGAGATAGTCCCAGTCACTGTGTTCTTCTTATGGCTAAAACTGCTGAAGAAAAAAGTAATTGGATGGCAGCTTTGATATCTTTACAAACTAGAAGGTAAGTTAAATGACTTTAACCTAATAGGTTATTGCTGATAACATCTTTAAATATTAAGTCAAAATGTTTAAACTGGAATTGAAAGATATAATTGATACTGTAAATTCAGAAATTATTGTGAGGTTTTTATAAATGTGAAAAGTACAACTCGCTGAACATCACAATAATAAGTACTCACATTCTGATATCTGATAGATATATATATGTATACAGCTTTTCCATAAATCGCAATAATTAAACTCGCATTTTGTTCATTCTTCAAAAATTGCAATAATAAATGCATGCAGTATTTCTGAATTTACAGTAGATGTTTTTAATTTCATGTATTGGTGTGTAACAAGAATGATATAAAACATTTTTTAAAATTTCTTTTGGAGAAAAAAAATTGTTTCAGATCAAATATCTTCACTAAGTGATACTTTTTCTGATTGCATTGTAAGCAAGGTAGATAACTTATTATATATCAAAATGGAAAACAATTGTGTGGTAAAGAAAGGGTTTTTAAATACAATACATTTTAGTATTTATCAATTCTAAAGTAATGTAACATAAAGTGCAGGTTATTATAGAAATATTTTTGTACCGTGTTTTAAATTTGTTTTAGATTTCATTGTAAATGATATTTTCAAGGGAGATAATTTATTATAAGTCTCAAGGTTCAAATCAATGAAAAAAAGAAACTTCCTAAAAAAGAAACAGGGTTTATCACTTTAACCTTTCTGAACAATCAACAACCATTATAACAAGGCCATAAATCTACATGGCTAAAACTATCACATTTGGACAGTCAACAAATTAGAAATGTACTTGTTATGTATCAATTAGGAGCCAAACCTGTATATACATGGAAGAGAAATATGTTGCCTTTATGAACAGGTGCCCTTTATACAAAGGTTTTTTTTTCAAGCTTTGTACATGTATGTTTACAGTAACTTTATTGACAGGTGTTTGCATGTTTATTTGTTGCTTAAAAGTATGGTAATAAAGAAATGAGAAATTTAAAAAAAGACTATATGAATATTTTGCCTTTGCAGTATGTTGGAGAGACGATTAGACAGTATTTTGAGAGAAGAAGACCTTATGCAGCCATTACAACTGCCACCTCCACAAATCTACAGGTAACTGTTATACTGTCGATTCATTGATTTTCATTAATTGAAGAAGAAAAATCATATTTTCCTGGTTTTGTATACAAGTTTATAGAAAATTTGTACTCTATGAAAATTTTAATTTGTGGTTCACATGTACTCACAAAATCCACAAAAATTGGTATCCAACAAATAATAATGAATCTTCAAGAAGCATACAAAAAATAGTTTTTGATAACTTCTCAAGATATGAATATTTACATTGAATCATATTTGTTTGGTATTTTCTCTTTTTCTTAGTAAAGTTTCTTTCTTTTATTGATTTAAAAAGAAATCTTACTCGCAAATAACTAAACTATTATCTGCTCTACTCTGTTTAAACAATAAATATGCTGTTGTGATCGGCAGGAAGTTGTAATAACCAGTTCTATTTCAATTCACCGTTTCAGAATCTTGTGCATTCTGGGTTATATTTTCAAAAGAGAACACCAAAAGGCTTTGATTGGCTTACAACGTCAAAAACAATTGAAAGTCAACAATGACCTGACATTGTTTTTATTTTGGAGGACAAGCAATGAAATTACCCTGGTTCATAAAATTCTGAAACGGCGAATTGAACAGAAATTACATGCAACAACATCTAACACACATTACTTTTCAGATTCGGTGAAAAAGATTCAGAATCCAATATTGTGATGGAAGATAAAGAGAAAAGACATAATCCAACAGAAAGTCCATTAATCAAAGGTGGATTACTGCTGAAATTGATAGAACGGTTAACATACCATATGTATGCTGAACCTAAGTTTGTTCGGACATTCCTAACTACATACAGATCATTCTGTTCTCCTCATGAACTCCTCGATCTTCTTGTTGAAAGGTCAGTCATTTAATATATATATGTGTCTTTGACTGTGTTTGTCTAAATTTTAAAGCTATTTTTTCAAGGATGAAACAACAAAAGTGTAAAAACTGAGACACTTTTTTTTATTACACATTACTAGACTTCATTTTAAGAACAAATGAATTGAATAAGTACTGTAAGTCATTGTGTTTAAGATTTTTTTATATCCAAAGTTTATTGTCTGTAAACATAACAATTATGCAACTATTGATTTTCTGACACAAAATCAAACTCAAACAACTACATTTAGAAACAGTTGGAATATTTTTATTAGAATATGATTTTTAATGGCATTTTTTTCATCATTTGCTAAAGATTTAAAATTTCTTGAATTAACAACATATTTTTGGTCACTATTTAGGTTTAATATTCCTGAAAGCCATATTACTCAAACTGAGTCCAAAGATAATGAAGACGTGAAGATTCAGAGCAGAAACGACATGCTGAAAAGATTCCGAAAAGAATATGTTAAACCTGTTCAATTCAGGTAACGTGAAAATTTATTCCTGAACCTGCATTATGAATTCATAGTTATAAGTTAGAGTAATAATCATAGTGAACAGTGTGGTACAATTGAACTTCAATTTTTAAGTGATGAACAGAATAGAAATTTCCTGGTATGCAGAATTTGTTCAAACTATAAAAACCAGTATCCAAAGAACAATTATTGTTTCTTCATCTGCCTAAATTGGTACCAACAAAAATGAAGAAATCTACAGTATGCATGAGAATTGTTGAAAGAAGACTAAGATTGAAAGTGTGTTAATAGGACTCAATTGGAGCTTTTAGAGATCTATGCACATGAGAAACACCCCCCCCCCCCCCCCCCCCAAAAAAAAAAAAACAACAACAAAACAAAACAAAATAAAAATTCTATTCACTCGTGGCATTGATAAGAAAAATTTATTATTATTGAATTAACAGGTTTGTCCTCCTAAAAAAACAGTAAAGATTCTTGTATCGATAAGAAAGAAATTAAGAAAAGGAAAATTGAAATGGAAGAGATCAGTTTATATAGGTTTTGATTTAAGAGTAAAAATGCAGTTTTCTTTCAATATTGAATAATACAAAATACTTTTGTCTATTTCATTAGAGATTGGTTTTAGATTGAAACATTGGTTTTAAATTGAAACATTGGTTTTACATTTTAGAGTTGTAAATGTATTACGACATTGGGTTGATCACCATTACTATGACTTTGAGCGTGATACTTCATTAATTCATAAACTGAAGGAGTTTCTTGGTAATGTGAAGGGAAAAGCCATGAAAAAGATGGCAGAATCAATAATTAAAGTCATTCACAGACGGGTAAGTAGTTAATGTTTATCAAAATTGTATTTCTTGAAGACAGTTTCTTTTCCAATATGTTTTATTTTTATGACCATAATATTCAGTGTGAGAAGTAAAAATTATTTTTAGTAGAATTATTATTCATTTATTTCCAATATTTGGATATGAACATGTATATTCATTTGATACAAGTTTTCACATACTTCAATTTCATCAAGGTATAACATTGCTTTTTTTATATTTTCAATTTTTTTCAGTTTATAAATAAAATGAATTATAAAGCAAATGCAAATATATTATCAGACTTTAGGACAGCACTTAAAGACTTTTTAAGTATTTCCAGTAAGATAAACAGACTCTTGCATTACGAAAAAGAATAACTATTGATGAAAAAATGGTCTTTGTCAAGATTTTAAATCTACCTTGAAACTGGAAAAAGGTTCCATTTATCAAGGTTACATTCTATTTCAATCTGATAAAAATGCTGTTTACATGCTTTGCTTACAAGAATTTGACTTTGTCCGCTTTCTGTTTTAAAAACTTTCAAAATCCTCTAGTTTGACCGTAATGATATACATCTTCAAAAATTTGAGGGTTATAATTTCACTGGTTGGTGTTGTAATTACTAGAATAGAAAGTAGAACAGAGTGTTGTCAGATTCATGTAAGGAAAGCATCCACATCGGGGTCCGTATTGTCAGTCTGATTTAATTTTGATGTTTTCTTTTTTTTCTCTTTTGTTAAGGCTGTTTCAACAAAGCATTTCTATTTTCAGTTTGAGAGTATGAGTACAGAAAGGGAGTTAACTCTTCAAAAACAGCCACCACCAGTGGAATGGCATATAACTAAAAAGAGAGAAGAGTTTCATTTAATGACGGTTTGTAACTTCTTAAACTGTGAACCTAAATACTACATGAAAATCTGTTCTATCAAACATTAGTTTCATGTTAAAAATTAACTTAATCTCCCATCTCTTTTTCAGCTTAGAATATTGGTAAAAAAAGGACTTTATTTTACCAAATGACATAAGGAAATCACAATTAAAATCCTTCTTATGAATTTATATTGTATGATAGACACTTCTAACATTTGTCTAAGCAATGATGATGATGGATGACTGTTTAATCAAGTGGCATGTTAAATGCATATTCTGGACGCTTAACATGAACATGTTAATATAATATGAATATAAACTCTGCTTTGTAAAAGACCAACACACTGAGCTGGATTTTTAACATGCTATTTTACAAGGTAACAGCACTCAGGAAGACATGTAACCCTACCAGGACACATTATTCTTACTCCAAACTGACCTGTCTTTTCTCTTGCTATTTAATACAACTTGCATAGCGGAGAAGCAGCCAACACCAATTTTAAAGTCTTTGATTTGACCCTGCTGGGGGGAAACAATAAACCTTTTTATGCCCCAGTCATAGGGGAGGGAGCATTAAGGTTTACCCTTGTCTGTCTGTATATCGGTTCCTATGTCCAGAATTTAGTTCTGTTCTCTAACTATAGTTTGCCTCAACCAAATGTAATGAAACTTATACACATTGAGTCAGATCAAGTTCAAATTTGGTTGGTATCACTTTTACCGTTCTGAAGTTGTGCCACTTCATAAATGGAAAAAATGCTGAATTTTTCATTTCCATTCTCTAACTTCAGATGACCTCAACAAAATCTTATGAAACTTATACACAATGCTTATTTCCACAAAACACAGATTAAATTCAAATTTTTGGGGGTCGTCACTTTTACAGTTTTCTAGTTATATCCCTTTATAACATTATATGTAAGCGAGGCATCATCTGTGTCCCATGTCTCCATTTATTTTTTAAAGATACATAAAAATTTCAGCCAAGTGAAAAAGGCAGCCTTGCAAACCGTCCATGCAATTTGCTTTATGATTTAATGTTCAATGGATAATACAATCAATTACTGAAAATTCAGAAATGTTTGCAGATGATTTTATAATTGTGAAAATTACTACAGAAAAGGCATCAAAAAGATAATACCTCAAATTTTAAAATTTTGAAAGCATTATTTGTATACAGCATGTACTCAAATCCCATGAATAAATGTATGCAAAAATTTGTGAATTTACAGTATATAGACGAAAACTGTGCAACAAGAAGAAAATATACTGACTATATTCATGATATTTGTCAATACTAGGAAAAGACACAAGTTAAAAAATCATATCTTGTATTTTCAGCTTCATCCGATAGAAATAGCTCGACAGATTACATTGTTAGAATTTGATTTGTACAGAGCTGTTCAGCCGTCAGAATTGGTAGGCTGTGCTTGGATGAAACAAACCAAACATAAAACTGCTCCTAATCTCCTAAAAATGATCAGCTTTACGAATAATGTAAGTAGTGTCCTTGTGAAAGGTACAGAAAAGCTTCATACTGATATCAAATTTGTGAGTTACATATTACTATGGTAAGAAGTAAAGAGATCTGATCAATGAGATGGTCACCCATCAAAGATATAAGGCCACTGACATTGCAATAGTGAAGAACAGCATGTAGCATATTGCATACTCATCAAATTGAACAAACAATTCAGCAGAAACAAGGATGTTCGCTACTCTGTTTTAAAATAACAAGCTTTTTAAAAGACTGTTATAGATGGATAGTATATAAATAAAGGAATTTAAAAAGCAGAAAAAAATGAAGGGTCCGTGTGCTTGTTTTCGAGATATAAGCCATTAAAAATTTGGATGGAAATAATTTTCTCTAGATTTTTCATACATTTAACATTGGCACCTTTTTTCTTTTAAAAAATACAAAAAAATAACAAGGATTTTATAGGATTTTCAAATATGGCTTTTTAAACTATATGTAATAAAATTATGAAAAGAAAAGTAGGGGTTAGCGGGGAAAATTTTGTAATGGCACTACATGGATAAAACCAAAGGATTCCGAATATCTGGCAAAAATTCAAAAGCAAGAGGAGCGAACATCCTTAACTGCCATTACTTCACCAATGTAATTAATTGAATTGCAAATTATGTTTCAGCATCAGCTTATGATTGAAAATGAGACTATAGTACAATTACGTTTAAAATTGTGTGTGAAATTACAGGGTGAATACTATGATATACTCAAGTTTTGAATGTACTATTATTGTGCTTGTCAATTAAGATTGGATTTGAAAGCACCTTGCTGAACTGAGTTCAAACTCACTGTGTTACTCACAACATCAGTGTTGACAGGCTAGGGATTACTGAAGCTGACTACTCGGCCACAGAGACTCAGATGTTCCTATGAAGCAAGGTGTAGTGAAGTGGTTGATTGAATGTTGATTGCTTTGATAATATCCAGTATATCAACAATAGTCTTACCATGCAAATTCAAATGACTGGCTTATTTGTTTCCTAGCAAATTTGTAAATATCAAACATAATATTATCAGATCCACTAGGAAAAATATCGAATTTATTTTATATTTCAGTTCACATTTTCTTTGGAGAAGTGTATTATTGAATCAGAAAATTTAGAAGAAAGAGTTGCTGTTGTACATAGAATTATAGAAATTTTGTTAATATTTCAAGAACTGAACAATTTTAATGGTGTTCTAGAAGTGGTTAGTGCAATAAATTCTGCTCCAGTTTACAGACTGGAGAAAACTTTTGAGGTTAGTGTGGTCATTATACTGTTAATCGTCGTCCATTTGTGTTATTTTAAAAGTATATGTTTTTGTTTATAGCAACTTCCAATGTATGATGGCAGATTTTCTAGTGAATTCAATGAAAAAAAACATTGTTTTCTTGCTTTTTTATCTGAATTGTACTAGAATTACAGCATCAAAACTTTACAAAGATAACAGAACAAATTGATTAATAAATTTGGAATCTAATTTCAGAAATTTTTTAAGGTATGTATAGTTGTTGCAATTTTGGAAAATGCTATCACAATTAAAAACATAACTTTATTTATGCGAATTCAATATAATTTAAAAACGCAAAATTTCTGAATTTATACAAGCATGATATAAGCATGAGGATTATGTATAAAAAAAATTGCAAGACTGCAAATGTAGTTATTTCTTCGATCCTGTACTACCTTTTCATGATACTTGTATGATGTTGTTGTTATGTGTTTCTCCAAGATTTCAATAAGAGAAAGGTGCTTTTGATGTTGAAAAAACATTTTAATGCCATTTAAAAGGGCAATAACAATTGAAAAGAGCAGATTGAATGACATCAACAAAGTTGCACAATAACAACTAAAAAGGTTTAAATACCTAAATTGAAATTGACCTTGAATATAGAAAACACTGCATGTGAACAATTTTGAAATGTGAAGAATGATGATTGATTGATTGATTGTTGATGAACTACTTAAGACTACTTGTCCCTGAGGTTTAGAATGTGAAGTGCATAGAGAAATATAATCATACTGTGGATTCATTTATTTTTTTGGAACCAATTTTCGTAGATTGACGAAAAGTATTATTTTCACGGATAATAGATTCAAATATCACGAAAATACAACTTAAAAAGGGTTTTACAGCAAATCTTCTCTTCAGTTCAAGTGGCCTTAAGGTCACGTGAGCTTTTGCCATCACTTTGGGTCCATCGTCATTGTCTGTCAGTCCTTGCAAACTTATTAAAAAATCTATTCCTTTGAACTACTGGATCAAATGTTACCAAACTTTATCCAAATGTTCTGAAGTATACCTAGTCTGGTGATTTGATCCATCAACAAACCTGGCTGTTGTTAATAAATATAGAACAATGGGGTAAAATTGACCAGCAGGTCAAGTTCTATCTCCTGCTAAATGTTTTGAAAAATCGGACAACCCATTTTACAATTATCACCCCTGATTTTGTTTTCAGATTTCCTTGAACCTTTTGGTTAAATTTCATAGAGATCCATACACTTAAACTAAAGTTATTGTCCGGAAACCAAATGTCTTCGGAAAAACACCAACTAGGACGACGACGTGATAGCAATATATGAACGCAAATTTTTTGCGGTCATATAAAAATTACAGGAGTTATTGCCCTTGAAAGATGGTTTTAATCCATTTTTTTTCTTTTTTGAAGAAATCTTTGTAGATAGAGAAAAAAATTTAAAAATCAAAGATAACTACCACAATAAGATCTACAAATAAGTCAACATGGCTAAATTGTTAAAAAAAAAAACACCTGTTAGGAGTTGTTGCCCTTGAAAGATGATTTTTTTATTTTTTGGTTATTGTGCTGCTTTTGCTAAAACTGTAATAGGTAGTGGTAATCAGTAAAAAAAAGCAAATTGTTTAGCACAATAAGGTCTATAAATCAGTCATCATGACCGAAACTGTCAAAAGTCTCCTTATAGAAGTTATTTCCTCTGAATGATTTTTATCCATTTTTTGGCAGTTTTGTCAAAAAATAGTGGAGTTGGAGAGAAACTTTAAAACATAAAAAAGATCTGCCTGTAAGTCAACATGGCCAAATTGTCACACTAGTAATAGGATTTAATTCCTTTAAACTGATTGAAATAAACAGGAAAAAATAAATATCAAAATAACTTGTTTTTTACCAGTTTAGTTATTCAGGCTCCTAAGAGCCTCTTGTTTAAAAATTTACTTAGAGAGAGATCTCCAATTTAGAAGGTTTGAAAAGCAGTGATTTCAACATTTATGAAACAATTTTTGAAATGAAGAAAGTATTTCTTATCAATTTCGCCACTTAAATTTGTAAAAGTAAAAAAATCACTTGTACAAATTTTTACCTGGCAACAAGTTTATGACCCCAAGCTTATCAACATTCACAACAGATGTCATAATTTGTTGTTACAGGTAATCACCTTATCCCATGGATCATTACTGATCATCAAAATTTATTCATACAAATAGAATTGGTCAGTCAGCATTTGTCATTTCGAAAAAAAAAAATTTCATGCGACCACCTGATTTGCAACCTTTACTGTAGTTTTATGATGAAAATGCCTTTATGAACGTATTTAAAGACATCGTTTTACTTGAATTCAGTTAAAAATGTTTAATCCAGACATATTTGTCTTTGCCTTTTAACTTTTGATATAAAAATAACAAAACAGGTGGCCATTGATTGTATTGAGTTGTGGTGCAAAGTTAAGAGGGTCTTGGTAGGGGTTTGGGAGGAGGCTTTGGTCATCATTTTCTGTATTCTTTATTTTTATACAAATTTTCTCTTTTCTGTATACTTAAGCACCCATTAATCTCTCTTCTTCATTTTTTGGCCCATTTTTCTCTATTCCTTATTTTTTATTTTAAAGCATATTCTCTATTCTATCGCATATACAGACCATAAGTTAATTATAAGGACAGAAACATTGACTAATAGATTCATTATATTAGTCCTATTTAGTCCTTGTTTTGAGACGTAAAAATAAAAAAAAATAAAAAAACAATATGTAGCTTTCGAAGAAAAACAGCTGTTTTGTTTTAAAATTCATTGTAAATTTTTATTTGTATAGTATATATAAATAAGAAAATGAAAGTACACGTTTTTTTCATGTATTTAACCCTAAACAGTAACTGCCCTATTCCTATGATGTTAAGCTGTTACCCAAGAAAGGTAGTATCTTATCACTCAAAAGTGACTTAAGCCCTCAAAATCCTAGCTTAAACCCTGAAAATTTGACACTGAGACATAATGTTTTGGAAAATAATGTTTTGGAAAATAATGTTTTGGTTGAATCACACATGAAAATGGCTGTGATGTCTAAAAAATATATAAATGGTAAAGTGTTGATTATGGTTTATATTACAGGCAGTTCCTAATAGGTTGATGAATGCTTTTGAAGAAGCTAGACAACTGAATTCGGATCATGGCAAAAAGTACATGGAAAAATTAAGATCCATAAATCCTCCTTGTGTTCCCTTTCTTGGTAAGTTGTCTTTTTTATGAGGATTAAAACCATCAGTAAGATTTTATAGTCTGGCTTTTGATATCCACAGATGATTTCGTTCTGATTGTTAACCAATTTTTCATTGGTTTTCTGAATTTTTTTTCATTACAGTTTCTTGATTATACCATATGATTTCCTCAGGTACAGCCATTTCTGCTTTTAATAAGAGCAAAATCATTTCTGAATATCTAGGTGTTAGAATAGAACAATATTCAAAGATGCCATTATGAATAAATACATTACTGCTTAATCTGTTTGTCAACTGAAGCAAATATTTGATATGATATTTTGTGGACTATTAAGTATACTTCACATAGCTTTCTATTCAACTTTAGGCCAAAAATAAAATTTAAAATTGTTTGATGTTGCCTTCCTACCCAACTCAATTGGTAACAAGCAGAATACCCTAAAAAATTTATGACACAAATTGTCTCAAATTTAAAAAAAAAAAGATTTTTCCTTCTCTAACGTTGTTTTCTTGTCTAAAACATGTAACTTATGCTGTTGCAAAAAAAAAAAAAAAATCCCTTCCTACCTACCCAACTTTACAAGGCATGGGTAGACAACATCAAACAAAGAGTTTCTTCAGGGTGGCCTTAACTGTTCATTATGTAAAACAAATGTGAAATTGATATTTGTAGGTATGTATCTGACAAATATTTTGAAGATTGAGGAAGGAAATTTAGATTTTTTACCCAATCGTCCTCCTGGGTTAATCAATTTCAGTAAGCGACGGAAAGTAGCAGAAATCACAGGAGAAATTCAACAGTATCAAAATCAACCATATTGTTTGAGTATTCAGCAAGATATAAGGGTAAGTTCACTGATAACAAGCCAATCTAAAAGTTTTTGAGGGTAGTAATGATCTTTACCGTCAGGCGTAAAACGGTCATTTTGGGCTACCGTTAGCATCAAATTGGTTAAAATTTTATCGTGATTCGTCAAAATATCCTTATCGTGATTCGTCAGTGGTCTAAAATAATTATCAGGGGTGTGGAAATGCAATGCCTGACTCGCCTGACTCGTACATTTGACAGACCGGACAAGCAGTTTTTTGTGTCATTGTTGCCCGTGGACTAGTAAAAAAATGTTGCTTGATAAAGGACAAATAGTATTCAAAAATAAAGTGAATAGAGGATTTTAAGGGAAAAGGGTGGGTTGGTGCAAAAAACAATCCAACAATTCATCAATTATTTTGTCCTAATGAAAATGTACATTTTATCGTCATACACCTAAAATTGCCGTTAACGTCATTTGGCAAGATTTTTTACAGTTATTCATCATGAAGGTACCCCCATTACGACCCTCTTTTTTGTTATGAATCATATTATTACCGCCTTAGTGGTCTTGTGTTCGCCTTGAGTGCAGGAGGTCGTGGGTTGGAACCCCGGCTGGGTCAAATCAAACACTTTTTAATTGGCATTTGCTGCTTCTCTGTTAAGCATCCTGCATTAAGGGGTAAGAGCAAAGACTGATTGGCTGGGAGTGTTAAAAATCCAGCTCAGCATGTTGGTCTTTTACAAACAGGGTTAATATTCATATTACATTTATCTGTTCTTGTCCTGAATATGCATTTAATTTGCGACTGGATGTTAAACACCATCCATCGTCATCATATCATATTAATTACAGAAGATGTCCTGATTTTATACATCATGTCTTATTGATTCCGGAATATCCAAATTATAAACAATATCATTGGTCAAAGAATTTTGAGCAAAAAAAAGAATTGACTTAGATCCATAAGAAAATTGTAATGACTTGTTCCAAAAGTTTTGTGATGTAGAGATCTGAATTTTGATTGACGCAAAAGACTTTCAGTAAAAATAATTAGTGAACCTGAATCGTTATGATTTTCTGTCAAATAGTATGAAAATAAACAGAATGTTATGAAACAGGACCAATATAATTGTGTATTTATGATAAATATTGAGTAAGAAATGATAATTTTGTCTGAATACATTTTATATTTTTCCTAAGATTGTTATGGTTTTCAGACTAATCATCACCCATCAAATTAAAAGTGAATGTTTTCTGATCCCACCCAATAAATTCTAGAACAGATCTGATATGTAACCACATTTTCCAAATTTTCACAATATAATGTGCATTATTTAATATTTGCAGGAATATCTTGAGAGTTTAAATCCCCGTGAGGAATTGTCAGAGAAAGAATTTAATGATTACTTATATGAGAAATCGTTAGAGATAGAACCAAGGAACTGTACAAGGCCTCCAAAATTTGTATGTATATTAATACACAGTTGAAAGCAAAGTCATTTTGGAATTACATATATAATGAAAAAAAAATTCTCCAGCTGATATCATGATTACATTCTTGATGTGATACATTCACAAAAATAATGTAGATGTGAGCTTCATATGCACTAAATTAATATTTTCTATATTGATTGTTTAAAAAATGGCAACCACTTTGTTGATATTACTCTTATATTTTACCTATGAAAGTTGGGGTTAACCGTTAGCTTAAATTGCTGCATAACTCAAGAACATTCTTTTTCATAAGAGAAATACATGGAAATACATGTATATACCTGTAGTAATACAAATGAGATGAGATTTTACAAACACTCTTATTCTTAAATAGATTCTTTTTTTGAACAATGTACCTCCGTTGCAATGCTCACCTCAAGAACTGGATGTTGTGGATCCATGGCTGGGTCAAACTCAATACTTAAAATTAGTATTTGCTGCTTTTTTGCTAAGCACAGGGCATTAAAGAGTAAGAGTGAAGACCAGCTTGTCACAAAATAATGTGTCAGGGTATAATGACTTGTCTTCCTGTGGACTATTACCTTTGAACTAGGATGTCAAAAATTTCAGCTCAGCCTGTCAGTCTATTACAAAGCAGGCTTCATATTCATATGACATAAACATGTTCTCATTTTGAATATATATGCATTTAACTTGCCACTGGATGTTAAATAGCCATCAATCATCATCTTTTCAAACATTTTATACAAAATACATAAATTTATGTTAACCTTTTGAAAATCTGTTTCAGGCAAGAAAAACAGACTATCCATTGAAGTCACCAGGAATCAGACCCATTACAGCAAAACATTTAACACAGAAACATGCATCATTTCCATTTAACGCAACATTTGGTTCAATGAGAGAAGATGCGACTGATGTAGAAGCATCCTCTCCGCATAACACAACACCATCAACCCCTACCACACCTCTGTCACCGCCACACAATGGAGACAGTGTGTTCTTACCAGTCACAATCGGCCAAGGCATAGGTAATGTTGTTGCCGAGGAGGCAGATATTATAAATTATTTAAGGTCCCTATCATAAGGGTTTCTAACACATCACTACATATAGGTGCGTTCGACTCCTAATCTTAATTAACTAGGATTTTCAGTTTTCATACCGAAGGTCAGTGCTTCTCTCCAGGCACTCCAGCTTCCTCTGCCAATGAAAACTAAACACTACGAAATAGCACAATTGTGCTGAAAGTGCCGTTAAACACCAATCAATCAATCAGTCAATCTTACCACTAAGTTACCAGTCACAATTGGATAAGGCAAAGGTAATGGTATTGCCAAGAGGCAGATCTGTTTAATCTCTATGTAACAGATCCCTCTAATACTGTGGATTCATTTATTTTCGTGGATTCCAATTTTCGTGTTTTGTGGAAAACTTGAATATTCGTGGATATTTAATTTCGTGGCTTTGGGAAAGTCTGCATGCATTCCTTTAGAAAATTGGTAATTCGTTGACCATTTAAATTTGTGGTTCACCTGTACCCACGAAATCCACGAAAATTGGTATCCAACGAATAATAATGAATCCACAGTACCTCCACGCAATAAAGACAAGTGTGTTCTACCTTTTCATTATCCATAAGGGCATATGTTATGTTGTTGCTCAGGCATATGTTATGTTGTTTCTCAGGCATATGTTATGTTGTTGCTCTGGCATATGTTATGTTGTTGCCAGAAAAGCAATGTGTTCTACAATTCACAACTTGCTAAAGAGGCATATTTAAGAAATCATATATAGTCACTTTCATAATGCACTTTTACCACCCCTTAACAATTGAGAGGGCATGTAGTAACTATCTGCCAAGGCTTAGGTAAATTGTACCTTTTTCACCTCTACATGATGTGGTCAGTTTATTTATACAATTCCTTTCTTTCGTTGGACGAGTGGTCTAATTAGTCGAACTACTGTATCACTAGCCTGTCAACACTGAGGTTGTGAGTTCGAATCCTGCACGGGGCCTGTGCACTTGACTCCAATCTTTAATTGACTAGGATAAAAGTAGGATTGTCACTACCGCAGGTCGGTGTTTCACTCTGGGCACTCCTGCTTCCTCCACCAATAAAAACTGACTGCCACAAAATAGCATAATAGTGTTGAAAGTGGTGTAAAACACCAATCAATCAATCTTTCAGATTTTCTCGTATCTTGTATGTTAATATGAATATAATTTTTGTAATAAAATGGATACCAAGAAAGTCAGTCAAAATTGATAACTTTATGTATTTGAATATTTTTAGTAATGAGACAAAAAATACTGATATAAAAGATTGTTGCCATGTGATTAATTAGATTAGTTTAATTTTCTGCATAATTATGAAAACCTGATGTCCTGTTAGACAAATAAATATATAGCTAAAAAGTTGATTAATTTTTTTAAAAATTACCAATAAATATTCTGGTAAAATTGAAGAAATGAGTTAGTTAGGTATAGGTTATATTATGTATTATATATATATAGCAAGTAAGAGTTGATTGGCTTAAATTTATTATTAAATTTTTGAAACATTTATGGTGACGATGGAGTATAGCTATTTCCATTGATAATTACATTCGGTCATTGATCTGAGAAGTTAGTGTTGTCCATTTCAAATACTCGCAGTCTGCATCTGGGTTGTAACTAGATGAAATCTTATTTATTGTTTTCAATTTTATTTTTCTGACAATCTGTTTTAGAAATATTTAGAAACAAAGAAATCCTTTTATAAAATAATATTTTAACTTTGCAGACCACAGTACAAATCCATCACAAAATAATGAATTTCCAGAAAATGAATTACCAATGGATGGACTTTTACCACCCCCACCATTACCGCCACGGAGGAAAAATCGTGATAGTGAAGACGGTTCACCAAGAATTGACAATGCTCCAGAAATCCCTCCTAGGGGTCTGCCGCCTCCCGTTCCTCCTCGCAAAGACTCAATGTTTGGCTCACTTACACGCTGTCAAAGTGTATCACAACAGCCAACGAGGCATTTATCTGGTCATTTTCAGAACTTAAATGCAACATTACCACGGTGTAGTGCCATGGAAAGGGAATCACGACCATCAATACCAATAAACTTTAACGGTGAAGAAGATATTTCATTGACAACTACTCCTAAACTGCCGCCAAAGACTTATAAACACATTAGACAACAGAGTAGCTAGAATATGTTGTTGTTCATTTCAAAATCTTCAGAGAGTCTGGAATGGAGTTTCTATCATGAATAAAGTGATTGGATAATAATTTACCAAAGAATGGTGTCTGTTGATATGGGATATTCTCTGGCAGAATATAAAAAACAGCTGTGCTGCTAATTTCTTTGCTTAAATAAGACGTGTCATCGTATGATACAAATCATTGTGATGTATTCCAGTGTTTTGACCCAAATACATTTAGCTAGTGCTACCTGAGCTAGTAAATTTGATAATCAGACGTTGCTTATTATAGCAACAAAGAAATGCAATATACACTTGTGTGCGTGTGTGAGTGATGTTGACAATGATGAAAGACATTTCAGGGATGGGAATATAGAAATATGTTATACACAGGTGAAACTTTTTATGGCAAAACATTTGTAGATAAAAATGAGTGATGGAAAGGAAGGGTTGTACTATGTCACTTTGCACTGTTAGACAATGGTATCTTTTCTCCAGTACCTCTATGTACTGTTACATTACTATTCCAGAAGGCAAACATTTACAGCAGAAACCAGGCATGTGTGAACTGAATTCTTGCAACTTGCCAGTTTTCATTTGTAGTATTATCAATGGCTATTTGATAAATTGTTAGGCATTAAGATTAATATTGTATGATGAAGGACATGATTCATGTGGCTTTGCCTTAGATTTATATTATCTGCCATAGCAGTTTTGGATTCCAGCAAATTTAAATATCTCTTGATGAAATTGATAAATTGCCCACTTGCCATTCTTGCAGAAAATTTTAATTAACACATGAATGCTTTCTGGTTAGAAATGAAAATACAAGTTAACAAATTTTATTTCAAATGGTCTTGCTTATTTAGATTTATATCAAGCTTTTTGAAAGAATGTTTAGTTTTATAAAGAGCAGTCTCAAAAAGGTAGTTGTTAAACCAAAGTTACTCAAGTGAAACTTAGGTAAAATCTAAGGTAGTAATATGGATCAAGCATTCAACTGATCAGTATTGCCTTCAATATCCAACAATTGCTTAAATAGGTTTATATCAAATTAAACTGAAGAGTTGCAGGAAATTGGTTTAACGCTTGAATGGTTTTTGCTGTAAATCTGCATTTTGTTATGATTATAAAAGGATCTCAACCTGAATAAATATGAAATATTTGACAGTGCATGTTATGATATGCAATGGATCGATTGATCAGACTTTTCCAATGTATTTAATGAATTGCATAACATGAGATTAATTCTTCTTAAATCTTGCCTTTAAAATTTTCCTGGTAAAAAGAATGCCTTCTGAAATAATCTATAGTATTGTTATGTTCATTGTTGTCATTTTTGTGTTAGAATGTACAAGAGGTCCAACAATGTAGAAATTTGTATTAATTGGAGAAAAGATATCATTGTTATATTACTCTGGAAATATGGCATTATGGGTATTTGTTTTACTTTTAAAATCTGGTAAAAGAATGTTTTTATGAAGTTGTCACAATGTCTTCCATTTCGTTCATCAGTTAACATTTCTGTTAACAAAATACCAGCTAACAGATAGAGATAAAATATGATCTTTATCTATTTAACATCATTTCATTTGATCATTTTTTCAGTTTCAGTCATATTAAAGATTTTCATTTCCTGTTTTTGATTCCGTAAAGTAAGGAATTTAAAGATTGTTTGTAAATATGTTAAAGCTTTATTGTACAATGCCATATTTCCATTGTGTTGAACCAGCTTGTCCACGTCAAGAAATGGCCAAAGATTATTGCCAAAGATTTTTATTCTGTAGCAGAAAAATGTGATATTATGATTTTAAAGTGCTTTTAACTCTTTGTTGTTTATTTTATTGATAAGAATCTGTCTGGCATAGATATTGTTTACTGCTAAACTGCTGGCGATGTCACTGTTTGCATATTTTTTTTTAGTACTATTAAGTTTTGCTTTCAGTTTATATTTGAAATATTGCAACAAGATTGAAAACTCCTTTGCTACCAATGACCTTAACCTTCACATATTTTTGGATTTTGCTGATTCAATATTTAAGATTCTGAATGCAAAGAATTATTTTTACAAGCATAAAGATTTTTCATGACTAATGAAAGCATCTGTCAGAGAGAATGGTCACTGTGACCTATATTTCATGTGCCCTAATTTCAAAAACAATGAATCTGTGCTATAGGTTAATTCACTGAATGAATTTGGTTCACTAGAAAAGGCATTGCATTATTTAGTGTCATCTTATCTGGATGGATATATAGGTCAACACTGAAGGAAAATTTGGTCAGCATTTCTTAATTTCAGGCTCTTAAAGACTTCAGGGAAATATCTCTTCCTATAAAAGGTGAAATACACATTCATATCTTTCTATAAAATAGTTTATATACTTCAAAAAAGGTTCCAGTTGGAAAAAAATTATCCAATTAAGTCCAATACAAAAAAACAAGATAGGACAACAAAAACACATTTTTCATCTAAACAGTGAGAATACATTTGGATTAAAAGAAACGATTGAAATTCATTCTTCAATAGTCAATTGACCCTGTAATTAATTGAAGATCCTTTTTTTCAGTTGTCTCCCTAGGATGGACAGAAATTTTCATTGACAATGTAGATCTAGCGGAAAGAGCAAATTTGTATGTGTGTAATCTTTTTCAAATCTTTTAATTACATTTAATTTTATTTTGAGCTAAAAAAAATTGATACCCGTAGATATTTTTAGCTGCAAATTAGTTGAAAAGCTGATATATAACTTTCAACTTATCATACTTGGAATGGGCAGAAGCCTGTTTTGTCCAGTATAGAACCTGTCTACGATTGAAAAAGGGAAGCAATTTGTGTTATAAGTGTGTAATAACAGATTCAAATTGGTAACTGGCAAATGGACTATTGGAATACCTTGAAGTCAAATATATTTAAATACAAATTGAAAAATGTTATCAGATAAACTAATTTACTGCAATCTGTATTTACTGGTCAACATTGTCTTCCAATATAAAATTTTCACACATTACTACAAAGAAACCAATTAAGTTACCATGAGAACTGCACATAATATATATTTAAACCATAATCTTTATGATTAATGAATAACTAATTCAAAGTCATTGGTAGCATCAACTCGTTTTGAATATGCACAAAATATTTGCCACTTAACATTCTGCAAACTACAATCAATCAATATTAACAACCCCGGTTACAGGATTTTTCTAACAGTTCTTTATAAAACACAGAGAAGTCTATGTCAAAATTTAGCTTTACAAAATATTTAGTCTTTAATAAAGTTTTATATTGAACACAAATTTTTGAAGCCAAAAATTATTATTTTGTATCAAGAAAAGAATTTGATTTTTTTTTATAGTTTCTTCAGACCTGTAGACAGGAAGTACAGTTATTGTTTTGATATTTTGTATGTTTATTTAATTGTAATTTTCATATTTCCTTTTACATTTTTGTAGGAGTTTATTTTATACAATGGAATTTTGTCATAATGAAAACTGGTCAGTTGTTTGATGTGGACTCCTAGTACAGCTGGTTTTGAAATATATTTGTTTTAGTGACAAGTCATCTTATAGAAATATGTACCAGACTGCATCTTAATCGTTTAAACAAAATCCCCAAGGATTCATTTTTTTCTTGAAACGTACTTTGAAATGTACAATACTTTGCAGTTTTATTCAAACAGAGCAGTTCATTAATAATAACAAAACACATGTTCATTATCCTCGATTTTTCAAAACCATTTATTCCTTCTAATAAAAAGAGGCCATTTCAAATACACTTGTCCCAATCTTCTTATGAACTGGACTACTCATCTTATACACTGGTGAAATATCGTATAGACCTTCTGTAACTTATACTGATAACAAACCTCATAAAAAAAAACTGTAATAGTAAACCATGATTTTCCTTCCAAAACTACCCATATTCCAACCTATCCATTATAAGAAGAACCTATACATAAGTCATATTACAAGTGGGGCGAGTTAGCAGTTGAAAATCTTTATTCCGAAGACGTTAACAGAATTCGTGACAACTGGTGTTTTCTTAAATTCTTATGAACTTATTATATTCCAGCTAGCATAATATATTTTATGACCAAAGAATTTTCATCACTGTTCATCTTTAGCCTTTCTATACTATCAGATCAATTATAGCAGGAGTAAAAATGTATATATACATTGAAGATGATATTATACAAAACACCATTCACTTTGTTCATTTTAGATAAAAAAAATAACATTGCCAATCTTTTCACCCTTGCAATGTTTTTCTGACATTTGAACCATTTTGTCCATAATTTCTGAAATTCACAATTTATTTAAATTTGAATCATCCTTTAATTACTTCTAAAATTCACATGACTAATATAACCATCGTTAAATGGGTTCCCGTCTTCCATTTAAGGAATAAATGTTTTAAGACACAGTCTGGTACATGATTTTGTGTGATACATTTATCCAGTGCAATGCCACAGTAATGTCAGCAGTGGTTTTTTTATGTTTTGAAGACTGCCTTATGTGATTGTTTCATATCAATAAAAGTTCTTCACAACATCAATAAGACGTTATGCTATTATTTTGTCTGTGGTCTAGCTGTCACAAAAAATTCGCTCAGCTTGTTGGTCTTGTACAAAGTAGGTTTTATAGGTATATCCCAAAGATGGTCTAGTTTAGAGTGTGTTCAGAATACAAACGGACTGAACACTTTTTCAAGTTGGAGTTCTTGTACAAATAATTTTCATTCATGCACATAGTTATGCAGGATACAAAGTTTCAATTGGATGAAAAACTTCACAACCAAAGTCAATCTTTATTTCTTATGAGCCAATCTCTTCTTAAACTACACTAGTTTTAGACTCAAGGGGATTTATGATTGATGATTGGAAGTCCCTCAACAATCATCATTTAATGTTGATCAGATAGCAAATATGGTGGCATAAGTGGCAAGTAGGTCCTGTTGAGACCCTATGGCCAGATTTAACCTTAATTGACAGGATTGATATATGGAATGTTCTGATGAAAAACATTGCCAGCAGAGCAAACAATTGATTATGATTGGCCAATTTTAAAATATGCAACTACAAGGCTAAAGGTTTCATTCAATATTTTTACACCACACACACTTCTGTATATATGCCTATATGAAAATAAGGATATGTGGCATAATTGCCCAAGAAATAATTATCCACCCAAGTTTAAATGACATGGATGTAAGCATATATAGGTCACTGTATGGCCATCAAAAATGAGGAAAACCCACACTGTATACTAAGGTAAATAAGGCCCTGACATGGAAAATATGAAGCAATATAAAGAAGAAAACTAACAGCTTGATCTATGACAAAACAATTAAAAAACAAATATGACATACAACTGAATCACAGGCTCCTACCTAGCAACAAGAGGAAATGAAAATTCTCTCTGTGACGTCCTGCAAATCTTAGAGGTGAGGCAGCAGAAAGGTGTCTACAATAAGTCAAGCTTTCAATTGGTCAAAGTCTAAAAACATGAAAAATTAAAAAGAGATCTGTCTAAATGACAACGAATATTGAGATATGACAAAAGACAACTACTGTTGAAGCCTATGTTTATTGAAATATTTATTGTATATATATATATACTGAGACATAATAACAAACTACATGTATAAAAATAATAAATAAAAATACAACCTATAAATTACATAACAAATATTTGGTATATAAAAAACATTATCTATGTAAATGCACACCTAATATTTGATTAAAAAATACTGAATGATTTGTTCATTGAGATGAAGGTAACAAGTAACCCCTCCCTCACCACTTTCCTCTAACAATTTACATAAAAGGTGCATCTTCCTTGTTATTTCAATATTTGCAAACAGAATACTACTGGTCAAAGAGTAGTTCTTGCTGGGTAGCAATTCTTGCCACCATACTTTTTTTTTAAATTTGATGGTCAAGTTTATCGGTATATTCATCATCCAGAAATTTAACTTTAATTAAACTTTGATTCATTTGTCATGTTATCAACGATAATCTTTCTTATTGATAAAAATTTTATTCTTTTTGTTTAAAATATTGTTACACATTGTAGTAATCTTGTGATGAAGAGCCTGTGCAGTCATGGTGTTGCATTTTATTTAGATATAAATCTTAACTTTAAAACATCAAACATTGTTGTCAGCCCATCAAATGATGGGAATCCTTATCAAACATCAATGTAAGGTAATTATTATTATATAATAAAATACATTATGTATTGGCTTAGTGGCTTATTCTCAAGAAGAAATGAAGCTCTATCCAAGGGTTACAATTTATTGTACTCCTCTTGAAGCCATGATGCAAGAACTATTGCTCTTATTATTGCAAAAACTAGCAGATATTCATAAGTCCAAGGTGGTCTTATATTTATAGAAATAAGCATGTGTCCTAGTTTGGTAATTGATACCTGTCCTTAATTATGGTAAAAAATTTCATGTCATTTCAGTTAATTTATAAAAATACACATTAATCAAATCCAGATCTATAAAAATTCAATCAGCTGATAATAATTTATTATTTCCAGGTAAAAATAAAAAAAATCTTAATTTTTACTAAGGTCCTGCTGTTGACACTTGACTAGGAATACATTAACAAGGCCATCAAATATATTAATATAAGCATACATATAAATGGAGAATGTGTCCCATGGGACACAGATGATGCCCCTGCTTGCATACAACATGATAAACTTGATCTGTGTTTTGTGGTACAAATGTAATAAGCATTAAGTTATAGTGTATAAGTTTCATAACATTTGGTTGAGGCAAACTAAAGTTGGAGAACAGAAACCAATTTTGGGACATACGGACGGGAAAGGGTAACATGTAATGCCCCTCTTCAGCGGCAGGGGCATAAAAATTAGGCTTAGGGGAGTTTTGGAAACAGGAATACATTTTTTATCCTTGATCATGTTGATAAAATATACAGTATCTTCAATATTAAATTTTCTTCAAAATATATGTACAATGTAAAAAAAAATCTAACAACTTGAAATAAATAAAATGAAGCTACATTCTGAACAGGTATTGCCTAAATGCTACATAAACATGCTAAATATGAACTATGATTTGGCTGAACACACACAAGTGGTAAGATATTACCTCTTAATCTTTGGTAAATTATCATTTTATTTCTCATTTTTCATTTGAATAAGTCAAATTGCCAATGAAACTTGGTGAAATTTACATATACATGTACATGTACTGTTGCATTTTCATATAAATTTCACTAACCATCAATTTTCTTAATTTTATCTTTATGGAAATTATAATACATCAGGACAGTTCAAAAAAGTGTAAGGTGTAATAATTTCTTCTCTGAAACATGAAAGAGTAACAAACATGAAAAGTTTGACATATTGCAAATATTACAATAATATAGACAATTTTCAATAAAAGATAACATTTCTGATCTTTCTGCTTTGTTTTTCTCTGTCTCTCTACCACTCGTCAAGAAAATCAAACCCAGTTTTTTGAAGATTAAGTGAACTCTGAAATTAAAAAAAAAAATCATTTGAATTATGATGTATCATGTTAGTCAAATAAAAAATCCATATTCTTTATCTTTCTTTTTGTATCATAGATATCAAAGAAATTTTTTGAGTGCTGATTATGTCTTAAGATTTTTGTGAAAAAGGAAAACAACAAACTATATACATATACATCTCTACATTGTACTCCACTAAATATAGCTGTCTGGACAAGGACAAATCTTCTATTTTACTTATGAATTTATTCATATAGGATGCATATTTATGACTTATTTTTTTGCCTTATCAATAAATTAGTAAATAAAAATTTTGAATTGTTGGTGTCTGGTTTTGTAAAAGTAGAAATCAGGTCAAAATATCAGCTTTTAGGAGGACCTAATTATATACATGTATACTTATGCTTAAATACTGAGGTTTCATTACTCATGTCACTATTCATGAGGTACCAGTTTTTGTGAACTTCATGGTTAAAAGTAGACCATACATTTAAATGTTGAACAAAGTGTACATTTGTGTAAAGGTTTGTATTCAGCAAAATTTTGAAAAACAAAGAAACCAAATATCCATGAAAAACACAATTTTTCCTCAATCCACGAAAATTGGTACCTACAAACAAAAATAAATGAATCCACACTTATACATTCCAGAAATATACAAGTAAAAAGTGTATAGCATAGTTTTATACATGTACATGTATGTAGCTATATAAGTTGTAACTGCATTGAATCAAACTGAAAGAAGGAAAAGCTTTACCTAAACTCTTACAAGTTTTAAACTAATTGAGAATCTCATAGATGAATAAATAAATCATGCTTGTAACATAGAAGGAAAGTAAAATGTATTTATTAATTAGGAAATAAAGATGTAGAAATCCATGAAAATACTTAGGTTTAAGTAAAACATATATTTACAAAAAGTCACCTAAAAGTCCACCTAGATTATTGACAAAAACAGAAGATATAATTAATTCAAACAGATATACATTGTAGATCTACAACATGGGGTGCTTTCCTTGATGGTGTGTACCCAAAATCTGGTATCTTTAATCGTTAAAACATGTTTGATAAGGGATCAGTAACAATTTCAGTGATTTGAATCAGATTGGTAATAGAAAACTAATAGAGAAAATTGAAATCAATAAGTCTAGAGACTATCATTTATAGTATAAAATAGCTAATCAAAGAATTCAAATCAAAAAAATATATTCAACTCAAAACCTAACTATAGTTATACTCTCACTTGTTTGGTCATATAAAGTTGAATAATAGTTTAGATTTGAATTCTTGGATTAGTTATTATTTTTATTACATTGACATTTTAAGCAAATAAAGTACAAAATGCAATAAACCTATCTTTTTCTAGACATTCACTTCATTTTGATACAAAATTATTGTCAACATCTTGCAAACACTATTGATGTATGAGGTCAGAGGAGCGAAAATACAGGATTTTTTTCATAGGTGAATTTATGGGGTTTTATGGTCCTACATGTATTTATCAAATTCAAAGTTAAAATACAAAATAATCTTACCATGGAACCATGTGAATCATTTAGTGAGTATGACCCTTTGTTCATATCTACTGCTATCAATTCAGTATCTTCATAATCCACGTTAGAAACTAGATGAGATTTGTCATTTGTTCTACCATCCAATCTGTCGTCATGATCAATACTTTGTGCTGGCGGTTCGTACAACTGAGATTTACCAGAACTATAACTTTCCTGGCTGTCCCCTTTCAATAATGGTTTTCTGGAAGGTGACCCATCTGTATTAAAACCTTTCAATAAAGGACGATGTGATGGCGAAGTTGTTGCACTACTTAAGCTATCCTCATCCTCAACTACATGTGAAATCATTGGGTTTTCAAACACAGACATTTCAATATCATGTTTTCTTTTTGAAACAGATCCGTTTGATGCTATCCCTTGCTCAGCAGGTTTCTTATCTGAATAGAAACTTGGATCAGTTTTACTATTTCTACCTTTTTGTTCATCGGTATCGATAAAGCTGTCTCTATTAAATGCATAATTGATTTCTTCTGGAGAATTATCGTTTTTTATAATTACGTTTTTCTGAGGTAGGAGATTTACAGTATCAGCCTTTTCATTGTGTGCTTTGGTTAAGTCAACATTTTTTAAGTTTTGAAATTCCGAATACCAGAAGCTTTTTCCTGGTTCCATTACTTTAAATTCTGTTGGTGCTTCTCGTGATGCTTCTTCTGACAAATCTTTGGAACTTCTTCTTCTTGTTTTGGACTGTTTTGTCATCTGCTCTGGTTCCAAGTCTAATAAGGTAAGATCCTGTTGACTCTAAACGATAAAAGATTAAAGAACTAGTTATTATAATTTTAAAGGAACATATCAGATGAGCAGGAAGAACTTTATCAATTTCTTTTGAAAACTCATGTACATTTTTATCTAAGGCAAAAAAAAAATACTTCTGTTTCCTGCCTTGCTGCCTACTCTAAATTTCCACAACTAAAGCAACTTACATTAATTTTGAAATTTTTCCCAGTATTCCCTTAAATGCATTGAGTTTAAAGGTCAAAACATTCGAGACAAAATTAAATTGAAATATATTATGAATGGTATCTGAAGGAATAATGTCTTGTGAACATTTGGTGGATGAAAGTTTTAAAACACTTCTTGATCATGTTTTTTTTTTCAAAATATAAACATGATAAAGTGGAAAATGGCCTTATCATGTACCTACTTTTATTCTTAAATTTCAAAACACCTTATCGCTATTTGTCTGCCATTACTGGACATCACAAAGGTTCCCGTAAAAGTTTGTCATCATAATAGCAAATGTCTGACACCACAAAGGAAAAGCGATTGTTGAATGACATCAATAGTTCAATTGTTGCAGATTCCCAAATAGCATTAGGTCTATTATACTCAAATCAATTCTAAAATGTTAACCATTTTTACATTTTCAAAAGAAAGTGAAGAAATTAGTGAAGTCTCCAGATATATTTGTGCATGTTATCAGGAGGGGTCTTTCAGTCTTCTATTTCAAAATTCCCATCAGTTTTAATAATTCATGATTTTTCATACAAACCTTAGTTTTCCAAGAAAAAGGTCCAGAAAATTCATCTTGCCATGTCCAAAACTGTAACAAAAAATGTACACTCTAAGTAAGCCACAGCTTTTTTTTTTTAAAGATGGAATACATATGTACAATTGAAAGAAATGAGATATTCATGAATAACATGAACGGTTTAAGTTTGTAATACCCTGTGAATATGATCCTTATACGATAGAAGCACAATTTAAATCGAGATGATAAGTCCAAACAACTGAAAAGCTGCTGGAATTTTTAAGCACATAAAACAGTAATAGACTTTGCTCCATGGACTACAAACTTTATGATTGTGTTGACGGCTCTAAATGTATGCAAATAGTAAGTTTTCTGTCACCTATAGTTGTTAATTTCTATGTCATTTGATCTCTGGTGGAGTGTTGTCTCATTGGTAATCATACCACATCTTCTTATTTTTGTATTAATATTGAAAAAAAATGTTTGCTACTAATATACACTTTCTTAATGTTCAATATGGGGCCACAGATTATAAACTGCATCTTAATAATAGAAAAAGGTCGTTACTTTAATATTAGAAAATAGAATATGCAAACTCTGTAATGAGGAAATAGAAGATGAGATGCACTTATTTTAAACATGTAAAGCTTTGGTTAATGTTGGAAGTTTCTTTCTTAGCAAAATATTTAGTAAAGATAAAAATATTTCAAAACTTAATTCTCTTTTTTATTTGGTTAATGGAAAATCAAGATAAAAACAGTGTCAATCATTAGCAATGATTAGAGGTTTTAAATAAAAATAGAAAAACAACATTAAATTAGATTGCCTTGTATAGAGTTACAAATGTATAGATATATATGTATATATGATCATATATGCATTTACATTAATAACATTCAATTAATAATGATATGCTACATTAAGGTGTGCTGTCCAGTACAGGGTCCAGAATAACAAACAATGGGTCACATTATATTATAATCTTTTATTATAACAAATTACTTATTTCATTTACCATGTTTACTTTAATATTAGATGTTAATCCATTGAATCAAAACTAATGTTATAATTTGTTTAACCTATTTTTATTTTACTGATATTATGTTTGAACAATTATATTGTAAATATTCTGCCCATTTTGGAAGTTGTGATTTGCAAATAAAGTGTATTTGTTTGTTTGTTCATAACAATTGAAGTACACTGTTGGTACAAAATGTACATTAAAAATAAATTTTAATTTAATTCATTTTTCTATATAATCACAGTGATTTCTTCATTTTCAGATAGGTTTGACATTACTTAATAGGATTTCGGTACATTCTAGATTGATTTCAGCATTCAAAGGGATTTTAGCATCTTAAGATTATGGACCTCTATTGGACAGAAAATTTTTTAGGGAATCTTCTAATAAAATTTTAGGAAATATCAACCCTGTTATACAATGTCATTATGACTTGACTAGTAGTGACACGCTATACGCATTTTTGTTCTTACATCATTTGTTTCATCAACAACAATCTTTTCCCCCATCTGAACCTTGAGAACTGGATAAGATATTGGGTATACATCCCCTTTACCATAATCTTTATATCTGTCGCGGACATCTGGATGGACGAAGTAATCATCAAGAATGTCATCTTGTCTTTTTTCATCAAACGTTTCCCATTTTTCATTGAAAAGTGATTTGACCATTCGCGTTTCTTGAACAATTTTACGTGTAAGGGGGTTTATAGATTCAAAATATGCAGCAGAGATGGTATCCATAATTGTAATAAACGGACAACTGTCTGATTAACAAGGAAGTGACTCAGGAAACAATTTGACAGCCCAGCGGCAAAATTCTCTGATTGGATTGAAGACTTCCGAGATTAGCGAAAGAAAAATTGATGTACAACGCTGAAGGAAAATTAAATGTGAATGATACAACAGAAATATAGAAAAATATTCAAATGTTATTGATATATTTATTATTTCATGTAAAGTTAATGCATAAAATAATTTTAATATCCATTTATTTGCATTCTAATTTTATGTTGATGTGTGCAATCGGTTCTGACCTTCACCTTTTCTCTTCCTAGTGTAAACAGAAAGGGCACCTTTCAGTAATTCAGATAACATTTTTGTTGTGTATTTAGTAATATAACATGGGAGCTCGAGCATCTATACAGCTGCAAGACGAGGAGATTGAAGAAATACAAAATGAAACAGGATGTAAGAAAAGTTATTTGTTATTTATTGTAAACAAAATTCTTTTTTTAATATTTACACATGTCATTCCTGAGATAATCAGATTTTGTATAAAATATTTTCAGAACATACTGTACATGATGAATATATTGTGTTTAAAATATTTTCAAAACAGACTGTACATGACGAATCTGGGTGGATTCACCTTGATTCCAGTACACACCCTGAGTGGAATTGGCCCAAATTCCTGTTGGTCCCTATTTCATTGTTTGTTCACTCTAATTTTTGCTTGGCCAATGTCATTTCACCCTATTCCTATTCACAACTTGTCATTTCTTTCCTATTAAAAACTTAATTTTATTTGGTAAAGAATATGAACTATCATGTTTTTTTATTATCAGTGCGAAAATGATATCTAAAAATGAAAATTGATTCCTGTGAGTAAAAGTTTTAATAGCTTTGTTTATTGAAAACATCTTGTAACTAAGCTGAGCAATGTAAAAACATACATCAACATATTAGTAATTATTAGGCAAGTCTTTTATTCTGGCATTAAAAGCAATAAATAAGTGATTGATTAAACTGTCAAATTATTAATAACGGTAATCATTATTAACACCTTTTTGATCAATTATATAATATATAATTAAATTCATAGATATTTAGAATAGAAAGTAAAAGTCCATATCAATATGAAGACTTTATAAACATCCATAATTCAAAATTATATTATTAAAAACCCATATCATGCATATAGAATGTAATTTTAGAGTAGAGATGATTATAAAGACTTAACCTTAATTCAAGATTTTATTTTCAATTTCTATACACATATACATTTGTACCTTAATTCAAGATTTTATTTTCAGTTTCTATACACATATACATTTGTTCCTTAATTCAAGATCTTATTTTCAGTTTCTATACACATATACATTTTACATCTATTTATACCATACCATCACAATTTATGTGCAAACAATGTCCTGAAAGGTTTAGACAATCTGAACTTTACATTGATAAATTTATTATGTTAAGACTTATTTTAAAACAAAATTCATCTGTTTTATTTTTAGAAAAACTCAACAGTAGCTATAGTAATTACACATTTTATATTAAAGAATAAATGTTATTTATATATTTTAAAAACAATGGTGAAACAACTACTTTTTTCCGGGTTTATTCCACTCAAAGCAAAACAACTGATGCTAACAGGAATCTGTTAAACTACCTATTACTGTAACAGTAGATTTTTTGTACATTGTTTACTCTATTTGTTTTTAAAATGTCCATTATATTTTTGCTGAAGATATGATTATGTTAAATATTTATCAAGCAAACTTTCAGATGACAGGACAAGGGATTATTGTTCTGCTGAGAGACTAGTCTTTCAAGTGTTGAAAATATTTTTTGAAATAAGGATTTTCATGAAATAGCAAAAATATTCATATAAAATGAAAACAACTATTAAAAATGGGAAATTTATTAACAGATAACCTATTAACTTATAATTAGGACAAACATGACAAAGACCATGTTAATAAAATTTCCATTATTTTTCAAATTTTAGGGATGTGTTATTTCAATTTAAGTTGAAATACACAAATGTACAAAATGTACCTGATGGCTTTTGTTTAAAAAAAAAACATTTTGACCTATGTATTTAATACACTTATTGTTTTAGCTAATTTAAGTACTTCAGACTTCTCAATATAACAAAAGCAAAACACACACAATAGATAAAACTGCATTGTGAGCATGTCTGATTCAACAATAAAAACAAACCAATGGTCAAATGTTTATTTGTTACTTTGTATACAATTCTTTTTTTAATACATACATGAATTTTATTTACGTACATTATTTTTCAGTTTCCAGAAACCAAATTATCCGATTATATAGCCGCTTTGAAAGTTTAGACAAAAGTGGAAATGGATTTCTTAGGTATTGTATTTTAAACAGTTTTGTAATTTTTAAGTTTATGGTTAATTTTGATGATATAAGCAAACATTTCAAGTATGCCCTTATTCCATAACTATAATACAAAATTTTGTATAACTTACATGCATTGGGGTGTAACGCATATTTTTTCATATTCTTAGTAATATTTGATTTTAAAAATCTTTTTTTTTATGCTTGAAATTCTAGAATACACAGTAAATTGCTCATATATTTTTTTATACGACCGCAAAAAAATTTTTGTGGTCGTATATTGGTATGACGTTGGCGTCGTCGTCGTCGTCGTCGTCTGGCGTCGTCCGAAGACACATTGGTTTTCGCACTCTAACTTTAGTTTAAGTGAATGGATCTCTATGAAATTTTACCACAAGGTTCAATACCACAAAAGGAAGGTTGGGATTGATTTTGGGGGTTATGGTACCAACAGTAAAGGAATTAGGGGCCAAAAAGGGGCCAAAAATAAGCATTTTTCTAGTTTCCAGACAATAACTTGTGTTCAAGTGTATGGATCTCTCTGAAATTGTACTGCAAGGTACCATACCACAAAGGGAAGGCTGGGATTGATGATGGGGGTAATTGCCTCAATATTTTAGGAATTAGGGGCCAAAAAGGGGCAAAAAAAAAGCATTTTTCTAGTTTTAGGACAATAACTTGTGTGTAAGTGTATGGATCTTTCTGAAATTATACTACAAGGTTCCATACCACAAAGGGAAAGCTGGGTTTGAGTTTGGGGGTAATTGCCCTAAATGTTTAGGAATTTGGGGCCAAAAAGGGGCCAAAAAACACATTTTTCTAGTTTCCAGACAATAACTTGTGTTCAAGTGTATGGATCTCTCTGAAATTGTACTGCAAGGTACCATACCACAAAGGGAAGGCTGGGATTGAGTTTGGGGGTGATGAATCATAAGGGGGTTCAAAAAATTTGGGGGGGGGATTTTTTTTTTTTTTCATTTTTTTTCTTTTTTTCATTTTTTTTTCTTTTAAAATTTTCCATTTTAAGTTGGTTATTTCTAATTTATATTTAAAAGCAAATAATAATGATATGGTAGGAGATACGCACCAAACAAGATGTGTAAATTATTATATAATAAGTATTGTGCAATAGCAAGAAATTTTCAATTGCACAGTATTGCACAATAGCAAGAAATCTTCAATTGCACAGTATTGCGCAATAGCAAGAAATCTTCAATTGCACAGTATTGCGCAATAGCAAGAAATATCCAATAGCACAATATTGCGCAATAGCAAGAAATTGTCAATTGTACAGTATTGCGCAATAGCAAGAAATATTTAATTGCACAGTATTGTGCAAAAGAAGATACTTCGTATAAATTGCTTATTTCTTGACCAATTTCAATGGGGTTTTATTCTTGAATTCTTGGGGTTCTTTAATATGCTGAATCTAACCGTGTATTTAGTTTTTGGATTTTGGGCCCCGTTTTTAAATTGGTCCACATTGAGGTCCAAAGGGTCCAACATTAAACTTTGTTTGATTTCATCAAAAATTGAATTATTGGGGTTCTTTGATATGCCGAATCTAACTGTGTATTTAGATTCTTAATTTTTGGTTCCGTTTTCAAATTGGTCTACATTAAGGTCCAAAGGGTCCAAAATTAAACTTAGTTTGATTTTAACAAAAATTGAATTCCTAGGGTTCTTTGATATGCTGAATCTAAACATGTATTTAGATTTTTGATTATGGGCCCAGTTTTCAAGTTGGTCCAAATCGGGGTCCAAAATTAAACTTTGTTTGATTTCAACAAAAATTGAATATATGGGGTTCTTTGATATGCTGAAACTTACCATGTATTTAGATTTTGGATATTGGACCATAATAGGTGAATGTCCAATTTAAAATTTTTAAGTTCTTAGACCACATTCATTCTGTGTCAGAAACCTATGCTGTGTCAAATATTTAATCACAATCCAAATGCAAAGCTGTATCAAGCTTGAATGTTGTGTCCATACTTGCCCCAACTGTTCAGGGTTCGACCTCTGCGGTCGTATCAAGCTGCGCCCTGCGGAGCATTTTATTAACTTATATGTTTGCTACAGCTAATTACATGGACAGATGTTCATAGTATAAAACACAAAGAACAAAACCGAAAGAAAAAATGAATAACCAAAAACCACAAAAAACAAATTTTGTGCTTGACGGAATTGAAGCCTTATTTTCTGTAAATATTACCGGTACTAAATTATATCAACTGAAAATTCTATAAGATATATGTATACATAAATGTAATAAATCACACAACACTGCATGACAGCTTTAAAGCACTGACTAACAATTATCATTTTGAAATTTCTAGTCGAGAAGATTTCCTTAGAATTCCAGAGTTAGCCATCAATCCACTTGGTGACAGAATAGTGCATTCTTTCTTCCAAGAAAGGTAAGTACAGATAAATCATCAGAACATTGTTGTTTTAAGAACTGGCTGTTCCTATATACGGTCTGGCTATCTACCCTTCAAACCTTTGACCAAAAATTAGAGATCCATTTCAGTGTTCCAGCTAGGATTTCAAAAGGGCAGGGTGCCAATCCTGAAAAAGGGCATTTAACGCGTGATATGATATGAAAAGGGCATGTTTTAATAAAGATTATAATAAAACTTTGTTTGTTCATTGAATCACTGGTTATATATATACAAGAACAACATCATTACCCCAGAGAAAAAACTATCTTTCTACTTTTTAGGCTGAAAACTTATCAAGCAGCTTGTCACACAAGTTTTAAATCATTGCTTGGCACAGTTAAGCTTTATATGCAGTATTTTTTGAAAAATGTCCTGCTTCATTCTGTTTCTATGATCTGACACACTTTACACGTTTCACCTTTCTACCTTTTCTGTGCTTAATGGCAATACAGCACAAAACAGCTGTAAATGCACAATGTTAGGATATAGTGAACAGTGAAAATTTGGATTGAAAATAAAAAATACAGAAAAAGATGACCAAGGCACCCTACCAACCTTGCTACTAAGACCCTCTTTAACTTTTCCCATGACTCAAAACAACTTAACATATAAATTCTAAAGCCAGAAGTATGAAGACATATTTTATAATATCTTAGTAGGTTACTCAATGCTAGGAAAAAATAAGATTGAGTTATCTTTCTTTATTTGGGTGTGCTCCTTCTTTGGAGAATAATAAACAGTACGTAGACGGTGTAAATACGATCAACAATATGGCGACCGATTTTGTTATTTTCGTATAAAAAATGAAGGCAGTCAATGAAAAATACGTCTTAATTTGCTATTTATTTCAAGGAAAACAATAAGAGCAATGTTTTTAACGAGTTGATTATGGTTTTCGACTTTCTGTCAATTACGTTTTCTCCATGAAACTATGGTAAACATTGCTAATTGTGCCCAAGTTGTATGAACATTTCTTCAAGTTCAAAAACAAACAAATGCTGACTGACCGATTCTATTTGAATGAATTAATGTTGATGATCATTAAATGACCCATCCGATAAACGGATTACCTATAACAACAGATTATGACACCTGTTGTAACCGTTGATTAGCTTGGGGTCGTAAACAAAGTCATATACTTGTCGCCAGGTAAATTTTCGTAATTGGCTGATCATATCAATATGAACAAAATATATACCAATCGCTCTTCAAAAAAGGCAGGGCTCTCCTAAGGGAAACAACTCATACAAATGGATCTCTAATTACAGGGTCAATTACAGTTTTGACAAATAGACTATTAATAGGCTTTTATTGGTACAATGCAGATATACTGCTTTGTGTTGTATAGTATCACAGTATTTTAATATACCGGTATATTTTTTTAACTTTAAAACTGTTTTTCAGCAATGATGAGACAGTAAATTTCAGGCAGTTTATACATGTACTGGCTAGATTTAGACCTACAAAAGTTAAAATCAGTAAGAATAAGCTGAATACCAGGGAAGAAAAATTAAGATGTAAGTTTTGATATGCATATGCATGTACATGCACAACAATTAATTATAAAAGTACCAGGGTAAATAAAAATTTGAAATGATATCAATGCACAATAAAATAATAAAAAGATACACATTATCTCTGCAGGGCACATAACACAGGCAGTATCTTATACATTTAAAGCTATAAAAATATGAAGTCTGAAAAATCTGGATGAGTTGAAATCAAATTAACTGGTAGTTGTAAATTGTCTCTTTTACAAGAATTAATTGTGAAGTAAAAGATCTGTATATAAATTCACAATTTTATTAAGGATATGATTCAATTTCCCCATTTTATTAGATTTCCACATCTGATGGTAATCTATAATTTTGTCTAGTAAAATTTCTTTGTTATACATAGTAATTGGTTTGCTGTACAGCCATTTCCGCTTTTATTTAAGATGAGGAAAATCAACTCGGATATAAAAATAAGTTTATGTCACGTCGATGAAGATTAGGATGAGACTTAGGCATGTTTTTTCCAATGATGTTTGTGTTAGCATCAATGATTGATAATGTTTGTGATTAGGTCTGTTTATTAAGAACCACTAACGGCATGTCAATAATATTTGGTAGACAGTTATTACTATTTGCAAATCTTATTTCCATGGAGGTTATTTGGCCATGCCCCATCAGTCATGTTCCTTTCTCAAATTGAATGAAACTTTTGCATAGTTTACATGTACATAGTTTACATGTTACAAAGGTGAAACATATCTCTGTGTCCACAATTTATTATAATAAGCTCTATATTTTAGTTGCCTTTAGAATGTATGATTTAGATGGTGATGATAAGATATCTAGAGATGAATTATTAGCAGTTTTACATATGATGGTTGGAGCAAATATATCAGAAGATCAAGTCAGTATATTTAACATAAATGTACACAAATTTAAAGTTTGTTCACCATTGCAAATAATGAAACATTGTTCTGTTCATTTTCTGTCGCAAAAAATGTGCTTACTGTAAATTCAGACATTATTGCATACATTTATTATTGCGATTTTTAAAGAATGAACAATTTGCGAGATTAATTATTGAGGTTTCTGGAAAAGCTGCATACAGATATAGGTATCAGATATCAGAATGCGGGTTCTCATTATTGGGATACTCACCAACTTGCATTATTCCCATTAATCAAAAACTCGCAATTATTTCTGAATTTACAGTATCATAGATTTCAAATTTTCATTATATCAAGGAAACTTAAGTGATTATTAATAAAAAGAACATGTTTTATATGAATTGCCCATACTGTGGATCATTAAGTCTCCCTGGGAAACGGAGTTGGGGTGATATACTGTTATTGTACGATTCTTTTTTTCTTTTTTTCTTATTCCACACTTTTTGTCCAGCTTAGTTCTCGGAATTGAATGGACCAATTTTGATGGAACTATACCATAATGTCAACCACCATGTGTAGTTGTGCACCTGACTTTGGAATTTAAAAAATGGCTGCCATTGCCATGAAAACAGCAAAAATGTGAAAAATCGAAAAGTGTTCCAAATTTAATGAAACTTTGTGTAAATGTTACTTGTCAGCAAAAGATGTGCAAACCATCTTTGGAATTTCCAAAATGGCCGCCATTGCCATGGAATCTGGGCAAAGATTTACCATTGAACCTTATGGGAAAATCTTTTAAGTAGCATTTTCTCTCATAAAATCGTAGATAAAACCTAGTAAAACTTTGATTTTATATTGCCCGTCATGTGAGATGGTGGTATCTGTCTTGGGAATTTTTTTAATTTTTACCGTTACCATGGAAACAGTAAAATGTTAAAAAATCTCAAAACTTTATGAAACTTCACAGAAATGTTAACTGGCATATGTACAGATGTCATGCATAAATGTACATTCAGTGTTTAATTTTTTCAAAATGGCTGCCACTTAGTGGCAATGGGCGGACTGGGGTGACATCCGCTATTGCTTGCAATGGCAATTCTAGTTATTATGTCACCCGATCGACAATGTCGGGTGACATATTGCTTTTCCTCTGTTTCTTTACTATTATTATGTCACCCGATCGACAATGTCGGGTGACATATTGCTTTTCCTCTGTTTCTTTTTCCCTATTATTATTATTTTTCTTCCACCTAATTTTGTCTGGCAGTTTTCTCAGAGGCAATGGAACCAATCTTCATGATTGTTGCATAATAAGGACCACCATCAGTGGAGTTGCAGTGAAACTTTGGAACTTTAAAATGGCCACTGTTTCCATGGAAACAGCAGAAATGTGAAAAATAATTTTTTTGTTTTTGATGACTAATTTGAGAATGCCTGAACTAAAAATCATCGGAACTACTGTATTGCCATGGAAACTGGGGAAAGGTTTCCCATCATAACCCTATGGGAAAAACCTTAAAGTAGCATTTTCTCTCTTAAAATGGTAGGTCAAATCCATTGAAACTTTGATGGTATGTTCCCTCCCATGTACCAATGTGGCATCTGTCATTACAATTTTGGGAATGGTCATTGTTACCATGGAAACCAGCAAAAATTTCAAAATGCACCAAACTAAATATAACTTTATATTAATGCTAACTGGCATGTATAGATAAGACTTTTGACTTTGGACTTTCCAAAATGGTCGCCGTTGCCATGGAAACAGTAAAAATGTGAAAATTTCAAAATGCTCCAAATGTTCTGAAAATTTACAGAAAGATGTATTGCCATGCATATAATATTATTATGTGCATTCACTGTTTAATATTTTTAAAATGGCTAACACTTAGTGGCAATTGGGGAAGGTTGACATCCGCTATTGCTTGCAATGGCAATCTAGTTATTATTATTCTTCCAATGATTTTTGTCCGGCAGTTTTTTTGGAGCCAATGGAACCATTCTTAATGATTAGATATAAGAAGATGTGGTATGAGTGCCAATGAGACAACTCTCCATCCAAGTCAAAATTTATAAAAGTAAACCATTATAGGTCAAAGTAAGGTCTTCAACATGGAACCTTGGCTTACACAGAACAGCAAGCTATAAAGGGCCCAAAAAATTACTAGTGCAAACGGGAAAACAAATGGTCTAATCTATATAAAAAATTCGTAAGGGTTCTGCGGAACCCAGTGTCTCGCCTACTTTTGCTGTTAATCGCAGGCTCAACAAAAATGAGATGAGGAAAAAATTTAATAAAAATATTCCTCTCCTGACAATTTTTTTATTGTAAGAAGCTTCTGTCCAAGTTTGGTAAAAATCCAGGATAGTTTATGAATCTAATAAATGTTTTAAAAAATTTACAGCCGATTCCAACGAGTGTGTAGCTAAAGGTAGAATCTTTGGTTAGCTTCCTTGCTAGCTCAACCATGAAATAATTGTTACCTTAAGATTGGGAGGAGCAAAGCACCATTTTATCATCCAATGAAAACATTTATATCAATGGCCTGTTTATTATTTATAATATATGTATGTTTCATACAAAGGTTTACCTACACTACTTTGCAAATAAAATTTCATTTCTTAGTCTTTGATTGAATTAAAAAATCTTTTTATTACAATAAATTAGAAGCGGAGTAACGTGTTTTTTTTAAATATTTACGCCGTGAATAGGCAGTTTAGTTAATTAGGGTCTTTAGGTGCACGCAAAAAACATTGTTATGGTCTTGGTGTCTTTCCTTCATATATATGCATATTTTTTTGAACTAAAATCTTCTATATTCGCACAGAAAAGAAAAAAAATATCATACTACTTAATATCATGCACGGTTGCATTTGTGGACCTTTTATTTAGTTAAAAATGCAACGGGAAAAAAACAGCAAGCAACTGCAGTCTGAAATTGAAAATATTGCAGAGTTTATGAACGTCCACTTGGTCCGTTTACATTACCTTACTTATGAGTTTTAGATAAATGATGCAGCCATGAAGAACAATTTTTATGTCTCTACTTCAGTTTTAATCTGACCTAGATTGAATGATAAGGTCATACGTACTTTTTGACACCTTCCAATCTTTTTTACCTGTCCGGGTGTATTTAAACATATGTGTATGTGTAAAAGTGAATACGGTCAGCACTTGTCAATCATATCCAACAACATTTTATTAACTTGATGTAACAAATTCAACAGACAAGCCGAGTTAAATATATTATTATTTGTAATGTCTGACGAAGAAGAAAAAATAAGGAATTTCAGCTTTCAGTTAACTTTTCATCATTTTGGCCAAGGATTTGTATAGAGTCTCACTATACAAATCCTTGTTTTGGCAAATCAAACACACCTACAACATGCAGGCATGTGAATGAGCTTATAATTATCACTAAATTTTAAATTTAGTTTGAAAAAACTTATTTTTAAACTGACTTGTAAAACTAGATTTACAATGATTATATTCTGTCACTTAATTCCGATTGGTTCTCTGCTTAACTATTGATTCCACCCAAAGGCTGGATGTGCCTTACCTAATAATGATTTCATGGTTGAGCTAGTAAGGAAGCTAACCAAAGATTCTACCCTACACACTCGTTGAAATCGGCTGTAACTGCAGACATGTATGTAATGTTAACTGGAAGAAAAACTAAGTCCATTTATAAGTAAAATATGGATAAACAAGTACAAAATTTTAATAAAAATTTCCTTCTACATGTTCTAGATACTAGCTTTTGATCATAAACAAACTTCTGTCCATGTTTGGTACAAATCCAGGATAGTTTAAGAAAGTTATTAAAATTTTAAAAACTTTAACCACAGAGTGAATGTAATGTTTCCTGGCAGAAAAACTAAGTCCATTTATAAGTAAAATACAGAAAAACAGGATTTTTTTTAAAAATTTACTTCTGGATACTATCTTATGATCATAAACAAGCTTCTGTCCAAGTTTGGTAGAAGTCCAGGATAGTTAGAGAAAGTTATTAAAATTTTAAAAACTTTAACCACAGAGTGAATGTAATGTTTCCTGGCAGAAAAACTAAGTCCATTTATAAGTAAAATACGGAAAAACAGGAATTTTTTTTTTACAAAATTTACTTCTGGATACTATCTTATGATCATAAACAAGCTTCTGTCCAAGTTTGGTAGAAATCCAGGATAGTTTAAGAAAGTTATTAAAATTTCAAAAACTTTAACCACAGAGTGAATATTTGTGGACGCCGCCGACGGAATGTAGGATCGCTATGTCTCGCTTTTTTGACAAAAGTCGAAGGCTCAACAAAAACGAGAAACGAGAAACACTTATGAACCACATCAACAAACAAACGACAACTACTGAACATCAGATTCCTGACTTAGGACAGGTGCAAACAATTGCAGCGGGTTTAAACGTTTTAATGGTACCCTTATCTGAAACAATAGTGTAACATCACAACAAAGAAAGACTCACTATAAAATATCAATTGAAATGGCTTAACTCAATCAAAAGACATATTAACACCAGTGAACATACACTGAACAAATAAATTTGATCTATGATACAATGTAAATAAAAAATAAATAAACTAAGGGAAGAATAATAAAAGTAACATGTTATACCGCTGTGAAATGTAAAACAATTTAAGAAAAACAATATGCTTGAACAAAAATATCAGCCATTTGCAATTACTTTAAACACAGGTAAATTAAAATAATTTTGTTGTTAGGTATACGTGTACAGTTCAAATAGAGAAAGGAAATATTTTTACAAAATAAATAATTTTGATGTTCATAGTACAAAGAAGTGAAAATTTATAGTAATACCAAACACTTATCAAAGCTGGTATATAGACCAGATATAACCCTGAATAACATTAAATAACAAAAAAGCATTACAATTAGTATCAACAGGTCAAATAAACAAGATTGTCTACTATAATGAGGACCACAAAATTTCGCGTTGCAGTAGGTCTTTGGAACATAAAAAATGGCTGCTGTTACCATGGAAACGGAA